CCTCCTGTCTGTAATTGTCCATTATAGGAAGAGGAATTTATAAATAGTTATAAAAGTCAGAATTTATAAATAGTTATAAAAGTCAGGATTTAGAGGCTGTGCTTCAAGACCTAGGGCTAGCTGGTCTTAGCTTATCTTAGCATAATCTCAAAAATAAAATTCTCTGCTCTACTTTGGAAAGCATGAAATAATTTCTGTTTACACATTTTTTTCAACTACTTTGAAGCTGTGATATAAAGGTCACTGATTGCCTCTAGTCATCACATGGCTTTTTCACTAATTGTGCACTCGCCTCATTTTGTTCTGTGGGATCTTTTGCTTCTTGATCCAGTTTCATTGCCGAGATGTTCATTTCATAAGTTATAACTTTATACAAAGGGCATCCTCTGTTCCAACACACACGTTGTGGTGGTTGTTCCCAGCTGGGAGCCTCGTGCACAGCAGCTCACCTGCTTCCACCATCACCCACTGACCTTTGGGCTGATTTAATGTAAAATGGGGATAAGGAGGAGAAGTTAAGCCAAAAAGTTTCCTGGTCTCTAGCCTTGGACTGATTAAGGTTGTGCAGGATAAAAAGGCAATAAGAAATGGGAAAGCTCTTTCATCCTGACCCTTTGGTGTGTAGTGGGATGGAAAATCACATGGGCACCTTGAAAGTTTGGCACTGGTGTCCTGGAATGTGTAAATGGAGACCTTAACATCTGCAAGAAGTCAGTCCATTGCCTGCTCCCTGTAAAAGCCACCCACAAAGGTTTCATGTCAGGGCAGAGAGGTCCCTGCTGGTCCCCATGGGGTGACTCTGGGGTAACCAGAGGTCCCCAGGGCCTGGGGATTTCCCAGCTCACAGAGGGTCAGGTCTCAAGGTTATCCCACAGCCCATTTGCTGTTTGTGGAGCCACGTGGCCATCACACAGACCAGCTGTTGGGTTTAACTTAACCTTTAGAGCAGTCATGAGAGCTTAGTTCATGAGCAGAATAAATTACACGGAAGGCTTCAGGAGAGGATTGTCCATGTGAACGCCCTGGCTGCTGCTCAAAGCTCTGTGGAAGATGAGCAGTGGAAAATTGGACAGGGATTGAGCAGTCTATCATGTAAGGAGGGTATAACTTGGCGATATATATCTGTGAAGGCTTTGAAATCTCTACCTTGGCCAAAAGTGACCTCCCAAATGACAGGAATCTGGGCATCTTGAGCACAAATGTTCCTAGAAAGATGAGCCTACAAAACTGTGCTGGCTGCTGGCAGGACCAGCAGGGCTGGCAAAGTGCAGAGTGTTCCAGGCTGAGGTGGGAGAGCAGCTCCAGCCCAGGGCAGGCAGAGGAGAGCCCTGGAGAGGAGCTGGCACCAGGCAGAAATGGTTGCTGATGATTTTGGACATCTCTCCTTCTCAGCTGTGAGACTGCTGGGCCAAACCTGCACAAGGTGGGACGGTGCCTTATGCTGATGTGATCTGCTCTGGGCACTTGGAGATCCCCACAGAGGAGCTCCAGGATATCCAGGACATCCACTGCATCCTTCCTGGGCAAACCTTGGGAAGGGCAGCTGCAGATGCCAGTGTCTGCTCAGCTTGGAGGGAGGAAAGCAAAGGGTGAGGTGGAGAAAGCCAGGGGTGCTGTCTGGTTCTTGCTGCCAGTGGATGGATACACAGGAAGGTGCAGGATTTTGTTTTCTGCACTTGATGTTTCCTGTGACTGCTGAAATCAGTGAGCAGAGACAGACCCTTCTCCACACTGCAGCATAATTCTCCATTTCCCTCTCTGGAGGCTGCAGATCCCCTGGCACAGCTGTGAATTCCCTGTACAGTGCACAGCATGAGTTTCACTGAATATTCCTGGAAAAACAACTCTTCTGGAGCCTTATTCCATTAAAAATATTTTTTTCCTCCTATTCATCTCCCCATTTTCCCCAGCATCCAAGCAGCTACCTGCATTCATTATCAGACACGTGAAATCCCATAAGCATCCCTTCCAGACCATAATAGTTTGATGGAAATATGGCCAGGTGCCCAAAGCCCTGTGCCCTTCCCACAGCCCCCTCCAGCAGCATGACCTGGGAGGCCTCTGGTGCAGGATTTCTGTCTTGGTGTGTGCAGTGACTGACAGCAGCAACGAGGAGCTCTGGGGCAGAGGACAGCCAGGGGAGCGCTGTCTCCTGGGAGGAGCTCCAGTCTGCTCCAGGGAATGTGCTAATTTTCACTCCTTTATAGTCCTTTATCTCAGCCCTTCGACCTTGAGCTCAGAGGCATTATCAGCCTTAGCCAGAAAGGCAGCGTGCAGTTAACCACTGAAATGCTGAATGTTTCTCATACAAGGTCCTGAAGGTAAAAGCAATGAATGCAGCTTAATTTAATAGTGCAGCACCTCGGGGGACTGTTCAGGTTTGGGCAGAACCTATTTATGATATTAGGAAAAATACTGTTTTCATGTATGATTTTGTGAGCAGTTTTTGAAGTTTGATGTCCCTTCAGGGTTCCCTGGGCATGTGGAGGCCTCGTGGAAGCCTGTCCTGTGTGCATGGCAGTGTAGGAACTCGGCTCTCTCCATCACCTTTCCATCCTTGCTGTACCCAGTTACTGATATCCAGAGCACAGGCAGAAAATGACTGCTCTCATGTTGTCTGTGGGTCCCTTACTATCATGGGAACACGTTTCCAACTTCATAAAGTATTATACAAACTCTTACCATAAAAGAAAAGTCACCTCCTGGAGCAGTCTAGATGAATGTATTTATTGCCAGTCCTGCTGACTTCCCCGGGTGCCTCTGGGTTTGTCACTTGGCTGTGTGTGAGTTCTTGTGTTTGCAGAATGAGCTGGGAATGCTTCCCTGGGCCATGGTGGCTGTTAATGAGTCAGGAATGTGCTTCTGTGCATGTGTCTCTTGTTGGGCAAGATCAGCTTCTCTTCTGTACCTGACAAATAGGATGCAAGAAGAATATTTCCTTTTCCTTGCTGGCAGTAAGTGGTCTCTCTATGACCAGCAGTAACTGGGTAAAAGCAGAATTTTGGGTAGAATATTCCTGCTCAATCAGTTCAGTGTTGATGGAGTTAATTTGCTCATGCCTTCAGATTGTTTTGTTTCCAGGGATTCTAAACCGTTGCCTCCAGCTGTTCATTTCCATTGACGAGGATGATCTTTATCTGTCTAAACTAGTTAAAACCTGCTCCACTACCCAGCAGCCTTTTTGGAAACAGCCCAATAAAGCTGAGTGCGGTGGCTATGACACCAAAGCCTCCTGGACATCATAAATTCCAAGCCCTACTTTTTTTTCCTTACCTCTCACTGTTGGAGCACCCTTCCTGTTTTAATGGGACTCTTCACTTCCTCCATTTAAGCCCTGCCCAAAAAGGGGAATGATATTTGAACTGCAAGTGATCAGTGGAAGAATCCCTGTTAGATAATTTGCTGCTTTAATATTGTCAGGTTAAGGCTTGACAGACCTCGAAGGTTGCATTCAAACAACTGAAGCACTGTCACACTTGGACTCAGTGTGGCTGTTTCTTGAGATGTTTTAGGTGAATCATATTTATAAATGTGCTCAGTTTAAGGCTTGTTGTGACATGCTGGTCATACCTTCAGGGTCACCTGGGCTGCTTCCTCCTCAAACAGGACTGAAAGTTTGTGTGAAAGATGCAGAGGCAGCCACCAGATGCACCAGGGCATCCTTCCAGGGCTGAAATTCAGGTGTCTGGTGTCCATCAGGCAGAGATGTGTCTGTACCAGAGGGAATTGCCAACAACACAAAACTTTCTGTTGCTGTAGTGCTGCTAGAGGGACCAGAGCTGGAATGTGCAGCCTGGTGGAGGAACTCCTTCCCTTGTGCTGGGGTTTCTAACTCACATTATTTGCGCCTGAGCTGGACAAGAACATATAACACAACAAAAAATCTAATGGTCAGTTTGGACATAAATCTCTTCAATTACTGTTAACAGCAGTGGGAAAATCTGTGGCCAGAAGATCTCTCCTGAAGACCCAGGCTGAGGTTTATTTTGGGATGTGCCAAGGAGACATTTCCCTGTAGTTTTGTTGCAGATGTTGCTGTGCCTGCAGGCAGGGAGGGAGCAAGGCCTGAGCAGGGCTGGGATGAGGCTCCTGCTCTCTGCTGCAAACAGCTGGAGAGGTTCAGCTGCAGCCCCTGGCTCTGTGGGAGAATGCTGTGTAGTCATTTTGCTGCTGAGCCACCTCACAGTGATTATCAGACTTCCAGAGCAGGGAAAAGGTCTGAGAAAAAGACCAGTTTAACATGTCATTATTGGGTTTTAGCAGCTGTGTGTTATCCTATTGTTACTAATAACCTTTGCAACTTTGTGAGCAATGTTTTCTTGGCATCATTCAAACATAATGACTGGGGGGTCACATTCAGCTCTCAGTTGTGTAAATATGGAATGTTCTCTTGGCTGTCTGGTGCTATTTGGCTCATGGTCCCTGCCCCTAGAGTCCTGCAATCCAAAATACCCAGGCAGGGAGTTCAGTCACAGTATGCTCTGCATACCAGCTGGGTATGCAAAGCACAAAATAAACACATGAACAGCTACTATCAAATCCAACCATATAATTACAACTCTGCTGTCCTCTGGTTGTGGTTAGTGGATTATTCCTGAGTAAATGACAGCAGGAGTTTGCTTGGTACCTTCCCAATGTAATTCACCAGTAGATTATGAGTCTGTCAGAAAAATGTGTTTTTAAAGGGGTTTTAAATTTGATTGGGATAAATCAAGAAAGAGAATTTACAAAATAGATGTTGCTTGAAGTAAAGCAGTCACAAAGTCTGCCTTGATGGTAAGAGAAAAGGGAGACCTTGACAAATCCATGAGGAGGGTGTTGGAACTGCTCTTTCTCTTTCAACTCTCCAGTATCCAGGCTTGTAAGACTCTTAAGCTGGTTTTATATGATAAATAAATTTATCTTGATTTCATTCTGTGATTAAGATGATCTCTCTGTTCCAGAGTGGTCTGTACAAAGTTCTCAGCAGTGAAGTGACTGATTGCCCTTCTCATTTCCAGGGATCTTCCAGATGATCCTGCTGTGCAGTGGGACACACAGCTCCTGGCCACCCTTGTCCTGGAGCACATAGAAGCCAAGAACATCAACCTGGTAATGTGACACTTTCTGCAGCACAGGCAATTGCCACGTTACTCCTGAGCCAGTGTTCTGGGCTTTGTCTTTCCCTCTGGAAGGTTTCTTTAGAGTCTCTAAGGTTAGGATGTATCTTCTCTCTCAGGAGAGCTTTCTTTGCTTCCCAGTGAAAGATGAAAAATTTCACTTTTCTAACTCTTCAAATGGTTTCTGTATTTTAAAGCAACCATGTTGTGATGGAGAGAGCCAAATTGGGCTTTAGACTTAGGTTTAGGCTTAGATTTGAAGCCCATTGGCAGATGTGTGTTAGAGAGCTTGATTAGCAGGGTTATAGGTCAGGATTGAAGAATATTAAACTGGGGAGATTTCCTGGCACTGGAATAGTTTGGGGTTTTTTCCCACAGAACAGGAATAAGGGCCTAAGCATGGAAAGGGTTGTGTTCTGTTCTTCTCTGTAGAACCCTGCTTTGATCAGGCATGGCACTGTCACACACTGATTAGCAGCAAAATCACGAAACTCTCAAAGCCTTTCAGCACTTCACAAAACAAGAAACCACATCTCCTGCAGCATGAAAGCCCCACGAGCACAAAACCAGCATCATGCATCCAACTTTGTATTGATTCTGAGGCTAATTTTCCATGAAATTCATTGCTGTGCACAGAGACAAATGCAGTTTTCCTGGACTCCTTTTGTGCCTTTTGGCCCCCTGGATAGATAGGTTTTAATCTAATCTGAAAGCTCCAAACACAGGAGGATTTGTATTGCATGTTTGTGACTCTCAGGGGCGCAGGGACAAGTGCACCAAAACCCCAGAAGAAATTCTGAAAACACCAGAACTCCTCTGGATGGTTAGGAAGGATTAGATCTTTGCCTCGGGGAGAATTAAACTCCAGCTGTTTGTGCTGGGGGAGGCTGGAGTTCAACTGAGCAGGGAAATGTGGGGTTTGCAGAGCAGGAAACATTGCTGGGCATGTGCTGGCCCTGCCAGGATGGAGCCCCTGCATTGCCATCAGCTCCTCCCTGAGCAGCACCAGCACAAATCCCTGCAGCAGGACACAGCAGCAGCACCAGGGCTGCTGGTAATGAGCTGCCCTGGAAATGTGCATTATTTGAAGTGTCCCAAGCAATCACACAGCTCTCAGCTGTGTGCTGCAATACCGTTCATTTAGGAGCAGACTGAATTTGCCAACAGCAGTGAGAGAAGAACCTAAGTACCTTTGTTACACATCCTGCAATTTAAAACTTCAGAGCTTGCTCTCTGTGATATCTCTGCTGTCCTAACCCAACGGCCTTGCCTTGAAAGATAAACTGAGTCCATTTATCACTAATGTTGAAATTGATAGAATTGGCTGAACATGTTAAAAGAGCCTTGAAAAAAGCAAAAACTAACAGAGTTTCAGAGCAGCTCAGTGGAGTCAGCATGACTGGAGGGTGTGCATTGTTGTAGCTATTCCAGTGGGAAAACTTTCCCCAGTTCTCCCAGTAGTCACAGCATTGACAGTGGTATCTTTATTATCTTTATTTGCAGAACATGTTGTGTGCCATCTGGCAGTGGAGCAGGGGCTGCAGTTCCAGCATGTCTGAAAGGAAGGATTGCAAGGCAAGGAGTCCCACATGCTCTGTGCAGTTTCCTTCCATTACATGGTTACTCATTTGTTCAATTGCCCTGGAAGTCCAGGAGTAGCTCAATCTTTTTGGGAGCTACAGGGACATATTTCATCCAAGCTCTACATTAAATAGTGCAGACACAGAAATTAATGGTTGATGTACTCAAAGCCAAAACTAATTTATAGACGTTGGGAATTATTTCCTGCCTTCTGGATTTCCAAGCAAAAGCCAGTGTTGCAGGGAGAGGCAGCCAAGGCTGCTCTGTCTCGATCCAGATTAGAAAGTGTTTGGTGTGTAAAAAGAAAGTTACACAGTATTGTGTGAGCTCCAGGCAGGCTCTTGTTGCTCCTAAATCAGACTCAAAAGACGTCTCCAAACTCAGAAGGGACTCAGAGGGAGTTGATTTCTCCCTGGCCTCTGGGAGTGCAAGGAGAGATGCTCAGGGGGAGGCCATGAGAAGTGGAATTGCTTGCTGTGGCATTTTAAGGAATGGCTCTTATTAAAAAGCAGAGACCTTTGTGTCCCCAGAGCAGATGTGTGCTGTGTTTGAAGCACTGTGTGACACCAGAGGAGGAGGAGAACCTCAGCTTTGAGGTGTGAGGAGGGATCATGGAGTCCAGACCTCTCAGGAGTTTTCTCTTCTGCTGGTAATTGAGTAATTTCCTCTGTGCTCTCCCCTCTCCGGAAGGGATTTCTGGACCTGTTTGTCTTGGCTGCTGCTCTGGCTTCCACCAGTGAAAGCTCCATTTCCTGAATACCAAGGTCACCCAGAAGAAAAACCAGCAACAGCAGCAGCTCCCATTTCAGAACAGGTGTGGGGAGGGAACTCCCTCTTGCCCTAAAGATTTCATTGAGCAATAATTTCCACATGAAGTATATTTACTATCCCAGCCTTTCGCTCCCAGAACTGGCTAAGCTTGTTTTTAAGCCAGACACTTTCAAGATGTTCAGGTTTTCTCATCCTGTCCTGATTGTTTGCTTGATTTCATCATCATCCTGGTTCAGGTTGGGAGTTAAAATCCAGCACAGCAGGAGCTGCACTTGTGGAAGGAGCAAATGCTCCCGTGTGAAAATATCTTCAGCATGTGAGAAAGAAATTCAAATTCCTTATCAATGAAATGAGTCCCTGAAGCCAGAGGGATTGATTTACATGTGATTGCTGCCTGCTTTAAGTCATGAGCAGCACAGTGGTGCTGTGGAATCAGAGCCCTGATTACTTATATAGATATTTAGATGATATATGATATATTTAGGGTGGGACATCCGTGCTGACCCAGGGCCAGATGTGTGCTGAGAGGGATCAGACAAAGGCAATGCCACCTTGGCCAAGTCACTGTGCAGATACCTTGGGAATTGTATTAAAATTTCCTTTATTTCAAGAGACAGGCAATTCAGTAAACAATTACAGTAAACTGGACTGCAGCAGTTGAAAAGGGCTCTCTGAAGTCTCTTCAGCTGGTTCAGACGTTACATAAGCTCAGCAGCTTCCATTTCAAAACAGATGTGGAGAAGGAAAACCTCCAAAGGTGTTTCTGAACAGATAATTCCCATGTCAAGAATATTTCCTAACCCAGCCTTGTTGCTCCCACAGTTGGCCCGAGCCAGTTTTGCAAAAACAATGATTAGTTTATTTAGTCTGCTCACTGAAGTCTCTTATCTCAGTCTTCTGGTTTGTTCTCTTGTAACCTCCACAGAAGAAAAAATGTGTGTTTTGGCTTGTCTGGGGTTTTTAGTTTGATTTCCTAAGGAAACAGGAATAATGCAATTGTATTTATATGTATGTGCACATGCATGTTTCAAAAGACTTTAGAGCCCATTGGCTAATTTCAGCCATGTTTGACAGCAGGGTGCTGCTCTTAAAAATGTTCTCTTTGTACAGGTTGCATGAAAATCAGGGGTTAGGCAGGAGACAAACCCTGTCTCTGTCCCCATTGAGTAAAAAGGTTTAGTGCAAGTCCAGCCCTTATCAGACTCACACTGTTATTCACCTGAACAGGAATTTATTCTGCCTGCAGTGAGTGGGGTATGTTGTCATCTTAGGGAAGTACCACTCTTAGTAGGAGTGACTTCAAAGTGTGTTTTTTTTCTTATCTGTGAAGTCCAGGATGCTGTGCTCACCCTGAGCTGTGCTGAATTTCATGGTGAGCTCCTCCACAAGCTGATATCCACAGGGAGGGCTCAGCCCCATGGCCCTGCAGAGCTCTCTGCTAGTGCTGATGTGCAGCAGCAGCAGCCAAAGTTGAACGCATGCTTCTTCTCCTTATAAAATAGGGGTTGACTAAAAAATGTTTCTTTGTATGTGAATGAAACCAATTTTGCTCCCACCAGTTCCTGCCAGCAAAGAGCAGCCTGGTGCTTGCTGGCCACTGGGCAAAGTGCAAAGTCTGACTGTGGGCTTGTCCTGGGTGGGTTTATAAGCAGGCTTGTGTGAAGTTTGTGAGGTTTGAAGTATTTATGATCGCTGCCTTTGTGTTTCCTCTCCCTTGACTCAATATCCCCTGGCTGAGAGGGCCTCTCCTGCTGGAGGAGCAAGTTGCAGGATGGGCACGGTGGCTTTTGATCTTCCCCTGCTCTCTAACCCAGTGCCCCAGGCTCTGCATATAAAAGAGATTTTGGGAAGGGAGGTGCTGTGAGTGAGCAATGCTGCAGCATTTCCTTCCCTGAAGAGAGAACAAGCTGGCAAGGAAGCAAACATTGCCTGAAACGTGGGAGTTGATGATTTCTTCCTGCTCCCAGAGAAGGGAGCTGTGGAGAGCTCTGCTGCTGGGCCTCTCCCAGAGCAGGCACTGAGCTTTGCACTGTGCAGGGACTGGCACTTTCACTGCCTGCAAAGAGGATGGGCACACATTCCCTGTCCATTCTACACTCTGTGCTGCCACTTTAGCTGCTTGGTTGGGACTGGGAGCCTTTAAGTGCCCATTGCAGAGCCCCACAGAGGGAGGGGGTCCCCAGGGTGATGCCTCAGACACTGCTGGTGGGTCTGAGGGCAGGGAGCCTGGGGGGTTCTGTGCTCTGGACAGTGCCTGGTCAGTGCTCTGTGCACACATTACTTCTGCATTTTGGAGTTCCCATTTCTCCCTGCAGAGAAGCAATTAACAATGCAATCTAATTCAGTGAAAAGCCTGATTTGGTTGTACAAAAGTGCATTCGGATTGTTTAAAAAGGCTTCTTCTCCTATCAGAGCCAGGACAGTCATACATGCTTGTGTGGCTCATTTTGCATCAATGATTCAAACCATGGCTTCACCCTGTCATCCACAGGCACTGGAGGATGTTCTCAGGTCCAGGAGAGAGTGATTCATAGAGCTGGACCTCTCGGGTCAGGAACACATTTGCAACAGATCACTTTGAAAGTGACCTTTTGCCCTGGTAAAAAGTGACAAGTGCATCCTGCCAGTGGGGACATGATCTTGGTCATCTTTCTGTTGTTGGGCTGTTGGGCTGTGCAGTCATCTGGTTCCAGAGTGCCTTGTTTGTTTGGTTGTGTCTCTGTGGCATGAGGAGTTCACACACAAGGCCTCATTGTGCAACACATAAACAACTCATTAGACACAACAGACTGGAACAGGGCTTGGATGTCAAATTTGGGAACTGCAAAGGCTCCTCCTCCTGCTCCTAAATGCTTCTTGTGTGTGTTTATTGCAGGTGGTGACGTTTGATGCAGGAGGAGTGAGTGGCCATGCCAACCACATCTCTCTCTACACTGCTGTCAGGTACAATGTCTGCAGACTTCTCTGGGTGCTGTGGAAGCAGAACCAGGGCACTGTTCACTGCTCCAACTCAGTGCCAGGCTGTGGGACATGACATTGGAGAAGCTGCCACAGCTCTGGAAATAACCTATGGCATCTTTCAGTGTTCCACCAGCTGGGACCTTGCCAGTCTCCCTTTCACTGGGCCCTCTTTGCTCTTCCTGTCCTTGATCCCATTAAAATATGCCACAGATCACTTTGCACTCTGCTTTGAGGAGTGTGAATACATGATGCCTGAGCTGGTGGCAGGTGGGTTTTGGAAAGTTCTTCACCAGAGGATGTTGCCATCTTGTCCAGGTACCTGAATTTACCTCTCTGCCCAAGGACATTGCTCTTTCACTGGAGCTGTCCCCATTTACCACTTTAGGAATAGTCTGTTAGTTCCTTCACTATTTTATTCCTTACATTCTGGGACTCTGTGTTTCCGTGTTGTGATGGTGAGGTTAATAGACAGAAATCCCTTTATTAAAATCACTCAGATTTTGCTGGCAAGGCAGCCACTGTATTTTACTTTAACCCTCTGCTCATTCAGACCTCACTGTGTCCTAGAGAGATTTCCTGCAGAGCTGCCCCTGCCTTTCCCAGGCATGAGAAGAACTCTTTGCAAGTACAGCTTTGTATTTATAGCACCCATTTGTTTTCTGAATCATCTGTGCAATTCAAATAAACAAATTCTTCTGGCTGTCCTTGCTGACAGCATCACAGTGATTTGCCTTTCTCACTTGCCTATAGAAAGCTGCAGTGCCACAGAACCCATACTGGGACCTTCATCTCCTCTGGGAAGATGCTGAGAGCTTTGATGGCTGGAATTCAGTGTTAAAGGGGGATCATGGCTTTTCCCAGCAACTTCTGAAATTGCCTAACAGAGGAGAGGGGCTGGGGTTAAAGCAAGCAGTGCTTTGCTTGGGCTGGGTGGGGAGGTGGTTTCAGGCACAGTTTGAGGAGTGAACAGAGGTTGAGCAGAGGCTGATGGCTCAGGAGCAGAGGTTGAGCAGAGGTTGATGGCTCAGGAGCAGAGGTTGAGCAGAGACTGAGCACTGAGGAGCAGAGGTTGAGCAGAGGCTGATGGCTCAGGAGCAGAGGTTGAGCAGAGGCTGAACACTGAGGAGCAGAGGTTGAGCAGAGGCTGAACACTGAGGAGCAGAGGTTGGGCAGAGGGTGATGGCTCAGGAGCAGAGGTTGAGCAGAGGCTGAACACTGAGGAGCAGAGGTTGGGCAGAGACTGGTGGCTCAGGAGCAGAGGTTGATGAGCAATGCTCACACCATTGGCACAGAGGGCCTAAAGAGCTTCCAGCTGCCTGGACCTCTGTTTGCTCACTCAGCTGCTCTATGACCCACAAAGAGGAATGAAAGGCAGGTTGTTAGGTGTCCTCCTCCACCCTGAAGAGATCATGGGAAAACAAGTTAGCAGCTGAGTTATATATGAGAAATTTAAGGAAAACTTGATTTCGTTCCCAGTTCTGCTCTTATCTTTGTGGCTGTGCAGAAATCACTTTCCCACCTTCATGCTTTATGTTTCTTGTGTGTGCAGTGGGGATCTAACCCTCTTCTTGTCTCAGAGCATGTTACCAGGAAATGCTCACTGTCTACAATTCCCTTGAACCCAGAGCTTTGCCTTGGTCCTCAGCTGGAGCAGAACACTCTGGGCTGATGAGATCCATGCTGATAGGGACACCAGAGCATGAGCAGTTCTCATTAACTAAGGGCTGGTTTGTGTCTTGTCTCCTTTCCAGTCCTGAATCAGCAGAATTAATCATGGTAGCCCCATCATCTGCATGTGGCAGGAGTGATGCCGTGGCTGCTGAAAGGTTAAGTTTATTTTTAGTGGCTTGCTTGCCCTCATTATTTTTCAGTTTGTGTTATGGAGGAAGTAGAGCGTGACTGTATCACTCCTGACTCTCAGTGCCCTGATGAGTTCTCACATGTTGGCCAGCACAGGCAGCTCTGGGAGCATAAACTGAGGCTTCTCCTGTGCCCCTGTGCCAGCAGAGCTCTGCAGAGCAGCAGTGGCTGCCCCTGGGGCCCCAGTGCTACATGGCAAGGGAAAGGCAAATGACCTCTCCCCTCCAGGTATCATCTGCAATGTATTTATTAACCTTCTTTAAACAAGTCCTGCAGGGTTCTGCCTCCACTGTGCAAAGTGGAGGAAAGGATGAAGCAGGGGGCTGGTGCAGTGTTCCTCAGCTCTTTTGGATGCTCCCAGTCTCTGGGAGACAGGCTTGTGCCCACTTCCATGAGATCACTTTCTGCAAGAGCAGGGCTGGAAGGGGCTCTGTGACCCTCCCACAACTCCTCACTTCAGGAGGTGCAGATTATTGAACAGCTTCAAGGAATAAAACAGTTCAGGAAATGGTCATAGCTGAGCAGATGCTCAGTATTGTCTGCTAAGGGCATAAATATTCTCTCCAGTGTCTGGAACAGAGGTTATGTTCAAAGGAGCAGGAACTACTCAGAAGAAATGAGCTCTTTCCCTTGCAGCAGCCTTCCTCCTGACAGCTTGCAGGAGTCCAGCTGCTGCTGTGTGCCTGCCTGGCCTTCAGATCTGGGAGGAACTGGGAAATGCCAAGGTTCAAGGATGGATTTGTTCTTCTGCAAGGGAAACAAGAAAAAACAGGATGGGAGAGGAACACAAATTACTATTTGATTTCAGTCTCCCCTGGGAGTATTTCAGTTCTGACTTCCAGACAGAAAAAAACCCAACCCAAACCCAAGAAAAACCCACTGCAGCAAAGCAGGGAGGACTGGAAGCAATCTTCAGTAGCTTGGTTTGGCAACATCATCCTCTTTTATCCCTCAAAACACGAGCTTTCACTCTGGCCATGGGAGGCTGGATCCTTTACACTCATCCTCAAGGAAGAGCAGGTCTTGAGTGACATCCATGTCACTTTGTCCCCTCTCAGCATTTGGCCAGTCACTAGGCACTGTGGTAATGAGCTTGGTAAATACTCTGTGACAAGAATATTGGAGAACCTCTCTCTCCTGCACTCTGAAATGACAGTGCCTGCACTGAGATCACATGTAATATCAAGGTGGTTTAGTTTTGCATGAGTCACTGTGCATTTTGATTTTAAACAACCCCTCTTGCCCAGGAGCCTGGCTAATGGGGGGCTGTTGGGTTTGTTGTTTGCTTGCTTAGGATGGAGAGGAATCATCTTTGTGAGGAGGAGGAGGAGGGAGGACTGTACCACTTGTTTTCTTTAGTGAGCTATCAAATCCATTTTATCCCAGCTAGAACAGAAAAGAATAGTCTTGTCTGCTTAGGGCAGAGCAAACTGAGTGGAAAATAGGAGCTGCTATATTTAACCACTGTGCATTATGTTGTTATAGCAACTGCATCCATAAAACTTCTATCAATGATGCCATATAAAAAGCTACATCAAGGAATCATTAGCTGAGCCTATTCTCGTCAATTCCATTTGGAAAAAACACCTCTCAGTCCTGCAGGATGTTTTTTAACATCCACCAGCCCTGTGGCAGGCTGTGAATGAGGCTGTGCAGAGATAATATTTGGGAGCTTTATCACTCAGCAGTGGATTAGGATGCAGCCTGAGTGCCACCAATGCCTTGTGGCACTGCCCTGTCCCAGCCTGGCCACTGAATGCCCCACTCCTGATTGCCATGGACATTGTCAGAGGGCTGCACTGAGGCTCCCTGGCAGAGGAGGGCTGGGTAAATGCCAGCTGCAAATCCCTGTGTGGAAACAATGAGGAGCAGTGTCCAGCCAGTCCCACTTGGTGGGAGCCATTCTCAGAGGCCACCAACTGCATCCCACCCCACAAAGCACACTTCTGCTGTGAGTTTCTGTTGAATTTCCAAGGCCAGGTCTTAAAGGACAGGGAGGAAGCTGGGTTTGGGTGATTAGCTTGATAAGTGTGAAGGATATCCCATTTACCATTTTTATTTGGTGCCTTCCTGCAGTGTGGGGCTGGAAAATCTCTCCCTCCTTTCAGCAGCTACAGCCCATGCATTTCTCACTTGTTTTACTGATCTTAAATGTGCTGGGGGAGCTTATGAGCGATGGCTGTGGTTGCAGCCAGACTGTCCCCATAAGGGTGAGACAGAATTCTACTCTGCTGTCTCTCCTTGAGACTTCCCCTCAAAGCTCTCTGCCCTGGCATATATCCCATAGCTGGGTGTGTAGTTCTAGATTTTATCTCATTGCTTTATCCCTTTCCCTCATTCCTTCATTTGACCAAGTTCATTCATCCCAGTGCCCTTCCATGACACTGTTGAGAGCCATCAGGATTAAATCTGAGCATGGAGCACCAGCACAGAAGGGATTCCCTCTAAAGAAGGTTTTTTTCCCCCAAAGAAGCAGCCTCAGGGGGTGTCCTTCTCTGTGCCACTGGGCTGCTGGCAGTGACACTGCACATTCCTCTCCCAGACAGTGCAAGGCCCAAAGCACAGAGCCAGGACAGCTCTGGCAGCTGGAACATCTCTGCGTTGCCACTGGCAGAACATCTTTTGCCACTGCCCCACGTTTGAGTGCAGAGAGCCTGAGCAGTGTTGTACAAAGTGCTGCTCCACGGTGTAGTTCAGGGTGCATGGAAATGGAGCCAGAAAATCCAGCTAGGGAGGGAGGAGGCATTCCAGAGAGCAAACATCCAACATCTGGCAAGGATATCCTTCTAATGTCTCTGTGATTCCTGGGAGACTGCCTGCTCTTCCTCCTTCACATCTGTTTCATCAGATTAATTGGGCAGATTAGAGGTTGGGATCCTAAATGGAGCCCCAGTGCAGCTTTAAGACATCCATTCTTTGCCATGCTCTTCAAAACTCTATTTCCCCAGTGCTCCACAGCAGCCAGCAGTCAGTGCAGTGAAGGGTTTTGCCTCTGGCTTGGGAAACTGTTTGGAGAGTGAAGTCATTGAATTCAATGAACAACTTCTCATCAAACAGAACATCACCCAAAATGTAACACACCCTGGTGGGCATGAGCCCCAGAGGGGTTCTGTGCTCCCCAGGGCTGAGCTTTCAGCTCCAGCTTGACTTCTTCCTTCTTGGAACGGCTTGGGAGGTTTCACTGGTCAGTGCCACAGAGGAGCTGACCCACCCACACCTTTCCTGAGGATGCCTGAGTGAAGAGAGGAATTTGGGAGCCAGCTCAGTGCTGCAGTTTGCAGGGTGAGGGCGTTGGGCATTTCAGTGTTCCTGCTGAGCAGATGGAGCTGGTGCCTGCAGAGCCTTCAAAGCAGCTGGGCCTTGAGGGAGGAGCTGGGGCTGAGATCTTACAGGGCAGAAATGGTTGGAGCCTTTGGACACCTCATGGCCTTCCCAAATTCTTCCCTGCAGAGGGTCTCTCATGTGGACCTGAACCTACCACAGGCATTGCAGGAGAGGTGCCCTGTAATCACCAGGCTCTGGCACCTGGGCAGTGGGTGGGAACGAGCCACCTTGGGTCACTTTGTGTTTAAAAAGGATTATAAAAAGGCTCTCCGGGAAGAAAAAACAAAACACCCACATGGAAAAATCTCCTGAAAAAGAGCCTGTGTTTTACTTTTTGAGATTTTATGCCAAACTCTTTCATTTCGACCAAACCACAGCAAGTCCAATCTGTAAAACAACATTCCCAAAATGGCAACAACTGAGAGCTGCAACCTCTCCCCTACTTGGAAGTGTCCCATGGAGACACTCCAGCAGGGTGGAGATGGGAGTGAGAAGATGGATTTGGGAGAGGATTGGCTCATTTTGTGAACGTGTGCAGGAGGTAGAGCTTCGTGTTTCTCTCTCTCTCTGCAACCACAGAGAAATACAAATGAGCAAGGCTGCAATTCCTCTGCACACAGAGCTGGGTGGAGCCCGTTCCCAGGGCTCTGCACTGAGCTTTGCTGAGGATTGAAGCATTTGGATTGGGACAGAAAGGATGAGGAGAGATGCAGTTTCTTCATGCCTGTTCTTCCAGATGAGTGACAGGTCTGCTGGCAGCAGCTTTGAGGACCTTCCAGTAACTAAACACAGTTTGTGTCTTCCTGAACCTTTACACAAGCACAAACTCCTTCATTTACTGCTGAATGACACTTTCCTTCCCTGCTGAAGATGCTCCCTGCTCTGCTGAAACGTTTCCATGTGAGCTGGATCCCTCACTCCTGTTTCTAGTGACAGGAGTGGTTATTATTAGTTCCCTCTTGGAGCAGCTCAGGGCTTTGAAGGTGCCTCCATGGCAGAGCAGCACACCCAGCACAGACACTGGCCTTTCCGAGTTTGCCAAATTTCACAACCACTCACTGCTTTATCTCCCCAAGCTTATTCTCAAAGTTTCCCACCCTACTAACTGTACCAAGTGCTGAATCATTTCTTTTGGTGGCCAGATTCCACTTGTGGGGGAAGAAACCTCTGGCAGAAGAGCAGAGCAGATATTCATGGAGATATTTAAATTACAAGGCAACATTTAACAGTCTTTGTCAGAGCAGTAAGGCTTGAGTGGTGGGGCAGAAGGTGGCCAGGTCACTATTCCAAGGCCTTTGTTTAGCAGGAAATGGCATTGCTTTGGCTCTGGAGCAGAGGACACCACTGGCAGGAGAATCTTTTGAATATGTTTTCTGATTGCTGTTTGAGTTCTGTCATGACCTGCATTTCTGGCTTGATTTTTGCTTTGTATTGCATTGGGTATTCATCACTCCGTGCTTCCTATTTTGTCTAGGCCTGTGTAGCTAATCCTTTTCCTTGAACTTAACCAACAGCCAGAGATAATCCTAGTTTGAAAGTGACTGGAGAAACACAGCAGTTTACATATAATGCATGTTTTATCCTGGCTGATTTACACATGAACTGGCACATTGTCCTTTGTCAGATACACCACTATTAGGTGATAACAATCTCTTTAAATATTACACAGGGTTAAATAACTTTTTTTTTATTATTATTTCCTTTCTCATTTTGGCAAATGTTCCATTGTTTGGATGTCTTTTTCTCCTGGAAGAGCAGGACTGGGTGTGGGACAGCCCTGAGTGCCATCTGCTGGAGACCTGCTGCTTCCCAGCCCTGCTGTGGGCCAAATTCAGATGGCTCCAAAGCCATGAGCAGGGAAAACAAGAGAATTAAGAAAATAATTGAAATGAACACCCCCTGATGTCCTCACCATCCCAGGGTCATTTGCTTACACTTCCTGATGGAAGTGCCACCACCATTCACATCTCCCATCCTTGGTCCTCCCATTCTGTTTTGCTACAGAGACTTCCCAGGACAAAGTCATGAAGGGATCAAAGTTTTGGTGAGCAAAAAGCCAGAGCAGCTTCTCAGATGTCCCAGTGCCAGTCTGGGTTAGGAAAAAAGAGCTGGTGCCCAAAGAGGAGCAGCTGCTGAGACAATTCCCCTGGCCAGCAGAGCCTGGGCTTTAAACAGCCAGAGGTGCTCCCAGGGGTGAACAGCCTTCCCTTGGGAAGTCTGAGAGTGAATTTGATTTATGAAGCTTATTTGTGGTGTGCCCCAGCAGGCAGGATGAGGGAAGGAGTGGCAGAATAGTGTGGGGAATGAGGCTTAGCCCTGCCTGGGGTGCTCCAGTGTGGGCTCCTGAAGTTTCTCACAAGATTGGCCATTGTCACTGGATGTTAAATGAAAAGGCTTGGTTGAATGTGCAGGGTTTTATTCCTGTAAAATCAGGATTTGAGTATTTCCACGGAGTGTTGACCCCTTGTATCTCTTCTTTCACAGGTACCTGCATTCAGAGGGGAAGTTACCTGAAGGTAGGAGTTCCATCCCCTCCCTTCCCACCTCACATCCCCACCCTGCTGTCCTTGACATCCCTCTTGTGTCCAGGGTTCCAGCTGCCCAACTCATCCCTGCACTGCAGGTGAAATCCACAGCTGAACTTTTATCTTCCTGCAATTTTTTACCAGGATTCTCTACATCATTTTTCAGTCCCTTGGGGTTGTCCTGCCTCAGTGGTGTGATGCAGTGTCTGGCCTGTGCCTCTTGGGTGAATTTGAGTGCCCTTTCCAGGTCCCTCAGCTTAGTCACAGTTTTTGGTCACATCCTGCTTCCCAGCCTTTTTCTGTGACACAAGCCTCAGAAATGATTACCCACTTAGCCAAAAATATTTGCATGTAGCAAGTTAAGCCTCCACCAATCTGTGCTCAGAAAGAAATCTGAAATCTGCAGTGGCACAACAAACTGTAGTGGCTTCTTCCACCCGTGAGCGAGAATCTCTGAGAAATTCTCTGTACAAGTAGGGAAAGGAAAGGAACAAAGTACAGAAGGAGGTAGCTGCTGACCCCTTTTCTAGAGCAGAGCTGCAGCCCTTATCTCCAGCAAACAGTTCCTGCCCAAGGACAAATGTGTGGCCCTCGTTTAAGCACAAAGCTGTCACTCAGCTCTTTGGACAGAGCATAGGAAGGTGGCTCAGCCAGGCCCACCCAGTCATCCTCCTGCTCCCTCGGCAGCCATCCAGGCTGTGCTCCTTTAATGCTAATTCCCAAATCATTGTAGGATTTGAATGAGTCACAGCAAATCAGTTTTAATTCTCTGCTAGCAGGAAGTTGCAGGCCTAATGAGACAGCATGAGCCAAGATGGCAGAATGCCCTTAAGCTGAGCTCTGACTCCAGTCCCTTCAGTTCCCCAGTTCATGAAAGAGGAGTATTAGTGCCAGCTTCATTCCTTGGACCTTTTCTTTGTTCAGCCTTGGGCTGCAGCAGAGCTCTGTGTGCAGCACAAAGCACAAGGGGCTGCAGTGGTTGATGTCACTGTCAGGCCCCCTCTACACTCAGCCACTTTCAGGTGCTGCTCATGCAGGTTTCACTCTGGTCCTGAATATGGGCTGTGCCTCAAATCCAGACTCACATACAGAGAACATTTCCATTTCTCCAGCAGCATCAAGAGGCTGCTGCAGCTCTGTGCAAGCCTTGCTGCTCTGATTACATCACATCTGACATGACCTACAAACACCAAAGGAGCGGGGAGCTCCCATGCTGCTGCTTATGCTAAGCCTTTCCAAATATAGTTCCAGTCTCATTGAAATTCCCAGTATTTATAATTTGATCTGGCAGGCATGCAGGGCTGTGCACCAGAGGGGCTTAATGAAACAAGGGTGATGTGGGATTGAGGCTGTCTGGATGGAGCTGAAAGGGATGTTCAGGCCATGGAAAAGTGCTGTGCTGCTGTTGAGAAGAGGGAGCTGTTTGTGGGTGAGCCTGTGTAAGCCCATGTGATCAGGGAATCCACAGAAAATCTCCCTGCAAATGCAAAAGCCAGCTAAGCCTTGCATTGCCTCAGTGATATGCAAATGAGCACCCTAAATATCCTGCTCTGCTTTCTAATGCCTTTAGCCAGCACAAACACAACAGGCTTTTTATAATCTGTAATCAAGTCCTCCAGCCCAGGCACAAGCACTTGTTTCAAGAAGCCAAGACAACTGCTGGATGTGCTCCCACCCCTGCCACTGGCCCCTTCCAGCTACAACCAGAGCTCTTCCAGAAGAACCTCTGCCTCCTTCCCTCAGGAGCAGTGCAGGCCTGCAGCACTCACAGTGCTCACTCAGGAGCTCCTCATTCTAGGCATCCTTGCTGCCTGAATGGTTTGGAAGTGGAATGCCAAGCTGAGCAGGCTGCAGGCTTCACACACTTCTATTCTCAGCCTAATCCATGAGCTATATTGATCCTGCCCTTTCTGCCAACCTGGCGAGGTTGCATTACACTGCTAATCCCATCCTGCCCAGGTCACAGGCACAGCAGGCTCTGGAAAGCTTCACCTGCTGGTGTCACAGGACTCCTCAATGGCAGCCCTGCTCTCACCCCGCTTGGCAGGGAGCAGCCTGACTCTCTGGCTCCTTTTCCATCCCTCCCTGGACTGTACATTCCTTTCCTGCTTCATTTCATCTCACATTGCCATGCAGAGCAGGCTTTGCTGTCAGCACATGGAAATCCTGGTTGGATCACTGACACAGAGGGCTCTCACAGTGCCCTTCTTTTTGGGGAGCTGCATGCCACCACTTCACCTGATCTGACCCAGGAGGACCCAGCAGGTCAGAGCCATCCACACTGGAATCACTTGCCATGGTTTTGAGTCCTTATTGCTGAGCTTTGGGGAACAAAAGGGTGCAATTGCTGCGTGAATTAATATTTTTCAGGGAAAAAAAATGAGGAAAGGGAGAGCACATTTGGTTAACAGAGCAGCCCAAGCTTCAGAGAGTGGTGCCAGGCCTCTTTTCCCATCACTGTGAGTAGGAATTGATGTGGCATTGCCAGAGTCCCTGAAAGCCATCCAGGAAAGGAAAGATCATTGTCCTGTGTTTGAAAAGCAAACAGGTACCATTGGGAATGCTGACAGCAGCACTGTACTAATTCTTCCCTCTGAAACTGCCCCAGCAGCAGCCCAGAAGATCTCTGCAGAGGAAGGGGAAGAATGCTTCCCCCACTCACAGCACATCACAGATTTCCTTCCAAGTTTGCAATTTGCAAACAAGAAATGTCTCCAAGCGGGATTAAAGGAGCGTCAGGGCCCTTCTGTGAGCGACGGCAGCACTTGTGCCTGCAGAGCATCCCCTGGGAGAGCAGCCGGACCCACGGCAGCCGAGCAGCTCTGCCTGTCCCCTGTCCCGGGGGCTGGCAGCGGGGCAGGGGCTCGGGGAGTGCCGGGGCCGTGCCGGTCCCAAGCCCCCGCATTCCCGCAATCCCGGGGCGCTCATTGCCCAGCGCCGCTCCCTGACCCGGCCCCGGGGGCACGGCGGGGCCGGAGGTGCTGCAGGCATTGCTCCGAGGGGATGCGGGCCCGCGGGCCCGGCCCTCCCGGCCGGCGCACGCCGCCACCTCCCGGCGGCTCCCGAGCAGCGCCCGCCGCTCCCAGCGCGGATCTTCCCCCTCTGCCTCGCTCCACAGCGGCTGCAAGCGCCGGTGGCTGCCCTCGAGGGCTCGGCCCCTGCTCCTTGCTGCCCGCAGCGGGAGGAAATCACTGCTGTGATGCTCTGTGTCAGCCCCCAGTGTCCCCTCCGTGGAAGGGGAGCGTGGCCCCGGAGCCCTCTGTGGTGCTGAAATGAAGAGTTAACCAAGTTAACTTTGGAGAGGCTGTTGAAAAGTTGGAACAACACCTTTGGAGAAAAGAAAAGACAGAAAGGAATTGAAAGATCCTGGTGATGTGCCAGAGGGAGTCTATGAGAGCTTTGTTCTGTCTCTTCTGTGTAATTTCACTGTTTCAGGGCTCACTGAAGGAAATCTCATTGCAAATCGAATTGTGTCTCTGCCCACCTGTGTAAACTGTGACTTTGGCCTCTTCTGTCAAACTTTAATACAATGTGGGAAGTGTGGAACATAATCACAGCAGCTGCCAAGCCAAGGAAATCCCAAAGCAGCTCCCTTGAGAGCTACAGGCTCTTAACAGGACCATCAGTAGCTCTGAACTCATCAGTGAAGACAATTTAGCCATGGTAAAAAGAAAAATAGCAATTAACTTTTGAGTTCAAAGGGATCTTTGAAACAGAAAAAAAAAACCTCCCTTCAACATCAGCAGAATCTTGAAACATGTTACCTTCATCTGCTTCATCACAAACATCTGAACAATGAATTCAGAACTCTGTTAAAGTGTTACTGCCTGCCTGAGTTAATATTTTATCCCTGAGGCTTGTAAATATTTATTCTGTAGCTAAGAATTGGAGTAGAAAGATGAAATTTCATTTTGGTAGCTGAACCAGAAACTACTGTTTTAAAATTCCATTATATGATACAGTGTCAGCATTCAGAAAATTATCTGTACCTATTTTTTTGAGTCTAATTATGCAGAAAGAATTTAAAAACACCCAGTTTTTGGGATATTCAAAGCTAGCTTTGCTTTCCACAGACTATTACAGAACAAGATCCAGCACAAAGGGTCACATACACAATAAGAGCCAAATGGTCATAGATGTGCACAGGGCACAAAGAAATCCTGGTGGGAGCATCAGAAGTTTTTCCCCCTTTACACAAAAAAGATTCCCAAGGCCAGCAGCACAGGGAAGCTGCAAAGAGCTGCTGAGCCTGGAGAAAAGGGCACCTTACAAGAATGCTGCTGGTTTGAAATATTTATCCTTTTTCTCTGTGTAGGGTGCCGTGTGCTCGTGCTGGAGTCAGTGAATCTCTGCAGGAAATACATTTCCTTCCTGGATGTCCTCATTTCCTGCCTCCTGCCCAGGGATGCACTCTTCATCCTCACAGAGGAGGAGACTGAACAAGCCAAGGTGAGATGAGTGACACCTGCCTGACCTGTTGGAGTGGCTCATCCTCATTGTGAGCACTTTAGTCACGAGTGTCACATTCCCAGGGGATGCCAGAAGTAGTGTCATCCATGGGTTGGAAATGTCACTGAGGAATGTCTGTGGTGATTTTAGAAACATGGTTCCTTCATGTCCTGTGTGACAGGACAGGGCTGAGCAGATTTGCAGCTCAGACAGTCACTGGGCACTGAGTTTGACACTCCCCAGGATGTAGTATGCATTTCAAAGGAAACTGGATCCAACACAGTATTCTGAACATGTGAGTGGTCTGTGAAAGCCTGGCATGACTGCATGCCAGGATCAGCATCCTTGATCACAGCTCTCACTAAAGATGGAGACAGCCTCTGAACTTGTGGTCCAAAGCTCTTCACAAGTTCCCTTTACTGTACATTTTTAAACTATTTTGCTGCATAGGATCTCACACGTTTACTTCACAGTTCCTTGCATCAGAATCTGATTAGCAGATGAAAATATTTACCCAGCAAACAGTGCTGTTAATTCACAAATTACAGACTTTTCCTGCTTCTGAGGCTGTTAAAAGATGAGTTACTTATGGAAACAGCTTGGATAAAGGTGGTGTTCATTATTGCCATGTATTTTTGTTCCTGAAATCTGACCTTTCTAGGCTGGTGCACTATAAATAGACTCAGCTGCAGCTGCCAGTGTGTAGTCAGAAGGAGCAGAGATGTTCCCAGACACACGTATCAGGCTCCTGCTTCCCAGCATGTGAACACTTCCCCAGGCCTGAGATCAGGTGGGGAGGAGGAGTTAGAAGTGACACATGAAGTGTCCTTTCCATCAGGACCATGTGAGCATCAGGCAGCACAACAGCAGGCTTGGGGCAGACAGGCCCAGAGCCTAGGCAGGCTGCCCTGCCTCTCCCTGCTCACTGTCCTGCAAATGGGCACTGACCCCCAGAGCAGGAGCAGGAAACTGCCCCCACAGCAGCTCTGGAAGGTTCCTGAGATGCTCTCTGCCCTGTTTCTCTCCTAGAGAGCCATGAGGTGCCATCGCAGCCAGCTCCTCTGGTTCCGCCAGCTCTACCTGCTCTTCTCTCGCTACCTGGTGCTCAATTCCCTGCGCCTGCTGTGACAGGACACCACTCCCAGGAGCAAAGGATGAGCAAAACCACCACTGCTCCAGGCCCAGGACTCAAGAAAGCTCCTGTGTTAGGATGGGGTGCTCTTTGTGTGGCATTCTCTGCACTACAAAAGCCAGGCTGGGTGAACCTCCTTCTCAGTACCTTGTTTCCTGATACACTGAGAACAGGGTTAACAGTTATTCTGTATTCTCATCATAGAAGCTTAAATAAGATGAGAAATTTGGATTAACTTTAATTGGGAGCCAAGCTCTGGAGGATTCTGCACTGGAGAAGATATGGCACAAACTGTTTCCCCAAGAAGATAGAGCTGCAAGGACTGCTTGGCAACTCTCCCTTGGTGCTTTTGTAAAACCCAGCTATCAGGAGTAACTTTTCAAAGGTCATGCTATCTCCACAGATACCAACAACCACAACACCTTTGTTATTCAGTCAGAACTTTAAAAAGCCAAAGCTTTTGAATAAAACATCAGAAATGATGCAATTTTTTCCTAATTGTACTTTGCTGTTGCTTCTTTTATACACATTGCAGGCTCCACGTTCACTTTCACCTCCTGAAATATGAGCTTTTCTTCTTGATTCAGAACGGGCTCAAGGTCAACTCACAAGAGCAGGACATAGGAATGAGGTGCAAGTGAGTGTAATGAAGGCTTTTGTACTCTGATTTAAACTTTAGCACAGCTAAAGGCAAAGTGCCAAACCAGCAACCCTGCAGTGGTGTAAAGAGCAGAGGCAGTCTGAAAACTGAATTTCACAAAGGAATGAGAAAATCAGTGTAGAAAGATTTATTTAAGAAAACAGAGAACAGGTAACAGTAATGTAGAGACTGATTTCACCAACCATCACCCAGGAAACCCCGGACTGCAGTTCCATGGCAGTGCTCCCAAGGCTGCTGAAGGGTGTGTCAGGGTTTTGACATGTCTCTGATGGTCTTATGTTCCCTCACTGCTTTCTCCCACTCCTTGCCATTGATATCCTCTGTGATAATGGTCTGCACAGTGCCATCATCCAGACAGTGGGGAGCAATTCCTGAAGAAAAACAGAGTACACAGAAACCTACTTTTCATAAAATGTGGGAGATGCCTCCTCCAGTGGAATCTTTATGCAAGGTTTACTTGGTGGTTAACTCTGGTTAGCACAGCTTGCTTTGCACCTACCATAACCATCAGGGTTAGAACGAGGAGTATAAAAGCTCTGAACACCACAGGTCTTGCAGAACGTATGCTGGGCACGGTGTGTGTTGAAGGTGTATGTTGTCAAATTGTCAGCACCCTAAGGAAAGGAAAAGCACTGTAAGTTTCCATGGAAATAGATGGATTCATTACTTTGGAATGATACAATGTAGAAATGTACAATTTAAAGTGCCACCTTCCTGTCTTGACAGGATACAGAGCTGTGCATTCCTGCTCCTCTCCTGAACCCCTGTACTCTGTATGGACATGTGTCCATAACAGTCAGGCCTGGGAACTGCAAGAGCTCCAAACAAGATGCACTAACACAACCACATCAAACAGCTTAAAATGCAGCCATTTCCCCCAAACAGCCAAACTTAGAGCAGAAAACTTCTTGTTCTTGGCTCTGTGAGAGTCACACTGCTCGTGCTCATGTGTGTTCTTTACCTTCAGCAGCTTGAAACGCGACGCTGGCACGATGAAGTGTCGGTTCTGTTTCTTTGTGCAAATGCTGCAACTGCAAAAGAAAAAACAGACCTTTCTAGAAGTGGACAGGTTGTAGAGCAGCAATCTGACCTCTTGACAACAGAAATTTCACTGACAGCTAGAATGGCTCAGAGGTGAGTGGCTGAAGTGGATTTGTGGTGTCAGTAGTGTTTGTCAAGCACACCCATGAACAGACTGACCCTACACAGGTACCCCAATCAGATCTTCTCACACACAACTCTTGAGGATAAACTCTAGCCCTGAGAAATCCACTCAATGGTTCAGAGCATGCTTGGGCAATTTTGCCAACATTCATTACCTTGCAAACAAGAAAGTAAAGTTCAGAAGTTCACCCATGAGCTGGAAGCAAACGAGTTGCAGGCAAAGAGGGGTCACTACTGAAACCAGAGAGTGTTTTAGTTTGAGGCACATGTGGTCAGAGCTGTAATGTCACTTGAGAAGAACAAGTTAAAAAAAGACCAATGTGCTTTGAGCCCCCTGCATGAGAGGAAACAGAAAGCAGATGGGTGAGCACCTGGACTCATTAGATCTCTCCTGACACTTTTCTGTGTGAGCCTGGCTGAGACATGAAGTCCTGCCCAAAGCAGCACCTGCAATCACCAACACTGATCTCATAGTGGATCAGGACATAATTAGGGGTAAATCCGGTGGAAACAGCTCAGAGGGTGTTCTGCAGCTGTCCCATCTTTAGCTCTAAGGTTGGAAAAGCAGAGAGCTGACATTCATCTCTGGGAACAGGGAACAAACCAACTCACTTGCAGTTGAACACGTGCAGATCTGCTGAAGCCCAGACCTCAAAGCGGACGGCTCCACAATGACAGCCCCCTGTGTGCTTCACCAAACCCCTGTATTCACTGCAGAGAGACACAACAGAGCTTTTGCAATCCTCCTCTCTTGGTTTTTGCCCCAGAGAACAGTAAGGCTGTACATGACATTATTCAGTTCTCTCTTGAGCTGTTGCAGAACACAAATAAATAGATCCACTCACATATATTTAACAACATGTGTCAGAATGAGGTGGAGGATGGCTTTTGTCTGTGCAGCAATTGCTTTTGTGGTTTAATTAAAATGGTGACAAGGAAAGAAGAGCAGCACTTTGAGGACTCTGTAAAACACAGCTCCAGGTCACAGTGCTGACCCTACAGCTGTGTCCATACATAACCCTACACAGAAACCAGGGCTATCACCTCAAAACAAACTGCTTGGAACTGAGAACTAAATTTCCCCACAATTTTCCCCACAGTTCCTCCAACACCATTAATATTCCTTCATTTAAGAGCTGGGGAAAGCAGAGATTTGTGGATTCTACATAATATTTGAAATGTCTTTTATTTTGGGTTGTAATTGCAAAGGAACTTTATGACCACGGAATTTCTGAGCCTGTGCTTCTCTCCCTCCCCGAGCCGCCTCCACAGCAGCTGGGCAGTCACCGTGCGGGTCAATCGCTCCATGCAAAGGAAAGAACATTTTCCTTCCAGATTTTACCTCCCACGGACAGCTTTTGGTGTGCTGTGCTCTGCACAGAGCAAGCACAGGAAATGGGTGGAGATTGAGCAGTGAGCCTAGCGGAGCCCCCAGGGACATTTTCGATGGGAGAGCCTTAAAACACGGGCAGCTTTAGCACAGAAATCCACTTTTCTTTTTTTTTTTTTCCATGGTGCGTGCATCCCCTCGCCATCCCAGCCCCGGCGCCCCTTCTCGGCAGCTCTCGGGACGCGCCGTGCAGAGAGCGCTGCCGTGAGCGGGGCTCGGGCGGGAGCGCGGAGCCCCGGCCCCGTTACTCACTACGCGTCCAGCAGCAGCCGCGCCGCCTCCTCGCAGCTCAGCCGGTGCCGCTCCTGGAAGGCGGCCCAGCGCCCGCTCTGCGCCCCCACATCGATGAGGCCGGACCCGGGGGGCTCCGCCTTGACCCCGGCCGGGCTCCCCCTCGCACTCCGGCTGCGGCCCCGGCGCGTCCCGCCCGCGGCCGCGCTGCCCCGCCGGGACAGGAGGGGAAACGAGGGGCTGAGGGGACACGGGAGAGGCTGAGGGGACACGGGAGGGGCTGAAGGGACACGACGGAGGAAACGGGAGGGCTGAGGGGGACACGGAAGGAGAAACAGGAGGGGTGAGGGGACACGGGAGAGGCTGAGGGGACACGGGGGGGCTGAGGGGACACGGGAGGACATTCCCTTCTCTGGACAGGGACACGGGACGGGCTGGGGGGACGAGGAGGGGACACGGAAGGGGAAACAAGAGGGGCTGAGGGGACACGGCGGGACCGGGGAGGCGCTGAGGGGACACGGGAGGGGCTGAGGGGACACGGAGGAAACGGGGGAGGACCGGGACACAGCGGCACCGGGAGGGGCTGGGGTACAACGCGGGGAACGCGCAGTGAAGAAATCTTATCTTTTCCTCATATCCACCCTAAAGCTCCCGTGGCCCTCATGTCCTCTCATCCTTCCTTGTTGCCGGGGGAAGAGAGCGATCCCAGCTCCCCACAGCCTCCTGTCAGGGGGCTGTGGGGAGGGACAAGGTCCCCCTTGAGCTCCCTTTGCTCCAGGCTGAGACCCCCAGCTCCCTCAGCCCCTTCCCCAGCTCCATTCCCTTCTCTGGACACACTGCAGCCCCTCAATGTCCCTCGTGCTGGGCCCAAAACTGGCCACAGCACAGGGACAGTCACTGTCCTGGTCCTGCTGGCCGCCCTCTGGCATTGGAACAGGCTGCCCAGGGAAGCGCTTCAGCCACCAGCCCTGGAAGTGTTCAAGAAACTGCTGGATGTGGCACTTGGGGACACGGTTCAGTGGTGGCCTTGGCAGTGCTGGTTAACAATTGCACTTGATGATCTTCAAAGTTTTGTCCAGCCTGAAGGATTCTATGATTTTCTGATTCCAGGGCTGAGGCCAGGCATGCCAGCTATCCACAGGCATGAGCCCAAGGTTTCCCCTCTCATTCTGAACATGATGCCTCACAGGTTCACGGATGGAAGGTGCTCAGCAGACCCGAGGTGCTGCTGGAATTGTGGTGTTTCACTTCTCTGCTATGAACAGCCCTCATTTAGACACAGCATTGCTGTGACAGCACAGGATGTGTTTAGGCCTCCCTGAGGTTTGAAGTCACTGTGGCAGCTTTGCAGAGAAATGGCTTCTAACAGGATTCCCACTTAGCTTTTCACTAATTCTGCTACCAAAGTCTTGAAAATAACAGAGTACATACCTTAAAAAGCAAAGAAAAAAACCTCAAACCCAACCAAACAAAAAACCAAAAAAACAAAAAAACACCAAACAACAACAACAATAACAACAAAACAACACAAAAACAAACAAACAGAAAAAACCAATCAAGCAAATAACAACAACAAAACAGGAAAATGTGAAATCACCCCTTTAGTGGTAAATGTCTTACAGAAGGTTATTCTTGAACACTGAAATGAAGTGCTGTTTCTCAAGTAAAACTATCAATGCTGGGAATAGTACAAAACTTGGAGGCGTCCAAGTCATACTTGGGGAAAAAAATAATCACTCCAAAGATGAACCTTTGTGCTCAGTGTTGCTGGACTGGAAACTCCTTTTGTTTGACATATAATCAAGAATTTGTAGTCAACAGAACTTAATGTCTTGTCCTTTCCAAGCAGGGGAAAGATGTAAACAAGTGAGCTGAGTCTTGAGAGGCAAAGAGGCACCAAAGGATCCTGTGGCAGCCAGGAACATGGCAAAGCAGGACAGGGATGAATAAACATCCATCAGCACTCTGCTCTGGAAAAGAGCTTTAAAAACATGTGACTCTGGTGTTCAGGCTGCCTCCTGAGATGGCACATGCCAGGATTTGCTGTAGCTCAGCACCTCTCTGGTGGGAAAGGGCACGGAGTTACAGTTTCCTGTTATCCTGTTATCCTCTGCTCCGGTTACTCACTCTCATGGAAGAATACACCCTGTGTGACAAATTCACATGCTGCTCCTGATCTGAGCCACTCCCAGAGCTTTGGTCAAACCAGATTACATGTCAGCCACCTCGTATTTTGGGAGGAAAAAGTCACTGAGGTGAAACTGGGGAGGGACTGAAACTGAGCCTGTGGTGGCTGCAGCAGGGATTCATCTCCCCTCGGGCATGGCCAGCACCACTCAGAGTCTGTCCTGCCCCAAAAACACTGAGCTCAACACACTGAAAGACAGAGGGTAATTTTTGGAGCTCATTTTAGGGGCTGGTTATGTCAATTCACACAAATAACCCACCAGCACTCAAAAAAAGCAGTTCCAGGAGAAAACTGGAGTGAATTTGTCTATGTAATATCTGCAAATTTGTCACTCTCTGTGCCTCTCCATAATTAGTTCACTTTATTTTAAATGCAGAAGCTGTTTTGAGAAGCTAAATTCTGTTCCCCTGTGATATCTCAGAATAAAGAACTGGAGGACAAAAATGGAAGTGTAAAATGCCATAGCAAAGAAATGGTTTCTCTTTTTTCATTAGTTTCATATTTTATCACGAAGGACTCAGAACACAAAACTGAGTCTCACATAAATAATTCATTCCAGAGCTTTACAGCAGAACTCCAGATGATGATAAATGTCACAGATATTCTGAGCTGAAAGCCCTAAATTTCAGTCAATTTCAGTCAAATTTCAATCAAATGTTGTATTGTCAGTGTACCTGGGCAGCACCTTCTCAGTACCCACATTTACCAGCTCTCATTTCACTGCTTCCAAAGCTGATGCAATATTTGCCAGGCTTTAGGAAATGCCAACAGCTTGATGAAAAATGCATTTGCTGTTAAGCTTGAGAGGCAAAATGGAAAAGGAAGAAATATCCAGACAGATGACGAGGTGGAAAAGAGGAAAAGTCCAGTAAATTACAGTTGGTTCTGTGTAGGTGTCTGGTGATGCTGAAAGGGCAGCAGCAGCTGACGTGTTCGGTGCTAAAGTACAAAGGGGCTGCTCTGTGCCGTCCCAGCTCTGCTTGTATAACAATGACTCAGCTCTGCAGCCCTGGCTCGCAGCCAGCATGGAAATTCTGCCTGCCAGAGCATTTTATCCCCAAAGCAGCACTGAAAGCAGCTACGTGTTTGTGGGTGAAAGAGAATTAGGAACCGTGGATGTTTTTTATATCTCATAAGCAGAGAACTAGGAGTTCTGTACAGCTGACAGCATGCTTTAAAAAACTGAGGTGGTTCAAAGTACGTGGTTTGTTCAGGGGGGAAAATGGCAGTGCTTGGGTTTTAGTCTCCCTGTGGTGGAGGGGGAAACATTCCAGACGTTTTCCTCACCATCCAAGGATCCAAGCTGGATCTGAAAACAAAATGTAGGAGGTGACACCCCCGGGCTGCTCAGAACGGCCTTGGCAGTGTTTGTTTTTGTTCACTGTTCCAGAGATTCTGTTGAACATACTAACAATGATTAACAGTGGTTTAGGACTCGTTTCTTCTGCCTGTTTCTTCGGCCGTTTCTTTTTCTGTCTGCCTGTTTCCCAAGGAACTTCTCTGCTGTTTTGCTGGAAAACCTGGCCCCGGAAAGCACAAGCTGAACGTGCTCAGAGGCAGCAGAGGAGGGGAACAAAGCAGCTCCCTGCCTGCACTGCAGCTTGGATGGGATCCAAACCATCCCGGGCAGGAGGCAGAGGGAGATGCAGACAAGGAGCTGCAGAACAGACCCAGTTATTAGCTGAAGCTGTTGCTTTCACTGGCACACCACACAGGCACTAAGCTGAGATTTCAGCCCTTCACAAAATCCCCTTTGGACGGCTCCTTCCAGCAGCGCTGTCACATGTCCCTGTGGGTCACCCAGCGCTGCCCAAGCCTGGTTATGGTGGCAGCACAGATCTGAAAGCTGAATCCCATGTGTCCTACAAAGCTAAAATACTTTAGACAAACAGGGAGACAGAGGAGTATCACTAATTTTCATCTTTTTACTGCCAATCTATTTGTTTTTCTTAAACTTTTTCATCTTTTAGCTCCTGAAGTCGGTAGCTTCTTGAAAACTTTGTTTAGTGAATTTATTTTTAGCATAAAGCTATAAAAACAAAACCGAGGGAGTTTTCTTTTTTTGGTAATCTCAGAATATCACAGTCAATCTCACAGTACTTTGAATTCTGAGTCACTGTTTGTGTAACCCTCCAGGCTGGCAGCTTGGGGACAAGCAGTGACATGCCACGGGTCTGTTTGTCTCGTGGGTGGAACTTGAGCCAAGCCTGGACCTTCCTGCACTGCTACAGGGAGACAATATTTATCTCCACAACTGTAAATATAATTATACTGCATCATACACGGTGAGAGGCAGGTGTGAGTAATGTTATGAGATAGGAATATGTATGTATATATATATATATTTATATTTTGTTTGCCTGTGGCAAGCAGCCCTATTTTTGTCTGAACAAAGAACAGTAACTGGACTTGCCACACACCCTGTGATGGCCTGGCTGGCTGTCCCAAGCTAAACCTGGTAGCTAAAGATAAACAGATTGCCTCATGTAAAAGTGATACCTCGTTGCTAGGACATTAGCCTACATAAAAACCAGACCCAGCTTGTGTTCCAGAATGTACAGATTCCTTGGAAACATTTCCCTGACCCCAGATTCTTCTCTCCTGAAAGTAGGTTGCTCTGTACCACTGCCCAGTGACCCACTTCTGAAAAGAAATGTGTGTTCCCAACTGCAGGCCCCGTGCCCTGGCAAAGGCTGAAGCCACCTGTGGTCAGAGCAGTCACAAGATACAGATTTCTGGGGTTTTCAGCTTTGCATTTATTTATATACAGTTTGGAGTCAGCTGCTCGATGGTTTTTATTCACCAAGAGCTAATAGAGACAGAGTGGAATGTTTTTTAAATGCATGTGTTTTGTAAAGCCACACCATAGATTTAGTCATATTTAGGAAAAAGAAAAACAAGAGAGGGCTCCTGTGCTTTCTGGTTTACACAGAAAGGAAAGAAAAATTACAGAAATTCCTCCTTCTCCATCTAGAGGAACATTAAAAAGAGAAATACGCACCCTAAAATCCTTAATAAATATGTGATGTGCTTTAACACGGCCCAGGCTTTACATTAATCTCCAGCTTCACAGATGTGGCCTTTCATATTTGTAAATATTAATCACTTGTGGCCTTTCCTCTGGGACCACCAGACAAAACCCGTGGGCAAACACTGAGCAGAACTGGCAGCACAGAGCAAACCATCGGGACATTGCCCAACTCTGCCTTTTGTCCTAAATTTATGTAGCCAAAATAATATTTCCAAGGTTGGTTATTGCTATGGAGCTGTCTGAACTTTCCAGTTACCATTTTCCCCTCTTCCTCTTCCTGCATTTTGAGTAATTATTGGTAGGATGACTTATTTCCTTTTTACTGTAAACCAGGAGGTGCAAGAAACCTTGTTAGGAGAAAGGAAAGCAAAAGGATTTTGTCGTTGGGGTTTGCTTTTTTATTGTTTTTTCATTCTTGGTGGTTTTATATTTTTTGCCTGGGTTTGAGGGTTTTTTAGAGAGAAATAGAGCAGCTCTGTAGTGAATCTTGCCAGTTAGACACGTGCTGATGCTTTGTGAGTGGAGGATTTAACAAGGTCATCTGGCTTTACTGAAGGAGCAGCAGATAAAACTGCTGAAAAAACATAAAAACCATCTTGGATTTTGTGCACTCCATCTTTAATACGATACAACAGAAGTTCAGAGCCAGTCTGAAAGGTATAATGAAGTTTAATTAACCCGAGGCATGTTTCCACATCAGCTCACAGACGGTGGCTGCTTCATAACCGACCAAAGCTTCCTGTTCTGAGGGCGAGTAAACAACCATTTGAATTTCAAATGTCAGCATTTCATCCCAGGGCTTGTTTTGCAGGCTCACATCAAGAGAATTAATTATGTGTTCAGCCAGCCCCAACCAGTTCCAGGGCAGCTCGGAGCTGGGCCGCGTGAGGGGACACGCTCGTGTGGCACCCAGGCGCCACCAGCCCTCCTCTTTGTCATAATCCTCCTGGATTATGCAGCTTTTCCAACCCTGCTAACTCAGTTCTGCTTTTCCTCTCAGCTTTACAGGCAAGGACCAGCCCTACAACCGGTCCTGGGCTTTTCCATGGAAAAAAAAAAGCCATTTTTTCCTCCATCCCGGGGAAAGGGTTGGCCAGAGGCCACAGTGGGGCATAAAACACTGGCACCAAGGGTAGCCCTCTTTTTTTAGGGCACTTCTCTCCCTAGGTTGTTCCTTGAGCACTGCTGGGATCCAGGCAGGAGCTAAAGAAGCCCCAGAGTCGTTCCTATGGCCATCATTAATCCCAATCCCCGTCATTAATCCCAATCCCCATCATAACCCCCTCCCTGTCCCCTCACGGCCCCAGCTCCCCGCCCCGGCCGAAATCTGCCCCGCTAGGCGGCTCCACCTCAGCAACAGCGTGACCTCACCGCGGACCAATCAGCGCCGAGCAGCGCCGAACCTTCCAGAGCTTTCCCTGCCCCCGCCGCCCCCGCCCTTCGCCAACTGCCCCTGCCCGAGCAGCCAATCAGCGCCCGCCCTGCGGCCCGCCCCACCAATCACCGCCAGACTTCCCGGTCTTCCCACCAACGTCTGGTCGCAGCGCCGCGGCAAATAACGGTCCCAGATCCATCCGCACCCTCAGAAATTTGCCGATTTTGTAGGGTCTGATCCCCCTCGCTGAAACTCTGGGACCCCTTTGCCTGCGGAAGAGGGATTGGAGCGGGGACAAGGCGAGTGCTCACCACAGCAGGGAGCTTTCCCTGGGGACTACTTTGGGAGGCGGATGGAGACGTTAGCTTTGGTGGGCGGGGCCTGCGTGGCCAGAAGCCCTATAAATACGGGCGGGTGTGCGTCACTCGGCAGATCCGAGGTTTAACGCCGCTGGAAACTGTACACTATTATCGCTCAGGGCCGCAGACGTGAGTGCGCTGGGGGGAACTGAGGGTGCGGGGAGGGGGAGGCGGGCCCGGTGCTCTGGGCGGAGCCGGGCGCTTTGCAGCAGGGTAACGGAGGGAGCGGGCGGCGGAGCTGCGCGGCATTGCTTAGCGCTCCGAACCGCGTCGGTGAGAGCTGGGCCGGCCGTGAGGGGGGCGGATCAGGGTAACGCTGGTGCGGGGAGGAGGCCTGGTTGCGGGGAAGATGGCGCGGGCCGCGCCGTTGGTGCCGGAAGGCGGCTGTGAGTCACTACCGGGGCGGGTCCGCGGGGCGGGCCGAGCGCTCCCCCGCTGCCGCACTGCGGGCGGCTCGGGGCTCCGCTGCCGCGTCGCGCCCTCGGGCGGGCCGTGGGGCTCCGTGCTGCCCTACCGGGGGTAAGGGGGATCCGCGGGCTCTGGTGCTGCATTGCCGCACTGCGGGCATAAAGGAGGGCTGGGCTGGGGGTCCTGTAATGAGAGTAAGCTGTTTAAAGAACTGAGCAGATCTTGTCTCAAAACCAGGTCTAGTTTATCCAACTGGAACATTATCTTTTAATTTCGCATTTCTTAACAACCCGAGTAAAAAACTTAAATTGGCGGGGAATAGCAACGGTAATCCCTTTGTTTCGGGTTTATGAAGGCTTTACTTGACTAAGCGGCTGTAGCTGACGCACTTGCATGTCTTACAGGTCAACATGCAGATCTTTGTGAAGACCCTGACTGGCAAGACCATCACCCTTGAGGTTGAGCCCAGTGACACCATTGAGAACGTGAAGGCCAAGATCCAGGACAAGGAAGGCATTCCCCCTGACCAGCAGAGGCTGATCTTTGCAGGGAAGCAGCTGGAGGACGGGCGCACCCTCTCTGACTACAACATCCAGAAGGAATCCACCCTGCACCTGGTGCTGCGCCTCAGGGGTGGCTGTTAAGTTCTTGTGCATCTTGCTTGACCCCAGGGTTGCCAGTGGCACTTGTGTTTGCACTGTAGTTCTTCAATGTCTTAATGTTAAGTTAATGCAAGCTTGAGTAACTGCTGAACAGCTGTTGAAATGCTAATAAAGTTTTCTGTTGCACATTACACCCTGTAGTCTGTCTCAGTTCAAGCAGGTGAAACGTGTATTAAGTGAAATGCTTTGGCTTCTTACCATGGCAGTTTAAGCCTCTTTGCATGTGTAATGAGGACCAACCTTGTGGTTAAAATGGATCTGGATTAAAATCTTAATGAAGTGCTAATAATACCCTGTTGTTTTTTGTTCCTGGATTTTAGCAGCACTCTCTGGGTGGGATAGAAAGACCCCACAAAATGGCCTGGTGGGCATTGCAGGGAGTGGGTTTTGCCCCAAGTCATGGGCTTGGGGTGTGTTAGAATTGTCTGGGGTGGGGGGTGCCAGTGCCTGGCCCTGCTCTGAAGGGGGACTCTGGGTGGGGATGGTGTTCTGGGACATGGGACATGGTCTGGGGGAGGACTGGGGGCGGTGGGAATTGTGTGGTGGGTGGGGAGGTGAAACTTCACATGGCAGCGGGTGGCTGAGCAGTGTAGGAACGGCCTGGTTTGCTAAATTCACAATGCCAAAAAGGGAGGGAGTTCCCACTGAGGTCTGGGTTAGGGTTTGTTTTTGTGGGGCGGGTTAAAGGCACTCAGACAAATTGGGCTGGGTTGGTTCCACTGCAGTGGTGGGTGCCCAGAAGGGGATGCAATTCCTGCCTCCCCGTCCCCAAAACCTCCCAGCTGAGGGGGTGTCTGTCGGTGTCCTCAGCTGCTCTCCCTGGGGTGGGGCACTGCCCCAAACCCCTCAGGTGCCACCTTGGCCACTCTCATCCCTCCAGAGCTGCTGGGGGACTCGGGTCTGCTCCTCCTGGATCTGTGGTAAGTGCTGCACTTACGGGAAATACAACCAAAAAATTGCTGTTCCCACAGAAAACTGCACACTGCAAGTTCAGTGTGGGTTTGAGGTTACATCCAGGATCAAATTTCATTTTTTTTTAGGAGCAGGGTTTGCTTTTCTGCCTGCTCAGCTAGCAGAAGTACAAAGTTCTGTAAATATTTGCTGTCTCTGCCGCAAGAGACTTCCCTTAGCTTGAGTTTTCCTGCAATTGCTGCTTTGCTTTTGTGCTTTTTGCAGTTTAACCCCCAGAGAGGCTGTGCAGGCCCTTCTGTGAGGCCCTGAAAGGCCATAAAGGAAATAATTTGGGGCAACCACCTCGGGGTGGCCCTGGCTGGACAAGGTGACCCCCAAATGTCCCTTCCAGCCCCAGCCGTTGCTGCCTCTCTGGGCTGGGTGTTTGCAGCCCTGCCTGAAGCCCCTGAGCAGCTCACAGCCCTGCTGAATAAACGGAATAAACACGAATGAAGTGATCTTCCTGCTGGGGTTGGGGGTGAGCACTGAATAAACTGACATTCTGTGGGAAATATTTTAAAATTTGGAATTTAAAATAGGAAATTTTAAAAAATTGATAGGAGGTTTGTATAGGAAGCAACATCTGTATTGTCTCACCCTTCAAATGAGACTGAAAATACAAGAGTAAGTAAAAAAAGAGCTTGGTCCAACAACATTCCTGACATTTCTGCTGGGGTTAGGGGTGGGTATGGAATAAATTGGCATTCCTGATTTCCTGTTGGGGTTTGGGGTGGGCAGTGAATAATCTCACATCCCTGACCTCCTTGCTGGGGTTTGGGGTATATATAGAATAAATTGACTTTCCTGACCTCCCTGTTGGCGTTTGGGGTGCCCTGCAGGGACAGGAGGGTCTGCACAGGTCCCTCTGCTCTGGTTTTTGGCCTGAGCCAAGCTGAGCTGTGGCCTCCAGTGGTACCTGGGCTGCTCCAGGAAATGACTGCAAGGATTTCTTCATTAATAAGAAAAAAATCCTTGCCATTTAAGTAAATTAAGGAAATGTGTATGAATCACGAGGAAATGTGAATATGGATTTGTGTAACGTGCAGTGTTTACACCAAAGTTATTAGCACAAAACAAAGGAAGCTGTTGGGCAACACAAATAATTGATGTCATTAAAATACACTTTTTTTACTCCTACAATATGGTGGTACCTCAAAAGCCTGCTTAGAGACAACTATTCATAACTAAAATCATAATTCAATCTGTTTTAGCCAGAATCTGTGTGCTATTAGAATAATCTTAAGGCTCCCATATTTACAACAGATCCTGGTAACATCTTTTAATCCTGTTGTAATCTGAGTTTTGTGACTGGCCTTTGAGTTTTCTTCCTATTGCTTCAGTTAATTTCTAGTCTGTTCTCTCTTAAAAAAAAAATCAAACAAAACCCCAAAAAGAAAAACCAGCCTAGATTTTGGTGCTTTTGTCTTCTGTGCTTTAAAGAAAATTACTTATAAAAAGAGAAATGAAATAACCCACTATATTGGTTTGGATACATTTGGGGTTTTCTCCTTTCTCAGCTGCCCCACAACATAATCCTATAGGATTGGGAATATCGGGAATAAATCCCTCATTATTTCTGCAGCCTTGTCCACAGCAGCCAGGGGTGTTTTTTAAGATATTTTTGCCCAATTTGGCCGTTTCAAAAGCAGCAGGAATTCGGCTGCCTCGGTGGCCACGGGATGTCACTGTTCCTCCACAAAGAGATTCTTTTCCATCTGGATTTCCTCTTTGCTGCTCCCTGATTGTCAGCAGAGCATTCCTCCAGGCTGTGATCCTACAGAAAGGGATACATCATGTAGGAAGATATTTCCATTTTAGGGCTGAGAGAGCCGGATGGTTCCCTCCAAGGATATCGATTGCAGCCTGTAAATGTTATGAGTGGGACTTGCAGCTCCAGAACCACTCCTGTGGAGATTGATTGGGTTCCCTGGGCTGTCAGGCAAGCTCTGACAAGGGATTATATTTAAGAATATTTATGTTTCAGATTGGGCACTGGCTGAGGTACTGATTTCCATCTGTAACTAAGAAATGAAGCTGCTCAAATTCATCATTTCAGTGTGGCTTTTACATAACAGTTACAATAAAAAAAAGGGCCTTGCAAAAACACTTGATACTTTCCTGAGTGTGAAAATACACCTTTAAAATAAATTATTTTTTCTTTTCCTGGCCTACCTGTGGTATTTGAGAGAATTTTAATTCTCCACGCTTGCAGGTTGTTGTTGCAGGTTTTCCTCATCCTGTGAAGATAATTTTGGTTTTGAGCACCTGAGTGGCCACAGAGCAATCCTGTAACTAAATGACAAGTGACTTTGAAAATCTATTTACAGCATACAGAAAACATGGCATCAACCACAGGACTATGATGTTTTTCAGTATTTGGTAAAAATGGGAACTTAGGTGAACACAGAACATGTATTTCAGGAAATGCTCTTGTTTGCATCTTTTCCAAACACCACCATCATCCTCATGCTTCCTTTTGCATGTTCCAGTCATTGATTTTTCTGCTGTGAATTACTCATCTATAATTACAATATAGACACAGAATAGATAATATAATTTATATAATATATGAGGTATACAATAGATTAATATATTGTATCATATTTATTACTAATGAATAAATGATAATATTATATTATTTGAATGAATAACACTTGATTTGGGATTTCACTTGGCAGTTTGACCTCTCCCTTCCCAGATTTCCACAGGACGTGCCCCTCCTGTCAGGAGCAGCTCAGACACATTTCATGGGTAAAACAATCAATTGTGAGACTCCTCCACACAAAAACCTCAAAAAGCAGGAGGGAACCCCAGGCTGAGGGCAGGTGGGATGGAAGGGCTGCTTTTCTCCTGGTGGGATGGAAGGGCTGCTTTTCTCCTGGTGGGATGGAAGGGCTGCTTTTCTCCTGGTGGGATGGAAGGGCTGCTCTTCTCCTGGTGGGATGGAAGGGCTGCTTTTCTCCTGGCTGCCCTGGGTGAGCTCCCAGCTGCACATCCCCTGCTCCCTGCAGGACAGCAGCTGTGCAGGGGGAGCTGTGCTTGGGTGCACTCCTGGGTGCTGATCTCATCCCCTGGCTGCAGGGCTGGGATGCTCCCAGGACAGCTGCAGAAGGAGCCCAAAAGGATTTAAATCTGTGAGTGTGAGCTGAGCTCCTGAAGCTCTGCTGGCGTCACAGTGAGTAAAGTGAAACACAGCTCAAGCAAACTGGATCAGTGCAAGGCTGGAATGAGGGAGGGCTTGGAGAGATCAGACCTGATCCTGCATTTATCTCTCCTCTATAGGCTGTTCTCTGGGTCTTAATTAATCATTAAGAATCCATCATGGATTATAAAGCAGCTTTGTGTGGTCACCAGACCTGCTTCACCTTAAAACACAGGGTATCAACTTGAAAACTTGAAATCTCCTACAAAACCATGAGGAGGGGAAGGCCCTGTGCCATTTATTGGTGTATCTATAGGGAGGGGGTGCCATTGATTGGTGTCTATAGGGAGAGGGTGGCATTTATTGGTATTTATGGGGATTTTTTGGGTATTTATTGGGGTATTTTATGGGGATTTATTGGCATTTATTGGTATTTATGGGGATGGGGTGCCATTGATTGCTGTGTTTATGGGGAGGGGTCTCACAGCTGACTCACAGCTGGGACAGTGCCTGTGGGTGACAGCCACTCTGCCAGGAGGTGTCCCAGGGCTGCTGCAGGCTCTGCTGTGCCTCGGGGCACGTTTGGAAGGAGGAAGGCACAGCCAGAGCTCGGCGTGTCCTGCTGGGACAGCCCTGCTCCTGCTCTTGGGGCACCTCCCTTCTGGGATTCCTCCTGGAACGTGCTTCTGCTGGTGAGGTGTGGATGGGAAAGGCTCTTCACTGTTTTGTTCATTAATGACATTTCCCAGCTGAGCTCCAGGTGACATCAATGGCTCTGGGGAGCACCAGGAGCTCAGCTGGGAGCAGAATTCCTGGGGGAAGGCTGTGGGGCAGGGGGTGCTGGGGTCACCCTGCAGGACCTGACCCTGCTGTCCTCTGCTTCCCCTGCCCTGGGAGGGGACAGCAAAGCATTTTTGGGGTGTGTGTGCCCAGGGACAGTCAGCTGTGGGGTGGGGGGACACCCCTGCTCCCAGGGGAAGCCTCTGCCAGGCTTTTCCCCTTTGGAGCACAGCCAGGGCCTGGAGCAGATGCAGCAAGCAGTGCCCTGAGGGTCTGGGAGCACCTGGGGCTGCTCTGGGCAGTGCCCTGAGCCCTGAGGAGCCCCTGTCCCTGCTCCTGGTGGCACCCTCAGCCCGTGTCCCTGGGGCTGCCTTCCACACCGAGCGTGGCCTCAGCTCCCCCCAGCACTTCTGCTGCTCCCGGGGAGCCTTGAGGGGCTCGGGGGAGGCAGAGGCTGTGTGCAGGCAGGGGTTAAGCATCCCGAGTTTGCAGCAGGCAGCCAGCTTTCCCATATAAGAGCACTGCACTCATTGGCTCTCCCCTCCAGTGAGAAATCTAGCCAGTCATTTCCTGTGAGCCTCCCTCACTCTGCTCAAAGCCACACACTCGGGTGGATCACAAGGTTCTGGGGGTGTTCCTCCTCACAGGAGCCTCGGATTCTCTCATGGGCCAGCCAGGAGCTGCACGCCGTGCCCCTGCCAGGCTGCTGGGATGAGCACGAGCCCTGCACGGCTCCTCTCCCATGGATGGAGACCATTCTGGGGCTGCCTTCATGCCAACTAGCGCTTCTGGCTGCTTGACTTGGCTTCTGCTGGGAGGCTGCTTCCCCTCTGAAGGAGCCCTGGGGACTCCTTGTCAGATCAGCTCTGGGGTGGAGCTGGCAGCAGCTTCTGGTGAGTGCTGAGCTCTTCTGACAGCAGGGCTCGGGGAAAGAACTCAGTTCTTGGGGGTGCCAGTGGGGCTGGCAAGCAGAGAGCGCTCCCAGGGAGGGTGGGCACCTCCAGGGGTCCTTTTTTATGGGACCTTTTTGCTCTTGCTTTTAACCCAGACGCTCTGTCGGTGCAAGACTGGCAGTAAAAAACTCTCCTGGGCGCTGTGGAGAGATGGAAACTGCAGCTGAGGAGTGATTTTGGGGAGAGGAAGACAGAAAAGCGCGAGCAAAGTGTTGTGGAAGTGCAAATATCCTCCTGAAGGATTCAGCAGATGCCCCAGTAAGTGTTCTGGGGAGGGAGGCCAGTCTGAGCGGGGTTGCAGGGTGTGTGCAGGGGAATGTTTGTCACTAGGGCGCAGACTAAACGGAGTGTCTGAATTATCACAAGGGCTTGTCTCCAAACCAGCCCTTGCATTTTTGCTGTCAGCTGCATGAAGAGGTTTTCTGGCTGTTTTCTGCCCGGAGCTGTGTTTTTTCACACCCCAACCTAAGCCAAAATTCTTATTCTGTGTCCATTTGCTGGTGCAGGCTATGGAGTGTGGCTGTAGCCCCAGCAAGGGAGATTTCTCCTCAGAGGAATCCTGTTAACCCTTTGGAGGGAGCGCCTGGGAATGAGCAGGAGCTGCTGACCAGAGCTGTGCTGCAGGTTGGTGGCTGTGGATGTAATTTCTGCCCCACAAACCCTGTGAAACGCTGGCCTGGGCTCTGTGCCTTGGGTGTGGTCTGAGAGACACAGAGAGAGGTGTCCAAAGAGCCAAAGCCGAGCTCAGGAAGCCCCAGCTGAGAGAAGGGGGCTCTGGGGGCTCTGCTGTGCTGCTGCCCTTGGGCAGAGCCCCCAGGGCAGGGGAAGGTGCTGGTCCTGGAGCTGGGAGCTCCAGTCCTGTGCCCCACGGATAACCAGCAGCTCCAAATATTGAGGAGATCCCACTCATTTTGCCCATCAAGGAGGAAATGCCAGACAGTTTGTGCAGGTGTTTTTCCCAGTGTGGACAGCCTAAAGCTTCCCAGCAGGGACTGTGGGCAAACTCATGGCTGCTCCCCAGTGAACCTTTATCTTTTTGGCCACTTGGTGAGCAGCCTGTGCCTGTGCTGGCTGCACTGAGACAAGACCAGCGATCCCACACCCCTAAAGAGCCACTTTCCTTGCCTTTTATGTCAGGAACCTGTGCTGCTGCCAACAGGTGAGGTCATCCCACACAGGGGGTTCAGATGTTCAGAGCTGCCTTTGCTTCATGAGCTGCTTCTAAACCTCTCCTCCACTGGAACCCCACTTAGGACCCTGATTCTTTATCCAAATACTGCTCCTCCATGCAGAGTTTTACCAAATCTCCCTCTTAAGGGACCTGTGGTCAACCTGGGAATGAACTTTGCGTCCAAATGCCTTTGGGGTTTGTGAAGAAATCGTGTTCATTCTCCCCATCCCTCCTTGCAGGTTTAGTGCCCCACAGGGAACCTCTTTGTGGTCTGCAGGACCATCTCTCCTGGCAATGGATAAATTCACAAACGGGCAGCCAGGCCCAGCTCAGAGGAACAGGCTCTTAGGATTGCTGGAGACAGATGACAGCACCCAGGAAGAGAAACCTGCCCCGAGCAGAAAGGAAGAAAAGTCAGGACTTGGGAGGAAAGGAGAGCCACAACCCTTGGAGACGCCTTATCAGAAGGAGAGCAGCGACTTTGCCCCTAAAATCAAGATTAATCTGAATTATCGGCCAGGACTCGTCAGCAAGTGAGTAACTGGGGGGTGTTTGACAAGTTTGGGTGGACCCAGGTGATCCACACTGCCCCTGCTATGGATTTTCCCAAGTCCACACTGAAAGGGTCCCCAGTAAATCCCAGCAGGGCTGGGCCTGACCCGGTCCTGCAGCCACCCTGGGCTGCTCTCTGTGCTCTGGGTGCCTGCCAGGGCTGCACATCAGCCTGGGTCTGGGAACAGCTCCAGCTGATGGAAAGAGCAGCCACTTAGCAGGATTCTGGGAAATAACCGTCTCTGCTTTTCCCTTGACTCAAAAATAAAACATTTGAGTGTTGTTTTTTTGGGTTTTTTCCCCCTCCCAACAAAACCTCCTCCGTCTCCCTCCTTCCTTCCTCTGTCCCACTGGGGCTCGTGGCTCGTTCCTGTCCCTGCCCCCCAGAACTGCCCTCTGCAGAATCCCCCCAGAACTCCTGACTCTGCCTCTGTCCCGCAGCCAGAAGGACCCGAATCGCTTTGACAGGGACCGGCTGTTCAGCGCCGTGGTCCGGGGCAGCCCCGAGGCTCTGGATGGTTTGCTGGACTACTTAAGGAGGAACTCCAAATTCCTCACCAATTCCGAGTACACAGGTAGATCCCTGCCCCTGGAATGGTTTGTTGTTCACAGGGGGAGCAGGGGAATGTGCTCGTGGTTCTTTCCTTTCTCCACCTTCTCTGTCTTCTTTTATTTTCCTTACATTGGCCCCAAGGTGGAGAATGCCATTAATTGAATATATCCTAAGGTTTTTAGATAATTTTTTTTAGATCTGCTAAAAATACTGATAAAAACCTTTAAAATGAAGATGATATTTGATCCCTGAATCGAGCACTACAGCTGTGTGCAAAGCACACCCACAACCCATTCAATCCTCTCTCCCTGCCAGATGCAAAGTCTGGGAAAACCTGCTTAATGAAAGCCCTGCTGAACTTAAAAAATGGGAAGAATGACACAATCCCAGTCCTGCTGGAAATAGACCAAAAGACACAGAACCCCAGGCCACTGGTCAACGTGTCCTGCTCTGACTGTTTCTACAGAGGTAAGGAAGGATTCCTGTGAGATGAGCAGGAAAGAGGAAAGAGAGGGGAACTGGAGCAGTCACACTCAGCACACTGACCTTTTATTTCTAATCCTGCTGCTGCATCTCCTCCAGCCTTGAGCTGGTCTGTAAAACAGAAATGATACATGCTTTTAATAGCCCAAGAAGTGAGACTATTTACTCGGGAAAGTATAAAAAGCACTTGTAAAAATGAAGTGGTCTGTGGCTGTTAAAGGAGTCCTGCTTGGCTGAGCAGCAGCCTCAGCCCCAGTGCCAGGCAGGGGAATGGTTGGTTCTGGTGGTGCCCTCGGCTGCCAGCCCAGCCTGCGGCCACCCCCGGTGCCAGCCCTGCTGTCCCTGGAGGGCACAGGGTGGCAGGGCTTGCTGTCCCCAGGCCAGACCGCGCTGCACATCGCCATCGAGAAGAGGAGCCTGGAGATGGTGAAGCTGCTGGTGGAGAACGGGGCCGACGTCCACGCCAGGGCCCACGGGGAGTTCTTCAGGAAGAAGAAAGAAGGAGTTTACTTCTATTTTGGTGAGTTCGAGGTTTTTATTGCCGTGCTGCGTGTGACGTCACTAATTCTAGGTGGGTTTGCCCCTCTGGTGCCATTTCAGGGCCCTTTAATCCAGGCCTTGACTCATTTAAAAGGCAGAATCCTTTCATGTCTGGGGTGTTCACTGCATTTCCATCATCCTTGGGCTGATGTGTTTCATCCTGAATGGATCCAAACAGCAATGCTTGGCTAGTTCAGATCTGAGAGATCAGTTGGAGATGTGGGAAAGTGCTTCAGCTGCCCCAGAAACAGAGTAATTATTTATGGTAAAACCCTTTCAGAATCCAGAGACACTGAGGCAGAACCTGTTCTGTGTTTCAGTGATAAAATTCTGGGCAACTTCTATATAATTTTAATATAATTTTATATAACTTTAATAGAATTTTTATAGACTTTTTATAGAATTCTTATAGAATTCTTATAGAATTTTGTATATCTTTACATATTTATATGTACTTATATATTATTATAGCATCTATTTTATATATTTTATCTATTTTAAATATTTCTAGATACATTTAATATTTTACATATATTTAATATTTTATATATATACCAATATATTTTATATATGCACATATTTATATAATTTAATATAATGCTATATAATTTTTATATTTTTAATAATTTTATATTTTAATAGTTTAAATATATTTTATATTTTAAGTATTTTAAAATATTTTTATATATACATTAGTATTTTTATATATTTTATATATTTTTATATATTTTATATATTTTATAGATCTTTATATATTTGAATATATTTTATATTTTTTAGATATTTTTTATATATTAATATATTTTTATATATTTGATATATTTGATATCTTTTTACATATTTAACATATTCCTATAGCATTGCTCTCCCCCCTTTCCTGACTCCTCTTTCCCGTCTCCCCCTGCCCTCCCAACGCCGTGTCCCGCCCCCAGGCGAGCTCCCGCTGTCGCTGGCCGCCTGCACCAACCAGCTGGACGTGGTGGATTACCTGCTCAACAACCCGCACCAGCGCGCCCGGCTGCAGGAGCAGGACACGCAGGGCAACACGGTGCTGCACGCGCTGGTGATGATCGCCGACGACACCGAGGAGAACACGCGCTTCGTCAGCGCCGCCTACGTGCGGATCCTGAAGGCGGGCGTCCAGCTGGACCCCGCCTGCAAGCTGGAGGAGATCGCCAACTACGACGGCCTGAACCCCCTGCAGCTGGCGGCCAAGACGGGCAAAGTGGAGGTGGGCACGGCCGGGGGTGCTGCGGGCAGGGCTGGTGGGGTTTGCAGCCTGGCCTGCTGTCCAGGGGGTTTGGGGCTTCTTGCAGCCAAGGTGTGCTGGTGCTGCTGGCAGGGGCAGGGCCACAGGGGACACAAAGGAGGGTGGGGGTGTTCGAGGGTCCCAGGGAAGAGATGAGAACCTCGACTCTGTGTTTCAGAAGGCTGATATATTATATTATATTATATTATATTATATTATATTAACGCTATACTGAAATTTTCGTTATAGCATAAAACTATACTATAAAGAATAAAAAGGATCTTTCAGAAGGCTGGAAAGAACAGGAAAGGAATGATAACAAAAGCTGGTGACTCTCAGAGAGCCCAAGCCAGCTGACTGTGATTGGCCATTAATTAGAAACAACCAACATGGACCAATCAAAGATGCGCCTGTTGCATCCCACAGGTAATTATTGGTTTTCTTTTCCTCTGAGGCTTCTCAGAGGAGAAAAAAATCCTGGCAAAGGGATTTTTCAGGAAATGTCATGGCAGCAGGAGGGCACCTCCAAGCCACTCAGCTGTGTCCTGCAGAGCCTCAGTGTCCCTGCCCTGTCCCTGCCCTGTCCCCTCTCCCGGGGCTGGCCCCACTCCTGCCTTGTTCCCTGCTTTCACCCAGCCCCCGTGCTGGCTGTGCTGCCTTGGGTGTCCCTCTGGCCCTGCAGCCCAGGAACAGGCTTGTGCTGCTGTCAGATCTTCAGGCACATCATCCAGAGGGAGATCCAGGAGCCCGGCTACCGGCACCTGTCCCGCAAGTTCACCGAGTGGACCTACGGCCCCATCCACGTGTCCCTCTACGACCTGTCCTCCCTGGACAGCTTCGAGGAGAACTCTGTGCTGGAGATCCTGGCCTACAGCAGTGACACCCCGGTGAGCCTCCCCACCAAGCCTTTGGCATGGTTTCTGTCATTCTTCGTGGCGCTGCTCTGTAATTGCGGTGTTTCACGTGAATGTGCGCTCTCAGGTGGTGGTTTCTCTGGAAAAAGGAATGATTCCTGGGGATGTCTGCAGATTTTGTTGTTTGGAGGCTGCTTGGCATGGCTCTGACCATCCATAATTAGAGAGAAATTTTGATCCTTTGGTTGTCTTAAGCCTCAGTTTGCTCAAATACCTCAATGAAGTGACTTCTATGCAATATTTGATATCTTTCACACTAAAACACCTGACTGAATAACCCCTTAACAACTCCCCAGTTGAATGCACGCAGCTCCAGCCCTTAGAAACACCATCCTCTGGTGAATTCCCGTTCCTGCTGGCACACAGCTGCACTCTGGTTTCCTGTTTCCCCACAGAACCGGTACAAGATGGTGGTTTTGGAGCCACTGAACAAACTGCTCCAGCAGAAATGGGAAACGTTTGCTTCCAAGAGGTTCTACTTCAGCTTTGCCTCCTACCTGTCGTTCATGATCATCTTCACAGCCATTGCCTACTACCAGCCCTTAAGGGTGAAGGTAGGCCCAGTCTTTTGGTCTGGATGGATGGAGCAGAATTTAAAAGTTGTCATAATTTCCTCTGCCCAATCTCCACTGCTTTGGGTGGTTTTTTTTTGTCTTACAGCCTTCCTTCCCAGTGGAGTTCACAGCTGGAGGCTTCCTCTGGGTCTCTGGACTGATCATTATCTTGTTAGGAGGCATTTATCTGATCTTTGCTCAGGTAGGGGGATCTCTTGTCTGGTTTCATGGTAAGACAGGGGAAAAAAGGGGGAAAAAAAAAAGATCTGTTCTCCTGAGATCAGGATGTGCAGGAGGGAATCCTGCTCTGGACACTCACTGTGATCTGGCAGGGGCAGCACAAGCCAGGTTGCTGGGCAAGGGGGATCACAGTTCCACAACAGCAAATAATTCTGAGAGACTTCTGCGATTTATGGCATTAAAATGCATCCCTGGCATTTAATGCAGGCTATTAATAAAGACATGGGGCTGGGCCATGATTCAGCCCTTGTTTATCCTTGCCCTTTATAAATAAGGGCTTTTTTCATCTGGGAGGGATGAAATGGGGGATCTGGGAGATAGATGAAAGGGGAGCACAAGGAGCAGAGCTTTGCCTGGGGCAGGGCAGGGCAGGGCTGCCGGTGTCCCCTGGCCTGGCTCTGGTGAGTGGAGCTCTGATTTTCCCCCAGAGCCTGTACCTGCGGAGGAGGCGCCAGTCCCTGAAGACCATGTGCTCTGACAGCTGCATCGAGATCCTGATGTGAGTCCTGGGCTCTGCCACAGCCCCAGCCTGGAGCTGCTGCTTCGTGCAGCCGAGCTGCCCCAGCACTGCCACAGGGCTGGAGAGCAGCAAGCCCAGATCCCCTGCCCCTCTCTTTGCACCCTTGCTGCCTTCTCCTGCTCATCCTGAGCCTTTTCTTATTGCTGTCAGGGCTCTGTGTGCTCCTCTCAGCTGCTGCCTCTTGTCCTGAGCCATTTTTTGTTGCTGTCAGAGCTCTCTGTGCTCCTCTCAGCCTCCCCAAACTCTTTTATTGCAGAGTAGATCTACAAGAGCCCTTCTTGCTGAGGTGAGCCACTGCCACTTCCTTTTGTTTCCTCTGCAGCTTCATCCAGGCCTTCTCCCTGCTGCTCTCAGCAGTGCTGTACGGAGCCAGCTCAGAGAACTACGTGGCAGTGATGGTGTTCTCCCTGCTCCTGGGCTGGGTCAACACCCTCTACTACACCCGCGGCTTCCAGCGCACCGGCATCTACAGCGTCATGATCCAGAAGGTCAGGGCTGGCCAAAAGCCTCTGCAGGGAAGGGGCTGGGGCTGGAGGAGCTGGGACTGGTGTCCTGTGGAAGCACGGGTGCTGCAGAATGGGGTTAGGTCAGTGTCTTCATCTACAGCTGCAGCAAAGCTCTGGTTTGGCAGCGCTGAGCATCCCAGGTGGCAGCAGCTGACACCTGCCTGCCAAAAACCACTCCAAACAGCACTGGGAAACAGTGTGGGCTCCCTGCAGCTGCTCAGCTGGGCCTGAGAAGTGTTTCCAGATCCACAGAGGAACCCGGGACACCCCAGGGGACAGCAGGTGACACCTGTGTGTCAGCTGAACATCCCAGAGGACAGCAGCTGACATCTATGTGCCAAAAACCACTCCAAATAGCGCTGAAAACCACCTCCCTGGAGGTGCTCAGCCCAGCCTGAGAAGTGTTTCCAGATCCACAGAGGAACCCGGGACATCCCAGGTGGCAGCAGCTGACACCTGTGTGACAAAATCCAGCTCCAAACCCCACTGAAAACCAGTGTGAGCTCCCTGGAGGTGCTCAGCTCAGCCTGAGAAGTGTTTCCAGATCCACAGAGGAACCTGGGACTGGAAAGGCAAAGCAGGGGTGAAATGAGGTGCAGGGAAGAATTCTGGTCACCATTTGTGTAAAGCCAATGAAGGTGGAAAGGAGAGGGGGGTGTGTGCTGAAACAATTTGGAAACAGCCATAGTGGGAGCCAGCAGGATATTTATTTGTTTCAAGGAACTCTTCATACCAGCAGAGCAACAAAGAACTGTCAGATTAACCTGCCAATGATGCTATTTACCTGTGGAAGTAATTTAACATGTATTAGCAGTTTTTTACACTGGATAAAAGGTGGAAACCTTGCAGTCAGTGTTCCCAGGGCTGGTTTGTGATGTGTGGGCTCATCCAGGTGATTCCACGCGAGATAAAGCACAGCACTCCCCCTGTTTGTGTTCCAGACCATCATGAGAGACCTGCTGCGCTTCCTCCTGGTGTACATGATCTTCCTCTTCGGCTTCGCTGCAGGTGAGCCCCCTCTGAGCCACCCGAGGGCTGAGCTGCAGAAATCCCTTTCCCAGGAGCTCAGCCCGTGTTTTCCTCGCAGCCCTGGTGACGCTGATGGGCGATGCCCCCTCGGTGTCCCAGAACAAGTCCCTGGCTCACCTGGAGGGCTCGGGCAGCCACGCCATGTACGGGGGGCTGCTCAGCGTCTCCCTGGAGCTCTTCAAGATCACCATCGGCATGGGGGACCTGGACTTCCAGGAGCACGCCAGGTTCAGGTACTTTGTCATGCTGCTGCTGCTGCTGTTCGTCATCCTCACCTACATCCTGCTGCTGAACATGCTGATTGCCCTCATGAGCGAGACTGTCACGGATATTTCTGGCTACAGCAAGAGCGTCTGGAAGCTGCAGGTGAGCCCCAAAGCCCTGCTGGGCTCTCAGGGCACAGGTGCCAGTGCCTGCCTGTGCTGTATTTGCAGGGTGCCCTCGTGGCAGGGAGGAACAATGAGTCTGCCTCCACGTTCTCAGAAGGATGATTTGTTATTTTATGATGTTATATTGTATTAAAGAATACTAAACTATGCTATACTGAAGAATACAGAAGAAGGAATGATGAGTCTGACTCCATGTTCTCAGAAGGCTGATTTATTATTTTATGATGCTATATTATATTAAAAAATATTAAACTATGCTATACTAAAGAATACAGAAAGGATACAGAAGAGGGAATTATGAATCTGCCTCCATGTTCTCAGAAGGCTGATTTATTATTTTATGATATTATATTAAAGAATACTATACTAAAACTATACCAAAGAATATAGAAAGGGTACTTACTGAATGCTAAAAAGATAATAATGAAAACTCGTGACTCTTTCCAGAGCCCAAAACAGCTTGGCACTGGTTGGCCAAAGAGTCAAAATAATTCACATGAAACAAATGGAACAATCTCCAAACACACTCCAAAGGAGCAAAACACAGGAGAAGCAAATCAGATGATTCTTGTTTTCCTTTTTTCTCTGAGGCTTCTCAGCTTCCCAGGAGAAGAATCCTGGGAGGAGGGATTTTTCCAGAAAATATGAATGCCACATGTCTGTCCTAAGCTCAGCTATTATTGTGCCTTTTAAATGAAGCACCCAAATTTTAGGTGCATTTTTAGGTGTATTTACACCCAAATTTTAGGTGCATTTTTAGGTGTATTTATACTCAAATTTTAGGTGCATTTTTAGACATATTTACACCCAAATTTTAGGTGTATTTTAGGTGTATTTACAGCTCTCTGCACAGGTCACCTGAGGCAGTCCTTCAGGAGCATTTTGGGGTTGGGTTCCCCAGGATTCTCCAATCCCAGGGAGTTTCTGAGTGGGGGAAGGCTGGGCTGGGCTCTGTCTGGCTTCTCCCTGACCTGGGTTTTGCTCTTGCAGAGGGCCATTGCTATTCTGGAGATAGAGAAGGCCTGGCTGTGGCGCCAGGGTGGGAAGAGAAGATCTGGCTGCTTCATGTCAGTGGGGCTCAACAAGAAAGATGAGAGGTGGTGTTTCAGGTAAGACAGAGGCACCATTCCCCCCTCACCCTCCAGCCCCCAGCCTGGGAACCCTGGGGGGAATTTCAGCACTGACTCAGCCTCACACTCCTGGCCACATCCAAATGTGTTGGTGATTGCCAGGCTGGAGGTTTGAGAATCAATTGATCCATTAAAAACATTCCCTGAGCTGGAGAATTTGAAACCAACCAGACCAGTGGACAATATGCAGGGGGAGAAGATATTTTACCTCATGGAGCTTTGATTACAGAAGATCTTTGCTAAAAAAAAATAAAAAATAAAAAGCTCAGTAAGGTGCTGCTGCTCCAGCCAAACCATCAGGGTGGTGTTGGCAGAATGAGCTGGGAGGCTGCAGAACAATGAGATCTGGCTTGAGCTGCTGCATTCCAGGCATCAGTGTCTTCTTGCATTTTGTCTCTCCAGAGTAGAGGAAATTAAATGGGCAGATTGGGCAAAGGATGTGGGAGTTCTGAAGGAAGAACCTGGGAACACCAGTGATTCAGAAATAAATCCAGAAGGTAAATTAAATCATGAAGAAAGGTCTGCAGTATCCTTTTAGCTTCCTGCTCAGCAAACTGCTCTTGGCATGTTGTTATGTCTTTGGCATTCCAGGCAGGCCAGCTTGAAATTGCTTCCCCACAGCAGCATCCCTTGTGAGCTGAGAAAATAAAGATTCAGTGCAGGTCTGGGGCTGGCCAGAGTTTGGGAACAAACTGAGGATGGAGATGATGCCATTCCTATTCAGCTCTGGGAGAAATGGGCAGGAGATGCTGCTGGGGAAAAGCAAGGGCTGCTCCTATTTTTGGCTCAGTAGCTCAAATATGTGATGCTTTTCCTAGGAAAGGTAAAATTTAGGCTCAGATGTTAAAATCACAGGGCTTTCAGAGCCTCAATTTGGGCATTGACTCTGACAATGCTGTTAAATTCTGCCTGAGATCTTTCTGTTTGCTTCCCTTGGTAAAGCTGGGAAGGAACTCTGAGGAAGCCAGAGCTGTTTCCCTGTTAGAAATGTTTTGTTCAGCCTGGCAGAGCCTGGGCAGGAGCCCCAGTGGGTTTGGGCACAGCCTCCAGCGTAGATCCCTCCTGGGTGCCAGTTTTCCAGGGCTGGGGAGGCTGCAGTGCTTAAAACATTCTGTGCTGTGTGTGTTGGGTGCTCCCTGAGCCTTCTCCCTTCTAAAGCCGGGTCCCTTTGTCAGCTTCCTGCTGATGAGGGGCTGCTCCTGTGTCCCTGCTGCAGACACCAGCTCCTGGAGACAGCCAGCCCAGAAACCAGCCCGAGCAGCTGCCCCGGAGCAGCTGGCCCTGCTGCAGCCCCAGCCCCCAGGCACAGAGATGCTGCCCCTGCAGGGACAGCCCAGGCAGCTCTGACAGCTTTTCTGGTCCTGCTTCCACCTCCAGAGGAGCTGCTCTCCCCCCAGCAGCTGCAAGAACTGAAGGCATTGTCAGCAGCAAAGTGCATCTCGTGGAGGACTGTGGTTCAGCCTGTGGCTTTCAGCCTTGTCATGCACTTCAATGATTCATTTCCTCTGAAGAAACTGTTTTTACTCGACTTTTCTCTGCCTGACACTTTCTTATTACTGTGCCTAAAGATGCAGTGGTGGGAGCGAGCTCCTGGGGCAGTGGGGGAGGCAGAGCTGAGCAGGGATGGTGCTCATGGATGATGCTCGAGGAATCCCCTGGCTGATTCTCTTGTCACAGGCCCAGCCTGTTCTCTTGTCACAAGGGACTGCACTGAAGTGCTTTGGAATAAAGAGAGTTGTAGAGTCCTGAAAGCTGCTGAGGGTGGAGTTGTCTCTGTGCTGGTGTGAGATGTGAGTGGACAAACCCTCGCCCTGAGCAGCACCTGCAGGGCTCTGTGGTTAATCCACATCAGCATCCCCATTTCACACTTCCAGAATGAAATTCTCTCCCTAAAAACACAGGAAGTGGTGTGGATTTCCTGGACCTGAACCTTCGCTGGTGGATTTCTGGGACTTTCATGGGTTGCTTTGTCTCTGTAATAAACAGCAGCAGAATCCTGCTCGTGGCCCCTGAGAGACTGATGGGCCAACATTTGTGTGTGGTTTTTGCTTCCTGTTGCTCGTGGTGGGCATCCTGTCTTGCTGCAGATGTCTGCAAGGACCTTGCTCCTTTTTGTGGCTTGCACCCAGCTTCAGGCAGGAGGGGCAGCCTGCTGCAAACTGTGGGAAAAGAGATAAAAATGAACTGTCTCACTTTTCACTCTATTCAACAGTAATAACATGTAAAATTTCTGTAAACAATACAGCAAGTGTACTTCATTGAAAATGTTCATTTTTGGATGTGCTTTTAGAGCTTCTGCCCTTCTCAGCAAGGGAGAGAAGGTGTTAGCAGTGTGGACTGTAAGTTCTTATCAGATTCCTGATTACTGCTGTGGGAGTTAACTCTTGTTTTTCATGGCCTCATGTGAGTTTGTGCAGCCACTCCTGACCCTGGAGCAGCTGGTGCTGCCCTGGAGGCACCTTCCAGCCCAGGGCAAGGTTGGTGAGAATCCCAGGAAAGCTGCAGCCCCCAGGGGCTGGCAGCACCTTCCCTCCAGTGAGATGAGCCATGCAACCTGAGCTCAATTCCACTCACAGTGAGCCTTGGAGGTTTTCCTTTTGGACACCATCATCTTAATCCTCACTGCATGCACATAACAGGCAGCAAAATTTTGTTTTAAACCTCATTCCCTGCACCTCAATGGGTTCTTCCCCCCGTGCTGGGCAATTCCCCCTCCAGCCTCACTGCTCTGGGACTCTGAGTGGGAACTGACTTTTCTTGCTCCACCTTCTGTTGTTTTCTTGCTTTGTGAAGCCTTCAGCTGCTTTGTCCATCTATGGCTTTGTCCTCAGTGTTCCCAAGATCTGGCAAGGTGCTCATATTGCACAGAGGCTCATCTGGCCCATGATAAATCTATTGCTGTGCTGGGTGCTCTGCTGGGACACTTGGAGATTGTAAAGAAAGGCAGGATCAGAGCTGCCCTCCCTGTCTGGGCTCTCAATAAATAACCTTGCTGGTAGTTTGGGGAAGCTGTGGGCACTGACAGCTTTCAGCATCACCTTCCTCTTCAGCCCTTCCTTGGACCTGCTTCTCTTTTGAAGTTGGCAGGGCTCGTTTATCTTTTGATCTGCACCAGGAATGTTCTGCTGTGAGGCAGAGCTTTGGCAACCCCAGAGCTTCCCAGTCACACCCCAGCCCAGCAATCTCCTGGATGATGATGGTTAAGAGGCCCCAGAGAATTTTGGGGTCCGCTCTTAACAGATGACAATGTTTTGTCAGGAAACCCTTCAGTCATTCACACAAGAACTTCTCAACAGCTGAGCTGTCCTCTCCCTTCTGCCCCTCACAGGTAAGCCCCACTGAGAGCCTTTCCTGTGCACAGGGGAGGTTTTTAGGGCTCTGGCTAAACTAAAAAACCTCTCACAAATGGCAGAGGAGAAGCAGCTGCATTTTCCCTCCTCTCTCTGAAGCACAGAGGCTCTGGGGGCCCAGCAGCTCCCAGTGCAGCTCTGGGGCTGTTCAAACCTCTGGGTGTGCTTTCCTCAGAGTTCCTCAGCTCCTGGCAGGTGAGAGATGAACCTTGAGCATCCAAAGCCCTCCTTTACCCCAGCACACTTTGCCTGCTCCCCGTGGAGCTCTGAGCTCCCCCCACCTCACAGAGCTGCAGTTTTCCTAAAAAGAAACTCCATCTCTGCTCTCTGTGGGTCCCAATTCCCTGTTTTCCTCAGGGGCAGAGGTGGAACCAAACCTCCCTTGTTCTTCAGATGCTTTGCACATTCTGGGGAGTTTCCCCCCCTGTTTTTCCAAAGGCTGCTCTGAAGCTGGAGCCAGCACAGGGAGCTGGATCCACGAGCTGATTCCTCCCTTCCATCTCCCTGTGACCCCACTTGCAACTGAACATATTTTCCATTGCCTCTGGAGCTCTCAGAGGGAGCCTTTGAAATGTGACAGCCCCAGGGCCCCGACGAAGACCAGATGCTTTCTGTGAGTCCCAGGAGCTGCCCAGGGCTGGGGCTGAAGGGCTGCAGCTGGTGGAGTTTGCAGCTGGACTCTGCCTGGGGCTGGCTCTCACTTTTTGGGCTTTGCTCTTCTCAGGAAATCTCATTTCTTGCTATGGGACTAAAAGAAAAATTAAAATAAAAACTAAAACAAGAATTAAATTAATTTTTTTAAGAAAGAAAACTTGCACTTTGCAGCCTCACATCTGCTTCTGCAGCACAAAAAACCCCAAACCTGAGGCCAGACAGGAGCAGGCAAAGGCTCAGAAAATGTGGCTGTGGCTGCCTTGGGGGTGGAACAGAACTAAATCTGAGTGCAAAGGGGTTTTTCTTTCTTCCCCTTTTGCCATACTCTTTTTTTTTTTCCAGCTCAGATTTGTGGCATGTGGAGTGTTACAGCATTTCTGGTCTGTAAGGATGGCTGTCAAATCTTGAACACACAGAGAGGAGAGTTGGAGCTAGCTGGAAAGTGCCCATGGGGTTTGTTGTACTTTTCTGAGAATCCTTGGAAAATGTAGATTTTCTGGGCAAAGAGAACCATGTCTCTATTTCACTGGCAGAAGAGCCATCCCCAGCTGACAGTGTTGGTTTTGTTGCTGCTCACGTCTCCAACACTGAAGTCAGGAACTCCATCACTGCAGAAAAAAAAATAATTCTGCTATTTTGGAATCCTCTGGATGAAAACCTTCATCCATTAGGACAAGAATGAGTCTGCAGGGTGCCAGAACCATTTCCTTTTGTTCATCCCAAGCTTGCAGTGCTTTACCTCTGCAGCAAATACACTGGCAGGAATCATGGAATTTGGAAAAAGAGTGGGAGAAAATTCAGCCAGCTGGGCTGTGCTGTATTTCTGTTGCACTCTCAGGGGTCACAGGGAGGGAGGTTGCCAGCTGTGCTATTCCTTTTTCTGCTGTCAGATTGTTGAATAATGATTTTGCTGCTGCTAAACTGGTTACAGGATCTGTCCCTGAGGATGGCTGGAATAAAATAAATAATAGGAAACGATCCACATATAAGTAGATATGTGATGTTTTGTTCTAAAAATTGCCCTTACTGCTGCAAAGGACACTAATTCTACAAAGCTATATATAGAGATTTCCAGGGAAAGGGCTGCTTGTCTCCTTCTGGAGCACAGGTTGGGTTTATTTGGGATCTGAGCTGTGCCCATCTGCTGGGCTGACTGATGCTCTCCTTGCTGGAGCTGCTGGGTGCAGGTTGGGGGAACAGGGAAGGGTTTACGTCCATTGCCTGGAGACAGAGGTGAAAACACAGGCAGCGTAAACACTCCGTGCTGGGGATTTTCCAACCATGCCTGAGCAGTGACAAATAAAACATTTAAAACATTCCTGCTTTGTGCTCCCTGCTGGATGTGCTCTCCCTGTATGGTAGAGGACTGCAGGCTGCAGCCAGAGCTCCTGGCTTGGTCAGGAGAAAATAGGAGAGAAATAAAGAAATAAAGTTATTCTGTCCCTTTTGTCCCAGTGAGGTAAAATCCTGATTTTTACCTGCGTGCAGAGATTTCTCCTTGGCACTTCTGTGCAGCACAAATGTGCTTGGGGAGTTTTCTGCACGTCCCCTTTGCTCCTGGGGCCAGGCAGAGAACAAGAGATCCTACAGGATCCGTGACAATATCCAGGGTAAAAGTGAATTGTGTCACTCTGGAGAGCCCAGCAGGGAACCCTTCAGGGCTCTGCTGGGATTTGCTCAGGGTGTAGGGAGCAGAAGCAGCAGCCTGGGCACACCAGGCTCACATTACGGGCACCCTCTCGTGGCTTTGTGCTGTCACAGGGTGAGGGCAGGGATGGATCCTGCTCTGGAGCAGGCTGGGAACCCCCTCAGTTCCTGCTCATTTAAGAAAAGACCATACAGTAAGATGTAATTTTTTATTTTTTTTAAATGCCAGAGTGCTACCTTTGCTATAAATCCTTTTTTGAGTTTTCTAGGCTGGTTCATGCACCTTGAGGAGCCACTTCAAGGTGCAGGTGACCTCTCCTTGGGACAATCTTGGATTTCCCTGAGGGTCTCCAGGACATTGCAGGATCTCTGGAGGATGTGATTGTGCTCTGGTAGGTAATAAATGTTGTTTTTTAGTGTTCTGGGGAAATGCTTCAAAGACAAATATAGAATCTGTGTTCCATGCAATGTGTCATTATTCTATTTTTAATTCAGCATCAGAGGGACATTAAAAAAAAAAAATCTTTCCCAGTGATAGAAATTATCTAAAATATAAACCCTTCAGTCCAAGTTACAAAGGGTTTTGCCTTGTATGTCTAAAGACTTGGACAAGCACGAGATAGCGAACATGAATTAACACAGATGAAGGTCTGAGAAGACCTTGATGTCTGGAGTTCAGCACTGATAATTTCGCTTATTTATACAAAATTTAATTTATTTACATACTGTCCCTCATTTTCAATCACACCCCTGTCAGCTGAGTGACCTGTGGAGTTCACACAGACAGAGGCAGGGCAGATGGGTTTGATTTTCTCTTTGCATTTTGGATTTGAAAACAAACTCTAGATAAAGAATTGGAACTGCTAGATAATGTGTTTATCTCATGGAAACATAAATACCACGTTTAATCCTGAAGCTCTGCCCATATTGGTGCATTTTGGCTGTCTGCTCCTTCAGGCTCCTGGGATTTTGTGTGTTCTGAACATTCCCAGCAGAAACTGGAACTTCTCTAAATAGGCCAGCCTGCTCCAGGTGACACAGCATGGAAACACTGAGCAGTTCTTGTTCTTGCTGCCAGGCTTCCTTAAAACGTTTTTCCTGTAATATTTCAGCTCCAAATTTATATTTGATTCTGTTCCTGATCTGCTCTTCACTAACTCAAGAGCAGCTGTCCCCTGTCTCGCCTGCATGAGACTCAACCCTGAGAGAATCCTCATTTTCCAAAACAGCAAAACTGTGTTTTGATACAATAATCTGAGTATTACAGTGCCTTGGCAAGGTAAAAACTGGGAATTCTGGTCAAGCTGAGATGTGTTGCTGCTTTAGTAACAATTAGGAGTCCTTACCACAATTAAATATTTAATTAGGTGCTCATAAAGCAGAAGGGGGGACAGCATTCAGCCCTGAGCAGAAATGAACACTAATGGCTGTGGCTGCAGAGCCTCTGGGATTCTGATGTTGTTGTACATTTATTTTCTAAGAATAATTCATGAGATTCTGGAGTGTTGGTCAGCATTGCTGAGTACCTCTGCACACAACATCTAATTGTTAATTATCCTTGAACTTCTCCAGGAACATCAGCCACAGGCAGGAGATATTTATTGGTGAGTAGAAAAAGGAATAAACCTCATCTCTGCAAAGCTGTGTCCCTCAGCTTGAATATTTAATCAAGAAAAACTTCTCATCACTGGAGAAAAAAATAACAATACTGTGCTGTGGCAATCCAGGGGTAAAGAACTGGAGTTTCTTTGTCCACAGTGAAGATTTTTTTAATGTTGTTGCTTATAAACCTTTTCCTGAAAGCTGGACTCATCACTAGAGTGTCTTTTAGATTTAATTCTCCACTGAGGTGTTGGGAATTTTGTTTGTGTGCATGGAAAGACATTCTGAACCTGCTGCCTTAGGAAAATGAGGATGGTTTAATCTGTGTTTGCTCAGTGCCCTCACAGGGGTGCAGCCACAAGCCCACCTGCACTGCTCATCTGCCTTTGACAACCACATTCAGTGGCTCAGAGGAGTTGTACTCTCCAGATTTTGCATTTAGAGTTTATATAAAACATCCTCTTTGTGCAAAAGGTGTTTTCTTCAATCCCTCAATTGACTTTCCCTGCAATTCATCCTTCAACAACCTCCCATTCATAGAGTGCTTCATCTCTGGGGCTGTCCCGGGAGATCCCAGAGGAGATCCCAGAGCACAAACAACAATAAACATCCTAAAAATCCCAGCTCTGGCATTTCATTAGGAACAGATGAACAGCAGAGCACTGCAGCAGAGCTGCTCAGTTTGCATTTGACAGAAGGCATCATGGTGAAAATCCACAAGTGCCACAGTGCCTGAAGTCACCCCTGAAAGATAAATGTGACACAAAGCATGGAGGGGTCTCCTTTGAGACTGAAAAGGAACCATTTTCCTACACCCCCTAAAGAATATGGAATAATTAATTGGGCTGCTGCATTGTCCTGTGTGTGAAAGCATTTGGAGGGAGTAATTCCCCCAAATTCCAAGAAGGATGCTCCATGCTCATTAAATAAAAACCCATTTTCTCTCTGCTCCTAGCAAAGTGGTCACTGCAGTGACCATGAAAGTGCCACTGACAGTGGAGACGACTCTGTGTGACAACTCTGCTCCCAAACCACCCCAAAAATCTGCATTTTAGGAAGGTGCCAGCCGAGGTGAGCTTGGAGAACAGCCCCAGAGCTCTCAGCAAAGTGCTGAGAGGAAACCCAGCTCAGCCACCAAGTGATTTACTACCCAAACAAACCTTGCCACGAGCTCCAGGGAGGGGAAGGAGCATTTCACTTGTTAGGAGGAGAGTCTAAATACTGGATTTATCTGATTCAAGACTCCCAAGTTTTATTGGGCTATTTGTACCTAATTTGTTTTATGGGAGCAGTCCCAGGCCGAGCTGAATTTCCCAGTGTTTTTATTCAGCTCTAAGGAGAATTCCTTCTCCCTTGGCAGCCTCCTCTCCTGCTGGGCGCCAGCAGCACCATTAACTGCTGCAGTCTGGAACTGCAGAATTGGGCAGAAATCACAATTTTCCCTTTTTTCCTGCCTCTGAATGATTCTCTGAGCATCTTCTCTGCACAGAGGCCAGAGCTGTTCTTCCTTCTCATTCAGCTTCACAAGGCAAGAGATCATTTTCATATTCCTGCACTTCGTGTCTGATTTTTCCAGAAAAGAATGAGCAAAAAATACATGTTTTAACAGCACCCTGGTGAGTTACAGAATATTCACAGGGCAATCCATATTTTATCTGTCTTCTCCATCGAAATAGGCAAATTTTTCAGAGATTTGGAAAATGAGGGTTGCTGGCTTCACCACAAAATCCACTTTGACCTGGAAACACCAGAATTCCTGCCTGGAATCCACCTGATTTACCAGTTACACAAAAGCAGCCTTCTTCTCTTCACTCTCCTAAAGCCTTTGGATCCATGTGAAAAATCTTTCCCTCCCTTAGGATAATTTTAGCTTTGCTCAAACTTCCTTATTTCAGTAAAAGACAGAGCACCCTTTAAGGCTCTGATTTCAGTGTGGTGATTATTAAAAAACTTGTGTTTTCTGAAGGGGCAAACTGGGTTCTGGAATCCTCTTTCCTCAGCAGGGAGAGCAGATCTCTGAAATACATAATGCAGCTCTGTTCCAAGTAAAGCTTTCACTCAGATGAAAACATGTTCAGGGCATTTAACTTGATTAGGGGAAATTTACTATTCCAATTCCTTTTTTGTCACCATCCTCCCATTAAAATTTATGAGGGCTGATTAGTACATGATATTTTTTTCTGTGTTTTTTTTTAATCAAAGAGCATCTTTAAAAAAGGAAATGAGGACTCAGCTCTGGCAGCTGCACTTCCTTGCAAGCACAGTTTAAAGCAAAGGTTTTTATATCAATTTCATGTCCAGTTTTGGGGGGAGGTAGAAGCTTTACATTTTGATTAATGAAAATTACTACATGTTCACAAATCAGCAAATTGGTTTGCAGGGAAACATTCTGAGGTTTCAGCTTTCAGAATCTCCAAATTACTGCACCAGGTCCTCCTGGGGGCTGTCACCTCTCCTGGCATTAATTCCTGCCAATGCCCCATCCCTCCAGTACAGCCAAAATCAGTTCTCAAATCAGAAACAAAGCACCAAGACAGGCAAAAATAACATGGTTTCATCCATCCTTTTTTTTCTTTTAAAGCATAAATGAAATTAGCACCATTGTGACTGAGGAACACTCCTTGATGTCAGATGAGCATCCACTGCAGGCCTTACCAAGTGGGTTTTAAGACCATTCAATTACAGTGCATGACTTTATTCAATTAAAGGAAAAAAAAAAAAAGGCTGAGAGGATGCCTGGGAATATTCCAGCACAATTTCCATCTTAATAATTTGCAGCACTGCAGATTGTCAGGTCACTTTCTGCAGTGTCTGGAAGGCAGAACAATAAAACCACCCCAGGGTCTCCTCGCTGGGTTTGTAAAAAGGAGATTTCAAGAGAGGGTCCAAGATGAATCTTTAAGATGCAATATTCAACATTTATTCTCTGGACTGCATGGAGAGCATTGCAGTTACAATGAATTTGATGATGCTGCCACTTAATTTCTTAATGCATCTGTGTCATTGGATCAGAATTTAATTCACTTTTCACTTCAGTTTGATTTATTGTTCTCTTTAGCCCAGTTTCTTTAATAAACAAGAATGTTAGCAAAGGACTTCTTGAAAACAGGGAATTGGGATTTAATGTAAGAGCCTCCAGTTTAGGGCACCTGGTCCACCTGCAGTCAGGACTAAAGAACATTTATTACCTTGGGCATTTTCTTCTGTAGATAAAGGATGAAATTGCTTCAAGTGCTACCACCAGGTTACAGATTTGAGTTGCTATCAGTGTACACAACATTATAACCATTAAAAATGAGGAACACAGCTACTTTGTCTTCTTTTTTTCACAATCAGGTACCTCTTCCTTGGTCCTTAAGAAAGGGGGAAAAAGAAACCAGATTAGTGGGTCTAAAACCCTTTACAGAAACTTTACATATTTACATTTTATACTTTCATTCCAGGTATAAATTCTGCCAAAATTAAATCAAAAGATGGATCTTCCTTTCTGTCTCCAGTGAGCCAACAATATTCAAGCCTTGTCCTCACTGTCCAGAACTGAAGAGTTTTTATCTTTAAAAAAAGAATCTGTAAAAAAGACAATATAGTAAGAAAAGAACTTGCAATAATCTAAGGCTAAAATGGTAAGAACATTTATGTGAAATTCAGAGCATTAACTGAGCCTGAAGAAGTCTCTTTTCCCCTCCTTTCTCCAAAGTCAGCTCTGTTGTCTCCCCTCCAGCACCCCTCAAAACCAGCAGGTATGGAAACATCTCAGAGCAGAAGACATTGGAGGGGATCTTTTAGGACACTAAAAATACTGGGAGCCAATCAAAGCACTTCATTGTGCCAACACATACAAAAAGCAGAGGAGAAAGGCAGCACCAGTGGCTCAGTCCCTGGACCCCTGCTCACTGGAAGAGGCTGCTGTGGTGCAGAACATCATGGGCAGACCCAAAGGTCAGCACTTCCTTGTGGAACTTGCTGAGCTGCATCCTGATCTTCTTCAGGGCAGGAGTTGATGCCTTCTTCTTGTAGGTCACGGCTTTCAAAAGTTTATCAGCCAGGTAGTGCAGCCAGAGGACGTTGCTGTGCGGGTGGTAGTCGGTCCAGCTGTTGGAGTTCTCCTCTTTCATCTGCCTGTAGATGTCAAACTGGTGGTCCCCAGTGCCTTGGAAGAGCTCCAGGTCCGTGGAGAGGTCGCAGAAGACAGTGAGCCCGTCCTTCTCCAGGCGGGACAGGGTGTAGTCGATGATGTTGACGTGGATGCCAGCCGTGGGGATGCAGCGTGTCTCTCCGTTCAGCACGTAGTGCAGCTCTCTCACCTCTGTGCTTTTGACCAGCACGTTGCCCCAGTGCAGGTCCCTGTGCTCGAAGTGCAGCTCCTGCTCTGCCACGGCCAGGGACGCCGTCACCTGGTGCAGGATGCTCCTGGCTGATGCCACCGAGGCGAAGCTGCTCCTCATGCGCTCCAGGTCCTGGCCTCCAAACTCAAACTCCAGCACCATGAAGAGCTGCTGAGGACCAAAAAAGTCTGGCCGGTCGTTTTCTGAGCCTGTTTCTTTGTGGAATTTGTCCCAGGCTTCCAGGAGGTACCTGGGATAGGCCCCCTGGACGCAGTGCACAGAGTAGAGGCTGATGAACCCCACAGTTCTGTTCACAGAGCCCTCAGACAGAAGACTGAGCTCTTTTGAGATTATCACCTCAGGCAGAATCTCCCCAAAGCTCTTCTGAGCTTCACCATTTATTTTTTCAGTCCCCTCAATGGGAATTATTTTTAAGGCCACAGGTCCTCTCTCGCTGTCAATCTGGAACACCTCTCCAAACACCCCTTCTCCAATTTTCTTGCAATCTTTCATCTTATTTAAAGGAATGCATTCCTCAAAAGCAATAGGCCCCTCCTGGTTGCATTCTCCAAACACTTTCTCAGCATCTGTGAGGAGCAGCTCCAGGACAGAGGAGGAGTCCCTGGGAGCCAGCAGGACCATGGAGGAAGCAAACCAGGAGCAGCCCTGAGCCTTCCCAGCAGACAGGCTGGCTTGGTACCCCGAAAGCTGGGATCTCCCTGAAGGGGTGCAGAGGATGCTGCTGCAGAAACTCTCATCTGTGGTCACTTTCTTCTTTTTATGGAAGGACAGAGACGCTCGAACTCTAGCCCAGGAATAAGAGTTATTGAGGAGTGAAGAGTCATTGTTTCTGACACCTACAGACACCTCCAGAGCTCCCTTCCGAGCTCGTTTTTGCCTCGTCTGGAGTCTGAAAAGGGAGCCATTGGGCTGCTGCTGCCTCTTGTTCTTGCGCCTTCTTGGCCTGAGCTGGGTGTGCCTGCCCCAGCGGCTGGCACTGAAGCCACTGATGCAAGCTTTCCTGCAGGTGCTGCCCTCCCCAGGGACACCCTTGGTCCTTTTGTGTTTGCTCTCCGAGATTCCTTGGCGGCCCACGGGAGATCCTGGCTGCAGGCAGGCGGGTTGAACATCAGCCTCATTGTTGAGTTTCAAGCTCTTCAATCTCCTTGGCACTTCCAGAGGGTCCAGGACAACCACTGGCACAAGCTGGTACTCCTCGGTTACGTCTCTCTGACAGCTGGAGCCTCTTTTGGCTGAATCTGTCGTGAGATGAGATGGAACCTCACAGGGCTCCTCATGACTGCCGCTGTCACAGGGCACAGGGGGCTGAGGCTCATCCTCCAGCGGCGGCAGCGCTTCCTGGGGACTGCTTGGGGCTTTCAGCGGGGACGGGGCAGCTTGTGCCGGGCAGGACCCCCGCCCCGCCGACCTCAGAACGCGGCGGGACCCGTGCTCTGAGCTCCGAGCCAAGCCCTGCTCTCGGAACCACTCGGGCACCTCCTGGTGCCGCCGCCCGGAGCACCCCTCGGGCGAGCCGCGGGGCAGCGGGCGCTGCGAGCGGGAGTCGCCCAGCCCCGAGCCGCCCTCGATGGTGGTGCTGAGCAGGAGCGAGCTGAGGCGCACGGGCCGGCGGCGGCGGGGCGGGGGGCTGTCGCCGGGCGCCGAGCCCGCCGTGTCCCGATGTCACTACCGGTGTCGCTCCCGATGTTGTCATTCCCGGTGTCCCACCCGGTGTTGTCGTTCCCCACCGTGTCCCTATGTCGCTCCCAGTGTCGCCCCGTGTTCCGGTGTCCCGTTCCCGGTGTCCCGCCGTGTCCCGGTGTCACTACCGGTGCCGCTCCCGGTGTCCCGGTGCCGCTCCCGCCGTGTCCCGATGTCACTCTCGGTGTCGCTCCCGATGTTACGGCGAGGACAGCGAGCGCCGCGGCTCCGCGCCCCGGCTCCACGGCTTCTTCCTCCCCGCCGCCTCCCGGTTCTTCTTTCCCCGCGCCCGGCTCTCCGGCTCCCGCGGCTCCGGTTTACGGTTCTCCTTCCCGGCCGGGCCCCGCTTCTGCTTCCTGCGGGCCCGCAGCCGCCCGGTCCAGGCGGGGCGCTTACCCAGCGGCTGCGGGGGGCGCTTGCCGGGCGGCGAGAAGTCGGGGTCGTCCGAGGGGGTGGAGCAGGCGCTGGAAGGGGAGAGGGCGCTGGAGGCGGTGCTGGAGGCGGCGGAGGTCGAGCTGAAGAGGCGCCGGCGGTCCTGCGGCGGCGAGATCCAGCGGTCGGGCGGCGGCGGCGGGCGCAGGTAGCCGGCGCGCCGCGAGTAGGTGCGGAGCAGCCGCGGCCGCAGCGGCATGGCGGGGCCCGGCCCTCTGAGGGAGCCCGCCCGCCGCCCGTTCGAACGGGTATCGCGAGAGCGCGCGAGAGCGCCCGCACCGCCCGGGCGGGGACAACGGACGGGACACGCCCACGGGACACGCCCCGGACACGCCCCGGACACGCCCCCGGCCCCGCGCCGCTGCCGGTGCCGCTCCCGCCGTGTCCCGATGTCACTACCGGTGTCGCTCCCGATGTTGTCATTCCCGGTGTCCCACCCGGTGTTGTCGTTCCCCACCGTGTCCCTATGTCGCTCCCAGTGTCGCCCCGTGTTCCGGTGTCCCGTTCCCGGTGTCCCGCCGTGTCCCGGTGTCACTACCGGTGCCGCTCCCGGTGTCCCGGTGCCGCTCCCGCCGTGTCCCGATGTCACTACCGGTGTCGCTCCCGATGTTGTCATTCCCGGTGTCCCACCCGGTGTTGTCGTTCCCCACCGTGTCCCTATGTCGCTTCCCGCCGGGACACGCCCACGGGACACGCCCCGGACACGCCCCGGACACGCCCCCGGCCCCGCGCCGCTCCCGGTGCCGTTCCCGGTGTCCCGTTCCCGGTGTCCCGCCGTGTCCCGGTGTCACTACCGGTGCCGCTCCCGATGTTGTCATTCTCGGTCTCCCTCCCGGTGTTGTCGTTCCCGGTGTCCCCCCGTGTGCCTATGTTGCTCCCGGTGTCCCGCCGTGTCCCGGTGTCACTACCGGTGCCGCTCCCGATGTTGTCATTCTCGGTCTCCCTCCCGGTGTTGTCGTTCCCGGTGTCCCGCCGTGTGCCTATGTTGCTCCCGGTGTCGCGCCGTGTCCCGGTGTCACTACCGGTGCCGCTCCCGGTGCCACTCCCGATGTCCCGGTATCGCTCCCGGTGTCATCATTCCCGGTGTCCCGTTCCCGGTGTCCCGCCGCGTCCCGGTGTCATTACCGGTGCCGCTCCCGGTGTCCCGGTGTCATCATTCCCGGTGTCCCGCTCCCGGTGTCCCGCTGTGTCCCGTTCCCCGTGTCCCGTTCCCGGTGTCCCGTTCCCGGTGTTGTCGCTCCCGGTGTCCCGGTGTCATCGTTCCCGGTGTCCCGCTCCCCGTGTCCCGTTCCCGATGTCCCGTTCCCGGTGTCGCTCCCGGTGTCCCGCCGTGTCCCGGTGTCATTCCAGGTGTCCCGTTCCCGGTGTCCCGTTCCCGGTGTCCCGGTGTCCCGTTCCCGGTGTCCCGTTCCCGGTGTCCCGCTCCCGGTGTCCCGCCGTGTCCCGGCGGTGCTGGCAGCCGCCCCGGGGCGTTTCGGCACGCCGGGATGGCCGGTGCGGGCCGGAGCGCAGAGCCCGTGAGGAGGGTCCGGGGGGGCTCCGCGGGGACCCCGCCGCTCCCTGGGCAGCCCGTGCCCCGCTGGGGCCGGTCTGTCCCACCGGGAGCACCGACAGAGCCCGGGGACACGGTGTCCCGGTGTCATTCCAGGTGTCCCGTTCCCGGTGTCGCTCCCGGTGTCCCGTTCCCGGTGTCCCGGTGTCCCGTTCCCGGTGTCCCGCTCCCGGTGTCCCGCCGTGTCCCGGCGGTGCTGGCAGCCGCCCCGGGGCGTTTCGGCACGCCGGGATGGCCGGTGCGGGCCGGAGCGCAGAGCCCGTGAGGAGGGTCCGGGGGGGCTCCGCGGGGACCCCGCCGCTCCCTGGGCAGCCCGTGCCCCGCTGGGGCCGGTCTGTCCCACCGGGAGCACCGACAGAGCCCGGGGACACGGCCTCAGCTGCGGCAGGCGTGGGTTGGGTATTAGGGAAAAAATCACCGAAAGAATAATAAAGCACCGGAATGCTCTTCCCAGGGAGGGGAATCGGATCTCTGGGTGTGTTCAAAAAAAGAATGGACGTGGCACTTGGTGCTGTGGTGAGGTGTGAGGGCATGGGTTGGACTCCATGACCTTGGAGGTCTCTTCCAAACTCATTATTCTGTGATTCCGTAGTTCTGTGATTCCGTGATTCTGTGGTCCCGGCGCTGCTCCATCCGCACTCTGCAACGGCAGAATAAATTAATTTATACACCTATGTTGTGTACCACTGCAGGCACTACAGCTGTGTGTGTGTGTGTTACACCTGTGTGTTACGCCTGTGTACGCTGAAAATCAATTTATACCCCTGTGTTGTGTAGCTCTACAGGGAATACAGCCGTGTGTTACACCTGCGTACACTGAAAATTAATTTATACACTGTGTTGTTGCTGTGACAGCAGAATAAATTAATTTATACCCCTGTGTTGTGTAGCTCTGCAGGGAATACAGCCCTGTGGGTGTGTGTGTGTGTTACACCTGTGTACGCTGAAAACTAATTTATACCCCTGTGTTGTGTAGCTCTGCAGGGAATATACAGGTGTGCATGTTACACCTATGTACACTGAAAATTAATTTATACACTGTGTTGTTGCTGTGACAGCAGAATAAATTAATTTATACCCCTGTGTTGTGTATCTCTGCAGGGAATATACAGGTGTGTGTGTTACACCTATGTATACTGAAAATTAATTTATACCCCTGTGTCGTGTACCCCTGCAGGGAATGCAGCACATGGCAGAGGTTGGAATAGCTGATCTTTAAGGTCCCTTCCATCCCCAGCGTTCTGTGTGTTCATGTGTGCTGGATGCTTTGTGTGAGGAGACGGGGACGAGGGGAGAGATGAGAATCTTGACTCCATGTTTCAGAAGGCTGGTTTATTATATTATGATATATGTTATATTAAAATGCTATATTGGAACTGTACTATAAAGAATAGAAAAGGATCCATCAGAAGGCTGGAAAGAACAGGAATGGAATGATAACAAAGGCTGGTGACTCTCAGAGAGTCCGAGCCAGCTGACTGTGACTGGCCATTAATTAGAAACAACCAACATGCCCCAATCTCAGCTGCACCTGTTGCACCCCACAGTTATTTAATAACTGCAGCAGTTATTATATAATTTATATAATAATTGGAGCACACAGATATTGTTTACATTTCTTTCCTGAAGCTCCGAGCTCCTCAGGAGGAAAAAATCCCAGCAAAGCATTTTTCATAAAATATCATGGCTGCATTCATGTATTCTATACACGTGTGAAAACAGGATTTATTTCAGGGCAGGGAGGCTCCAGGGCACGTTCAGCGCCCGGGTCAGGCCGTGCCCTGCCCTGCAGCGCTGCGTGGCCAGGGGTGATGCTCTTTCCTTTCATCCATCCTTTATCCGTGCCCGCGGGCTCAGCAGAGGTGCTGCAGCTCTCCTGCCCCCTCCAGCAGCTGCCTGACCCTCGGAGCCCCGCAGGTTTCGGGGTGGCTGTCGCAGCTGTCACTCGGCTTGGGGACAGGGGACGCAGCTTGGTGGCAGCACAGCACTGCAGCCTGAGCCCCTCGCTGGAAAGCAGCTGGTGTTTTGTTCCCTTCGTGTTTCCCGTTGTTCTTGCAAAGTTTAAAGAGCTGTTCTGCTGGGGGAAAAAACAAAAAAAAACAAAAAAAAAAAAAACCAGTGGGAAATATCTCCAGCAGAGTTCCAAATCAACGCTCAGGTTGTCCTGGGTCACACAGGCAGCCTGGACCTTCCCTCGGGGCAGCAACAAGTGAGACATCCTGGTGGGTTTGCTGAGCCCAGAGAAGAAATCAAGTCCCAGAGTTAAATTCTGCACCTTTTGTTCTGCCTCTGAGTTTAGAGAAATCAGGTTTTACTATGGGACGGAAGCAGAGGGAGGATATTTGCCACTGCAGATAGAGAATATTTAGAGTTCTGTGTGGAACTCTTGTACTGGTGCAGTTAAAGCAGAGGCGTCCTGTTCTTTCAGGGATTTCATCCTGAATGCTCCCTTTTCCCTACTGAACACGGAAATCTTTAATTCTTTAATCTGAGAGACTGACCCTGGTGATTTATCAGCTGCAGGTTATCAGTAATTGCAATTTGGGTGGTTTGGAGAAAAAAGGTGCCTGGCCAGGCCTTGTGTTCTTCCAGTGAAATGATCTCAGGCCCCCTTTGTGGATTCCAAAGGAAGTCAAGGATGGACACTTGGTAATGTTCCTTTCTCTGTCTCCTATTTTTGTGGTGGTTTTATTTATTTCTGTCATGTTTGGTTGACCATAAACCCCACAGATCTAATGTGTGTTTGTAGACAGCAGCAGAATAAACAAAGATTTCTCATTCAGACCTTCAGAAGACAAAATAGTTCCTGTCTCCTCTGGCCTAACCAATATTGCCTGGTGGAAAAATAACAAACAATCCTTCTCTCCTTTATTTTTCTAGTTTCTTCTGTGAATTAAGCTTCCTTCATTACTTGGATGCCTTTTCTTGTCCCTCATGGCTCTCAAGGAGGTCAGCTCTTGCAGTGGGTAATGCTATTTTTCCTTTTTAGATGTTTTTTTTTTCTCCTAAATGCATTTCAGAACTCTGTGACTTGTAATTTCCTGCGAGTGCCATCGGCCATTTAATTCTTTGCAATCACTGCAGCAGATGCCAAACACATTTGCAGTAATTGGATGGCACTTAAGGGATTAGCCAAGACTGCCAACACTCAACCCATCCAAACCTCAGCTGGCTTTTTGTGAGGTTTCCATGGGAGCCTGGCCGTGTCTGCTGCTAAATTTATTTGCAATCTACGTCTTGGATAAAGTGCCCTGTGCAGGAGCCTGCCTGCGTGGCCCTGGCTTTGTGGCGTGGCTGTGGCATCTCCCTGAGGGACAGAAAATTGGCAAATGCCTCCCTCAGGGTCAGGAGCCACCTGTCCCCACCAGGTGAAGGAGCTGGCAGCACTTTGGGCCAGGTGCTGTGGGAGAGCAGCTGCTGCAGATGTCCCAGAGGCTGTGGAGCTGCCAGCACGGTTCATGACCTTTCTCTCTGCCTCATGCAAAGGTGGCAGAGGGTTTGCAGAGCCACAAGTTCCTGCTTTCATCTCTGTGGGCCCCCTCACTCATCCAGCTTTGCATTTCTTCACAGTTTTGTGCCTCCCGCAGGAGGACAGGATGTGTTTTGTGATGCTGCTTCTGTCGGGGATGTCACCAGCTGCTTGTGGCTCCGTCACCCAGCAGGGAGGTCCCCAAACTTTGGGTTTCCCTGGTGGGCTCAGGAGCTGCCAGGTTTGTGGGCAGAGCTGTGAGAAGGTGTCTGCAGGGGAAGGGGAGCTCAGCTCAGCAGGAGAAGGCCATCAGTACTTCATTATAAAGCACAGGGCATGGCATTGACGCTTCAGGTTTTAACTTTTATATTTTTCAGGTTCTGTGCTGCTTTAGTGTGCAGTTCTGAATTTCACATTAGGGGATGGTGAGCTTTGCACAGAGCAGGGAGACAAAACAATTCCTGCTCCAGCTGGTCACCAAGGGCAAATGATCCAAATCTCAGCCCAAGAGCACAAACAGCGTGGGCTGAAGAGAGAAAAACAGGAAGGATGGGACTTGATATCCTAAAGCTGTAACTGGACAATGAACTGCAATCTGCAGATGGAGCAGAGCTGATCCCAGGGAGAGACCCCGTGACCATCGTGCATTTTGGGGCCATTTGGGCTCACCTTGGGTTCATTTTGGACCATTTTGGTTCACCTTGGGTTCATTTTGGACCATTTTGGGACCATTTTGGTTCACCTTGGGTTCATTTTGGGACCATTTGGGTTCACCTTGGGTGCAGCCCTGGCTGGGCTCTTGTGCTGCCCAAGGTGGATCCATGGAGGAGATCCTTTCAATAAATCTCTATTTTGTTCTTTAGCTCTGTCCAGCCTCCATTCTAGGTCAGCCTGCACAAGGCATCAAGGTGAGGGATCAGAGAGGAGCCATGCAGAGCCTTGCTGGGCTCCAGGGCCTTTGGGGCAGCTTTGTTTGGAGGGTAATTGAATTGTAGCTCTAAAGAGACATTTCCTGTCCTCATTGCAGCGGGCTCCACGAGCTGAGTGATGCTGCAGAGCCACAAACAGATTTCTCTGGCTCCCCCAGCCCCAGCTTGGCTAAGCTGGACCTGGCTGGTCTGTGCAGCACAGCTGGACACATCAGCCTCCTGCTGAACTGGGACCAGCTGGGTACAGCATGGGGGTCACGCTGGTTCAGAGCACTCCTGGGGAGAGCTCAGGTGCCAGGCTGGCACTTTTCCCTCTGGGGTCAGGTCTGAGTAGCTCCTGTGTTTTCTTGGGGCTGCAAGGAGTTACCAGCTGGGTAACCAGGGTGGGGACACGTTCCAGACTTCCCAGCTGTGTCTGTGAGGAAGGTGAAGGAAGGGATGAAGGGTTCTCCTCAGGATTTCCATAAAGGAAGGGGATGAAGGGCTCTCCTCAGGACTTGCAGCAAGGTAAGAGCTGGCAGAGGTACCAGACCAGGACCAATTTCATGTCTCTGTGTTACCAAAGTAGTAAATGCTGTTCTGTTGGGTGTATTCAAGAGCAGGGTTTCACCTTTAAATCAGTGCTTAATGTGAATACACTTTTTATTAAACCCTTTCAGCTTTCAGGCTTTGATTCAACATTCTTTTATTTCCCAGTGATGCTTTTATTGTCTGACCTTAGGAGGTGAATTCACTGCAACACAGCACAGCTATCCTTGCACTCAGTCTCTCAGCAGTGTCTTATGTGCACTTTTATTAATTTCTCTTACCTGATTCAGTGCCAGCTCCCTCACAGAACAGGGCATGATGGCTTGGTTTCATTAGATGTGCACTATTTTTCCTTCTCTGATCCTCTTCCTCAAGCACTTTCCCTTCCTGGGCTGGGGAGAGCAGTGGGTAAATGCTCCAGCTAATAATAACAACATTCCTGCACTCTGCATGGGAGATTCAGGACCTGGGGAGGAACATGGAACACATTCAAAGGCTGAAAATGGCTCTGCTGGAAGTGGAGAGCTGAATCAAAGACAGAATCTGTTCTGCAACGTCAGCACTCTCCCATCTCCCTTCTCTTCCTACAAACAGTTCTGTGCATTGGGACAGAAACTCTCCCCACAATTCCATTTCCACTGAGGCTGGGTGTGCAGCTGTGCTGGTTAGGAGGATGAAGAGTGGCTAATTGACCCAGCCAAGGATTACAAGAGGAGCTGAACAGAGCATTTTCCTCCATGGGCTCCACACATTTCGTTTCTTGTTCTTGCCTCCAAACCCATCACCTTCAGAGAGCAGCTCCTGCCTGATGTTACTGATTTCTGGGGGCACGAGCTGAGCTTTGAAGCAACTTCCTCTCTCAACTTTGACTCTTCACCTTGTTTTTTTGCATGACAAGAAATGTGAAAACTGAATGACTAATGTGGAGAGCTGACCTCTGCCTTTTCTCTGATCATTTCCCTGCCAAATCCCCTCTTTCCTTCCTCCCTGTCTCTATTTCAGGCTCTGCTCTGGCGCCTGTTTCTGACAGAAGAAGGATCTGCACCACTCAAACCTTTACTGCAGGAGCATTTCAGTGCTGCAAAAACATCTCAGCATTTCTGAGCCAGGCTGTGGGAGCAGGGTGGGGTTCAGTCAGTGCCTGGAGGGAGCATTTGGCACTGGGAGTGACCAGGATGAGTGCCCAAAAACCCAAAACCAACCATGGTGAATCACAACTGTCCTGGCCAGGGCTGCCTGCAAAGCACATGCTCTGTTTGGGTGTAATTTAAAGACATTATTGGGCTGATCTTGAAATCTTTCCAGTGTCAGATGTGACCTTGCAGCGTTTCAAATGCCCCTGGATCAGGGCAGAGGTTGAAAGTTTGATTTTCACAGCCCCTTCAGGTGGCATTTAGAGGCTGAGATCAGCTTGGGGCAGCTGGGCAGTGACAGGTGGAGGGAAAGTAGATGAGGAGCAGTCTGGGCATCCTGTGAGTATTTGTGGATTATGAGGAGGCAATCACTGTCAGCAGTGTGAGGAATTAAATAGAGGTGTGACATGGCAGGAATTGAAAGGGGAAAAAATAGAAAGGAGAAGTTTCAGTCGTGGAGGAGAAATACTCCCTGTGAGAATTCCCAGACTGAGCAAACAGCCCTTGTGGGAATGGAGCAGCACTGGGGTTTTTTTGGTTTTCCGGGGATTTTTTGTTTTTGTTTTTTGTCCTTCATGGGAAATCCAAGATGTGGAACTCAAAAAGGGAAATATCTTGCAGTGAAGATTCAGCCTCTGTCCCATGAGAAGAACTGGGAGATTCTACATTATTTGCATCTTTAACTGGTGACAATCAGACTTTGTTGGGTTATCTAGTCCCTGCTATGGATCTGCTTTTGTTTGAACATCCACAGATACTTTGACAAACCCAGCAGTAGACTTGATTTCCAGGCCAGGGAAAAAAAAAAAACCCAAAACCCAAGGCTGTGAAAACCAGGTGATAAAAACAACACCCAAGAGCGTGCCACAAAGCCCCAGTTAAATTGTTTTTGCAGCTCAGTGCAAGCCAAACTTCTGCAGCAAGAGCATTGTCAGCAAAAATTGAGCTTGTGCTGAGCAGTGTTCTGAGGCATATTTGATATAAATGGAAACTTTTTATTCCAAAACATCTATTCCACCTGTGCCTCTGCTGATGCCTCCAAAACCGCAAGAAGATATCAGTTTTGCATTCTCATTTTATTTTCATTTAGTGATCAAACGTGGTTTACATCTTCAAACCTCGCCTAGAGCAGAACATTTCTCGCTCTAGGGATTTTTTTTTTTAACCTGTCTCAGATTAATTGACCTGCAAAATAACTGCAAAGGCTCAGGGCAGCCAGCAGGTTACCTCGAGGCCACAGGCAGGTTTGTGTTCTAGTTTTGCAGAGAACAAAGAGAGAGAAGAGAAAGGTTTATTTCCTTTTGCAGAGGAAAAGGGGAGAAAAATTTCTTTCCCTTTGCAGAGGAACTGCAGGGATGGCTCCTGGATGAGGGATAAAATGAGTTCTTAGTTCCTTGTGACGCTGGTTGTGATTCTCCTGTGATTTGGAGCTACTTCATTAAAAACCAGATCCATCTGCTTAAATTTGATGTGGAATTTAAGGAGGATGAAGGACAACATTTTCATACAGCCTGAGACCTTAAAATGATTTTCCCAGGGAAGGGATTTGTCCAGGGCAGTTTCTTCATTTTTCTGCCTAATAGAAATAAAAGGAGATACAGGAGCACAGTAATTGTTATTGGCAAACGGAGGTCAATTACAGGAAATTATATTTCTTGAAATGAGTTTAGCAGCTCCTGGCTCCCTCTGTTATTCATTCTGCAGAGAGCTGGGGAGCAGAGGCAGCTGCTGTGTCACTGCCCCTGGCCTGGTGCTCCCTCGTGAGCCAGGATGGGACTGGGGCAGCCCCAGGAGCCTCAGGAAACCTCATGGAACTGGGATCTGGAGCTCCTGCTGCATGGAGGGGCATTTGGGGTAAGGTGAGACAGGCTGGGCTGGGAGCTTCTTGCCCACATTCCTTCCTGAAGCAAACCCAGGCTGCTCATCTTTGTCACCTCTGCTTGGTTCCTCATGTTTTCCTGGAAAGCAGTAATTTATCCTTAGGCACATGCAGAATTTATTAATTTTCTTAATTTGGTGGAAAGGAGTGGGGACCAGGCAGGTGTTTTGGCTGACTCTCAAGGACCTTGGTTCTCACTGCTCAACACTTAAGAAATCAAAAATTTACCCCAGTGTGTTGTCATCCTGTAAAGGCTGAAGAAAAGCTTTAATCACTGAGAAATGGTGAGAGGCTGTCCCTGTGTCCCCTGGGGTGCTGCAGATGGGGACAGGTGACTCTGTGACAGTGGCAGGAGCCAGGGAAGGGCTGCAGCTGGCTCAGGGAGGGTCAGGGTGGGCATCAGGACAGGCTGGGCACCCTCTGCTCTGCCAGAGGCTGCTGGCACTGCCAGGCTGCCCAGGGAATGGGCACAGCCTGCCAGAGCTCCAGGAGCGTTTGGAAACACTGCCAGGCAGAGGGGTGACACGTTTTGGGGGTGTCTGTGCAGGGCTGAGGGTTGGACTGGGTGGTTCTTGCTGGTCCCTTCCAGCCCAGCACATTCTGTGGCTGTGTGAGCACGGCTTTGTGCTATTCAATTCTAAATATTTTCTGGGGGAAAAGAATGAAACCTGGGGGAGAGAGGGGCTATCCCCAGGGATGAATCAGCTCAGGAAGGATGTGACTCAGTGCAGGGGCTGCCTCCCGACTGAGCTGCTGCCGGAGAGCAGCTGAGGGAGGAGGAGGAGGAGGAGGAGAGCAGGGCTGGTGTGTCAGGTTTCCATGCACTGCACGTGTGGGTGGTGCGAGCTCTGCCTGCTCCAGCCACCGAGCGAGCCGGGAGCATGGGGCAGGTGGCTTGGAAGGCTTTATTTCTGTCTCTTTTCGATTATAAAACGGAGAAATACGTCATTGCCAAGAACAAGAAGGTGGGGGTCCTCTACCGAGTGGTGCAGCTCTCCATCCTGGCTTACCTGGTGGGGTAAGAATCACCCTCTGCTCCATGTTTTGCTGTGATAAGGATGGGTTTTTGCTGTGATAAGGATGGGGTTTGCTGTGATAAAGATAAATTAGGGTACTCTGCATGCCTGCTATGTCTCCTGATTTCGATGCAGATCATCAGACAGGTTTATACAGCTGCATTTTGTAGTGTCTAATAGGTTATATCTGATTTTTCATCTGCTAGGGATGGCTAGATTCAGCTCTACTTTTCAGATTAGGGTCGGGTTAAAAATAGACCCAGTGACTATGGCTTTGTACTGCATTATTTATGCTTTTATTTCTATATTTTGTGGGAATGGTGCCAAACTCTACTGCTTGATTCCTCAGGAAAAATGAGCATTATCATCCCTGGTGCTGAGCCTTGGGCCACACCTGTGTTTTCTGCACAGCATCATGACCTGCTCAGGTGCAGAGGGGAGGGAAGCAAGCAGAAAATGGGAGATTTCTGTGCTGGAGTGGGCTGCAGCAGCCCGGCTGTGGGGGCTGAGGCAGCAGCAATGTCAGCTGCTTTGCATTCATTTCAGAGCAGGGCAGCTTGGCTCAGGAACAGCCTGGGAAAGGCCCAGTTCTGCAGCACACTGGTCACACTGGTGTGTGCTGGGCACGGGGATGGTCCCTGCAGGCTCAGACCTGGAATTACCCAGCCTGTGCTGTCGATTCCTGGGTTTCTGAGGCTTTTCAGATTGTGACACCTAACTGTCCCCTCGCTGTCTGTGCCTCTGGTCCCTTCACCTTTCCCACACCTCGTGTTTCCACTGATTAAATATAGCAGAGTCATTTTTACGTGCTGGGTGTATTTATAGAAAGCTGTGCAGCCCCAGAGCCTGCTCCAGGGAGCAGAGCAGCTCCCCAGCAGCCTGGCACGGGCTGGATGAAGGAGAAATCCTGAGAGAGCATTGCTGAGGGCTGCCAGAGACACAGCACGGACAGGGCAGGCTTGTTTTCCTCCCTTGGCATCCGTGGCCTCCTGCACACCCCTGGCACTGTCACTGATGGTCCCTGCAGTGACCCCTTTGTGCCTTTTGCAGGATCTTGTCCCTGTTCACAGCCTGACTTGGGGTGGGGATCCTCCAACCCTTCTGGGCTATTTCTGGGATGCAGCTGCCATTGCTTCATTGATTCACAGCAGAAAATGTGCAGAGATCTGCTTTTGAGCCCTCCTGGGAGAGGAAATCAGTGTTCTTGAGAGTAGGAAACTTCCCAGGGTGGGGGTGAAAAACCAGGTTCACTCTCCTGTAGAAATGTAAAAGTTTAATAACGGACAGCAGGAGACAAAGAAAATAAAGCAAACAATTCAACGGCCAGGTGCTTCTTGGCATTCCACCAAGAGCACCCTGGCCATTTCAGAAACAGCCTTTATTTACCATTTCTATTGCATCAGCCTGTTGCATGTTAATAAACAACTATGCATATTGAAACTTTCCCCCCAGACCAGTTAACGTGTTCCAAGAATTGTTTGGAATGGTCCTCAGGGCTGCCTTTTTAGAGCATCTGCATTTCTTGGTGGTGGTTTTAGTCCATTCTTATCATCACCCCCAGTTTGGGCTTTGGTCCATACTTTCTGCTGATGGTAAGGGTTGTCAGTTGGCATATCAACAGCAGGGGTCTTCTTCTTGTGTTCACTGAATGTTATCCCAACCAAGCAGGCAGTTTAACACAAGAATGCTTATATCAGCTATTTCACTACCCTGTCTAACAGAAATATAAACTATAAACCAGTTCCTAAACAGGAATGAAAACTATAAACTGTATCTTTATAGCAAAGTTACTTTAACATTATACATATAGCATCCGTTTTAATATTTGGGAAAAGCAATATTTTAAGATGTATTTATAGCAGTGGGGAGTGTTCCTGTGCGGGTTTGTCACACGTGGCAGGTGAGGGGCTGTGTGCCACCAGTGCTGCTCAGCCCCTGCCCCTCCCTGTGGGCAGGAGAGCCTGGGAAGGGGAGCTGTGCCACAGATTCAGCCTCTCTCCCTCTCCCAGCCCTCAGCTTCTTCAAGGGTGACTTATTGTCCTCGCAGGTGATGTTAGCAGTATTGTGGGGGAGCTGGGAGTGTTTCATTTGGCCAGAGGTTTTCACCCAGGGAAATGGAGCTCCTGCTGCTTCCAGTGGAGAGAAGGAGGCAAAGCCTTTCCCTGCATGGCTCAGGAGCTCTCCCAGGGAGCAGCCAGGCTGTTCCCATCACCCTGGCTCACAGAGGAGCTGGATCCAGCTGGGAATATCCCCTGCAGGATTCTGCCAGGCATCCCCAGCTCAGCTGCAGGGATCTCCCAGCCTGCTCTGTTGCTGGCTGCCAGCTCGGTGTCTGTGTGCTGAGGTGAGAGTTCTGCACTTGTGAACCTGCAAAAGCCTCCCTTGGTTTTCATCTTGAGAAAGACACAGCCCTACTCTTCCTTTCCCTTTCTGAGGTTGCTGAGTGTAGCACAGATGGAGGCTTTGGTTTCTTACCTCACGACCTGTTATTACACATTCCTCCACTGTTGGCAAGCACAGCTCATGTCCAGGAGTTTATCCTTTATTAGCAGTTGCAGAGGGTTTGGTGTCATTGGCATGTTTTGATTTGACCTTGGTGTGAATTTTTCTGTCTGACTGCCCCTAACGCTGCTGTGTTCACGCAGGTGGGTGTTTGTGGTCAAGAAAGGCTACCAGGACACAGACACGTCCCTCCAGAGCTCCGTCATCACCAAGCTGAAAGGGGTGGCCTTCACCAACACCTCGGAGCTGGGGGAGAGGATTTGGGATGTTGCAGACTATGTCATCCCTCCCCAGGTTGGCATCACCCCCTGTGGGGGCTGAAGTGATCTGTCCAGGTCTTCCCCTGTGAATTAGCAGGAGATGGAATACAAGAAAGTGATGTTGGAAGGGGTTTTCTGCTGTGAGTTTTTTATTTGAGATGCTGGGGGTGCTTTGCCCCTCCCCAGGACCGTGGGCTGGCTCTCATGGTTGTGTGTGCACCCACAGTGTGAGGGAATTCATCCAAACAAATATCCACACAAAGGGTGATGTTGTATCTCAGCCTGAAAAGCCGTGGGGAGAGGGGGTTGCTCTCTTCTGAAGAGAGCCTCATGCTCCTTATTACAAATACTTTAAAAGTAAACCAATTTTTCTAACTCTTTGTTTATTGCAGGGTGAAAGTGTCTTCTTTGTCATGACAAATCTGATTGTGACCCCCAACCAGAGACAAGCCACGTGTGCTGAGGTAGGAAGAACTGAGCCCCTTGACCCCCAGACCCCTGCAAAGCCGGGGGTAAGAACTGACAGAGGACACTTCTGGAGCAACAAAGAAAGGAAGGATGAAAGACAAGTATTTTTTCCTGTAGTGTAAATGCTCAGTGTGGGAAATTACTGTAAAGCTGGGAGGCTCAGCTGTCTGCATTTCCAGAGGCATTGATGATGCAGAGCCTTCCTGATTTTAGGTGGTGTTGAATTTCTGCCCAGCTGGAGATGAGACCAGGCAGTGATTGCTCAGGGTTAGAAAAGGCCCTGGGAAAACAACTTTGATGTTACTCATGGTAGTTATGGGGAGAGGAGACTTTTTAAGAGCCCCATCCTGGAAAGTGCTGAACATTCAGGCTCTGGTTACCTCCCAGACATGGTGTGGCTGCTCAGAACCTTCCAGAACATGCCCTGAAGGCCAAAGGCATGAGGTGCTTGTGTCATGTGGAATATCCTCTGTGGAGGTGTTTGGAGTGGGCTGGAGCCCGGGGAGGAGGAGTGTGGCTGTGCAGGGAGTGCTGTGCATGGAGCAGCTGGATCTTTGTCCATGGAGCAGCTGGATTTTCCATGTCACACCGGGAGCACAGCTGGCTTGGCCAGGGCACTGCTGTCCTCTGGTGGCCCTGCAGCCAGGACAGGGGCACATTTGGGCCAGAGAACTTTGTGGCTTAGATCCAAGGTAGGGTTATCTTAAAGCAAAGGGGCCTCCTGCCTGGTTTTGGTGAGTGCTAGTGCTTTTTTTTTTTCAGTCTGCCCCTCTCCAGATGGCCTCCTGCCTGGTTTTGGTGGGTGCTAGTGCTGGTTTTTTTCAGTCTGCCCCTCTCCAGACTGAAGAGAATCAAAATTGGGAGGGTGTGGCTGAATGCTGGTGCTCCTGGTGGTGGGATATGCTTGCATGACCCCCAGTTACCACTTCAGCTGGGTGGTTTTAGTGCTCACACAAATCCACCCCGCTTTCCCTGGCTCTGGTGTCCTGTCTCACTGTCACTTGTGTCCTTTCCCCCTGCAGAGTGCCAGCATTCCCGATGCCCTGTGTGACAAGGACACGGACTGCCAGGAAGGGGAAGCAGTGGTGGCTGGCAATGGTGAGGGAGATTGAGCTGTGTCTGGTGTCCCTCAGAGCCCTCAGCCTGGGCACACCCCCCAAATCTCAGATTCCAGAGAGCACCAAGGCCTTGCTTTCCTTTCCTCTCTTTTATTAAGATCCCTGCCTTGCTTACAGCTCTGTGCTGGCTGGGCCAGGGAACCCCAGGCTGCTCAGAGGCACAACAAGAGGGTGTTTGTTCCAGCTGAGAGGCCCTTTCACAGCAGGGAGGAGAGGGAAAATCCTCTATTTTCACGTGCCCTGTAGGCAAGGAGAGGAGGTGACTGCTTGGTGTGACCTTTTCTGTGCTGTCTGCTCGCAGGGGTTAAGACTGGCCGTTGTTTGAAAGACAGGGGCAGCACCAGAGGGACTTGTGAGATACTGGCCTGGTGCCCAGTGGAGAAAAGATCCAAGCCCAAGTACGTGTCTGGTTTCCAAGCCTGGGTTGCTTGGCTTGTCTGTCCCCCAGCGCAGTTCCTGTGTCCCCTCTGCTTGGGTGCTTGCTGGAATGTTGGCTGCTCAGTGCAGGAGGGGCTCTGCAAGGCCCCCCCTGGCAGGACTGGCCCTCTGCTCCCCCTGCTCCTCTCCCTGGCTGCTCCCAGCTCTCGGGGTGTCCCCTGGACCTGCACGCTCCTCACCAACCCCTTGCTGGCACTGTGGGGGAAGTGGCACAGCTGGCCTGGTGCCATCCAAGCTACTGGATAAAGCTGTTTCTAAAATGGCAATTCAAGATTTCACATGTGGGCAGGGGACAAAGAGAACAAATCTTTCTCTTCCAGGAAACCACTTCTGGGCAGCGCAGAAAACTTCACTGTTTACATCAAGAACTCCATTCGCTTCCCCAAGTTTAAGTTCTCCAAGTAAGTGCCACAGGTTCCTGAGCTGCTCCTGCTCAATAGATACTCCCCCTCCTCCAGAAAAATAAAGTGCCTGGACAAGGCTGGCAAAAAAAATACAAATTAAAAAAAAATATTAGTTTGCTTTTGCTGCTGCAATTTGAACAAACTAAAGCAGTGTAGAAATGTGCGTGTCCTGGCTCTTGTCCTGGGCTCAGATTTCTAGAATCCTGTTGTTTTCCCTTGAGACAAACAGGTGGCCCTGGGGCAGCCTGGCAGTCTGTTCTGTGTGAGTCCTTTCTTGAGCCCTGATTCAGCTGGCCAAGTCCTTTCCTGGCCAGTACGTAATTTTTGGGGGACAGACTGCTTTCCCCAGGCCAGCAGCAGAGACACCCTCATGGTGACAAGGCTGCTGTGCACAGAGGGTGCTGGAGCAGCCTCCTGTCTCTGCAGTCCTGCTGCAGGCTCTGAAGGCAAGGAAAGAAGGAGCCAAGGTGGATTTCCCTGTTCCTCTGTGCAGGATGAACGTGCTGGCAACCAACAACGAGTCCTACCTGAAGAGCTGTCGGTACAGCCAGGAGCATCCCTACTGCCCCATCTACAAATTAAAAAAAATATTAATTTGCCTTTGCTGCTGCAATTTGAACAAACTAAAGCAGTGTAGAAATGTGCATGTCGTGTCCTGGCTCTTGTCCTGGGCTCAGATTTCTAGAATCCTGTTGTTTTCCCTTGAGACAAACAGGTGGCCCTGGGGCAGCCTGGCAGTCTGTTCTGTGTGAGTCCTTTCTTGAGCCCTGATTCAGCTGGCCAAGTCCTTTCCTGGCCAGTACGTAATTTTTGGGGGACAGACTGCTTTCCCCAGGCCAGCAGCAGAGACACCCTCATGGTGACAAGGCTGCTGTGCACAGAGGGTGCTGGAGCAGCCTCCTGTCTCTGCAGTCCTGCTGCAGGCTCTGAAGGCAAGGAAAGAAGGAGCCAAGGTGGATTTCCCTGTTTCCTCTGTGCAGGATGAACGTGCTGGCAACCAACAACGAGTCCTACCTGAAGAGCTGTCGGTACAGCCAGGAGCATCCCTACTGCCCCATCTTCGTGCTGGGCAACATCGTCCGCTGGGCTGGGGGCAACTTCCAGGAGATGGCCTCGGAGGTAGGAGTGCCCCGGGGCTCCTGGCTGCTCCCAGCTGTTTCACTGGGAGGCTGTGAGGAGTCGCTGCCCAGGGAGCTGCCTCCTGCACTGCACTGCAGAGGTGACAGTGCTTAAAGTCAAGCTGGTTCCATTTATCCTGTCCCCAGGGAATGGGGGTTCTCTAAAACAGCTGGCTGGGTCAGTTACTTCTATTCAGGGCTGCCCAAACTGCTGCTCTGCCAGCAGGGATTCTTTGTTTAATTTCAACATTAATACAGTGTTGGTTTACACCCAGAACTCTGGAAATCCACCCCTGCATAAAAGATCATTTTCCCCACTGAAGTGTGGAATGGAATGAAATCAATGTCCTGGGATGAGACAGCTTAGGATACCAGCACAGGGAGAAGTGGGGTTGTACAGTAATAATGGGATTAATGTCACACATCTGAATCCCAAACAGGAATGTGTGCCCCCTTGTTTGACCAGAAGTGCAGCTGCTTCTTGCCCCTGGGGAAAACCTGCCCAAGGGTCTGACAAACTTGAAGACACTTCAACTGAACTAAGCTTAAACAACTCACCCTGTCTCTCTCTTTTAAGGGTGGTGTGATAGGAATTCAGATTGAATGGAACTGTGATCTTGATAAAGCCCCTTCTGAATGTAATCCTCACTATTCTTTTAGCCGGCTGGATAACAAGTCTGCAGAAACCTCCATCTCTTCTGGGTACAACTTCAGGTGGGTACAGAGGAGGGCACGATGCAGTACAAGCTGGGCTGGGCTGCTTGGGCTTGCAGGTGCTGGAGGTTGGCAGTGGAGTGGCACCAGCCTGTGCCAGGCACTGCTGCAGCCGAGCACAGAGCGCTGCAGAGGAGGGAGGGAAGTAGGCAGTGCTCCTGGCAGGCTGAAGCTGGCTTTGAAAAGGGAACAGATCCCTGTGAAGGGATGAGAGACTTCAGAGGGGCAGGTGGAATTAAAGCCAGCATTGCTGTGTTCCAGGTTTGCCAAGTACTACCGGGATGCTCAGGGGGTCGACTACAGGACGCTCATTAAAGCCTACGGAATCCGCTTCGACGTGATGGTGAATGGCAAGGTGAGGGCAGCCAGGATGTCCCAGAGCCTGCAGGGAAAGGAACTGGGGGGAGGCAGCTCTGAGGTGAGGAGAGCCTCTCTGGTTTGTTGTAGGGAAGGGCTTTTCCCATCCATCCATGTGGAGTTAATCCCCGTGTAAGAGAGATCACCTGCAGTGCAGCTGAGCCTGCACCTCCTCTACTTAAAACCAGGCTCATGTGAAGCCCAACAGAAATAAGTGTGCCCCAGAGACTTTTTCCATGTGCAAGCACTGCAGAGAGAAAAGGGGCCTAATCCAGGGATGATGCAAGCTCAGAAATGCAGCCAGGGACAGTCAGATCTAAGACACAGAGACCTTCAGCCTCCAAGATTGCTCACTGCAAGTCCCCCGTGGTTGTGCCTGGGAACAAAACGCACCCGGGGCAGCAGCAGCTTCCCCAGGGCAGTACCACACCCTTGAGTTTGTTTTGTGGGTTGTTCTCTCAGTGGTGACTTCATGACCTTTGTTCTTCCAGGCAGGGAAATTTAACATCATTCCCACCATTATCAACATCAGCTCGGGGCTGGCACTTATGGGAGCTGTAAGTGAATGTTTTGTGTTAAAGTAACCCCAGGGGACCCAGACCCCAAATGGGATGAGAATGGGATGGGGGGCTTAAATCTTCTCCAGCAGAATCTTTACTACTCTGACTACTCAGCCAGGTGTGTCTGTGTCCTTTCTTAAAACCATTTGTTAATAAACCTGGAAGTCTAAACACCCCCACAGGCTGTAAATTATATATATATATACCCTGGAAAATGCATTCTCAATGAAGGCAAACACAGTTTCTACAAGTTATCCTTTCATTAATGTTCATTTCTAATGAGATCAGAACACTTCCTCTTCCATTTCAAAGATAAACCACAAGTTCTTTCCTTTTGCAGGGAGCTTTCTTTTGTGACCTGGTGCTGCTATATTTGATCAAGAAGAGCAACTTTTATCGAGGCAAAAAGTATGAGGAAGTCAAGTAAGTGGGCCTGGCTTTGTGTTAAAAATCGTGGCTTTTTGTTAAGAGAGATAGAAATAGGAGATACAGGAGCACAGTTCCAGGGAAATATATTCTTCCAAGTTATTTTGGCCAAGTTATTGGCTTCTTCTGTAATTCCTTGCTGCAGTGAGGCAGCAAAGGCAGCTGCTGTGTCATGGTTGGACTGGCAATGGCCTTGTGCTAAAAACTGAGGGTGGAATTGGGGCAGCTCCAAGAGCCTCGTGGGACTGAGATGTGGAGGGGCCTTTGGGGTAAGGTGAGACCTGGCTGGGAACATTTTTGCCTCCTGAAACAAACGCAGGCTGCTCATGCTGTCCCTGTGGCATTTCCCCAGGTCCAACTCCAGGAAATCCTTGTCGAGCCCTACGCTGAACGGGAACCAGAGCCCGGAGCAGCTCGATGGGCTCTAGGCACAGCTGGACTCCTGCTCCAGGAAATCCACACAGGTGTGGCATCACACCAGCACTGGGAGGTGGACATACCCCAGATCAGGCCTACTAAGATCAGGATTTCCAGAGGAAGAAACCTTCTCTAAAGACTGCATTTCTTCCCTGAGATTTCTCTGGGATCCTGAGCTTGCAACGTGTGTCGTCACTATGGATTTATAAAAGGATTTTTATGAAAGGACAAAGAAGGCACCCAATGAATGTTTTTATATCCACTGATAGATATATCTGTACTTATGCCAATAGCCAGCGCTGTCCTGTGGCTGTGCTTTGCTTCCACGAGGAGAAAAGCTGTGATGGGAGCACTTTGGGAAGGGCTGAAGCTGAAACCCAACCTGTCTCCTGCTCTGCTGCTGTGGCAGCCACCGCCTCCAGCTCCTGCCTGGGTGATGTGACATCAGCTGTGAAGCGCCAGGACTGCTCTGCTCAGGAAATGCAGGAAATGTGGCACTGGAGCAGCTCTTGGAGCAGGACTGCTCTGCTCAGGAAATGTGGCACTGGAGCAGCTCTTGGGGCTGGGGAAGGGGCTGTGATCCTGCAGGGGTGAGGCAGGGGGGACAGTCACTCTTGTGGGGGTTAATGCACTGAGGAGCAGCGTGGCCCTGGGAGCACCTGCACAGCTTCTGCCTCCTTCCTTCAGTGCCTGCTTTTGTTTGCTCAGGACTGTCCTCGCTCCATCACTGCCTGATTTCTCGTGTGGGCAGGCCTGGATGAGCCTCTGTTTCTCACAGCACACCCTGGCTGTGCTGCAGACTGAGAGGGCAGCTCTGCCAGGGCCACGGGCTGGGCCAGCCTCCTCCAAACACAGCAGGGAAAATTAGAACATATCTGCCTGCTCCTTCAACACCAGTGACCTCTGGAAATACAAGTGCTTGTCTCTCAGCAGAATCAGTCTCCCTGCAGCCCATTTGGTCCATTTATCTCATGTGAGGATGTAACTAACCTCAGAAAAGGGCTTAAGGAGTATCTTTGTGTTCTGTACATGCTGCCCCATCACCCTGACTGGGATGAGGATTACCCATTCCAGCAAACACCCTGTCCTGATGAAGATTAAATGTTTCTGTGCATGCTTTGAATACCAAAAGTTAAAGGGCTCCTGCTGCAGCATCAGGGAGCTGCTGCCATTGAGTGGCTGCACTAATGGCACCAGCAGCTGCACCCACCTCTGCTGTAACTTCTTTAAGGTTGTTACTGAGCTACAGCTTCATCCTAAATTAAAATTCACCTGATAGCAGTGGTAAACTCTGAACCCCGTCAGACAGCAAACCCAGTCTAGCTCCCCCCCTCTGCTTCTGTGTAGTGAGCCAAAAATGGGGCTAGAAAACAGAATTAAACTGGAGTTCATTTAGGATAAGCTGTGTACCTTTGGTGCTCTCATCTCATCCAAAACCTTCTGTCCATGTCAGAAGTCTCCCCTCAAGGCAAATACACTGCACAGGAGTTCCCACCAGGCTTTTGACTGTCAGGGTTTAATTGGAGTTGAGTAATTTCTAGATGGTGAAACACACAGCGAACCCCCTGTGTGACATCAGGGCCTGGCACAACTCCTGGCAAGCAAGCAAAGCTGACTGTGCTCTGCTGAAACCATTGTTTTAACTTGCCAAAACATCCTCCTGTGAGAGGACCAAAGTTATTTCCTGAATCTAAAGTCTCCAGGCTCCCAGATCCCCTGGAAGGTTTCCTTTCTTTAGACTGTGTAACACAACTCCTACAACCCCTGCTGTTAATAAAACATAACCAGATTCCTTCTCAGGAGCTCATTTCTTGACTTTGACTTTTTTTTTCTCCTTGTGTTTCATGTTCAGCAATAAAATGTGTCACTTTAGGCCAGTGCTCCCTGGGAGTGTTCTGTAAGTGTTTTTCAGGTCACACCACCTTCTCTTGGTGATAGTGATGTGAGCACACCAATGAATCACTTATTTTTGCAGGAACAGGGCTATAGGGAAGGCTTTACCTGGATGGTGGGTGATGGATTTATCCCCTTTTGTGGCTTTTCTGGAGACCAGTGACAAGCACCTGTGACAGTGATGGCAGTCAGGGAAAACATTTGCATGAATGCTTCTGTTCCAAACCTTTACATACACTTAATTATTTTCTTTTGCCAGGAGAATTATTATTTAAAAAAAAAAATTAAATATTTCAAATTTAAAATTTTTAAATAATTTCATTATTTCAGGGTGCTGTGTTAGTGCTCCAATATTTGTGTGTAGGGACACAGCACACCCAGAGGGGATTGTAACTGGTGTGTGTATCCAAAAAACAAAGGATGCAAGGGATTATATGAATCAAACCCCACAGCTGTGCCTGCTCTTAGGGACAAAAATTACCCCTTAACAAGGAAACAAATACAGGAGGCATCCAAACGGTGCTTCACATTCAGTTTAATTAGAACAGTGCTACTGATTAATTCGTACTCGGACATAATTTACCAACAGCATTAACGACACGAGCCACGGACGACAGCTTGGGAAGTGAGCCGGCCTATTGCGCAGTGACTTCTGGCAGCAGTCCCGCAGCTCGGGGAGCGGCTCAGTACACGTGAACCATTCCGTAGAGGAAAGTCCAGAACAGCACGTAGGTGAAGAGCCCTCCCACGAGCCCGCCGGTGAACAGCGGCCTCCGCGACTTGAAGTACTTGTTCCACCGCCGCCCGGCCTTCAGCACCAGCAGCACGGAGAGCAGCACGGAGGCCAGCAGGTAGAAGATGAAGCCGTGCAGGCCGGTGAGGCCGAGGATGCCGGCGGTGGCGCCCGACAGGGCGGACACCGAGGTGCGGCAATAGTCCAGGATGGCCGCGTTGCCCCGCACCGCCGCCTCGCTGATGAACTGCGGCCCCTCGCGCTTGGCCACCACGGCGGCCATGGCTCCGCGCCGGGCTCGGGCACCTCCTCGCTCGCACCGACACTGAGGTGAAGCAAACGCGCTGTACGAGCCCGCCCGCCCTCAGGCCGCCGGGAGAGCCCCGCGGGCCCTCCCGCCCGCCCTCCCCTTCCTCCATACCTCTCATCCACGGCGGCGCGCAGCCCCGTGGGCGGGGCCGGGCGAGGCGCTTTTGTTCGGGCGGCGGCGGCGGCGAAGGGGCGGACATGGCGTTCGTGCCGGGACAGCCGCTCACCGCCGTGGTGGTGAGCGGGCACGGGAGGGGCGGGCACGGCGCTCCCACCGGGGCAGCCCGTCACCGCCGTGGTGGTGAGCGGGCACGGCGTTCATACCGGGGCAGCCCGTCCCCGCTATTTCGGGGTACCGTGCCCGGGGCTGCTGGCGGGGATGGAGAGGGGGATGCCGGTGGTGCCCGGCGCTGTCAGCGGCGGAGGTGCCGCCCCGGGGCAGCTCCGGTTCGCGGGTGCGTGGAAGGGTGTGTTCGGGGACGGCGGCGCCGCCCGGTAGCGGGCTGCGGGCTGTCGCCGGGCGGAGGTCCCCGCGCGGCCCCGGTGCCCCGGCGAAGGGCGCGGCCGCAGCGCCGCCGGCCCCGGTTGCCGCTCCCCGCTGTCAGATTCCCGTCCGCGATACCGGGTGCGAGAACAGAGGGGGAGCTCGGCCGGGCGGAGGGCGCGACCCCCGGGCGGGGCTGCTGGAGAGAGCCGGAGCGGAGGCGCCGGGACGCGCGAGCCCCGGTACCGGCACCGCGCGGCAGTCCCGGCGCGGATCCCCCTCCGAGGGCAGCGGCAGCACAAGCACCTGCTCGGCTGGGTGGGGTTTGGGAAGCAGAGCTTTTAAGTGAGATAATGGCTGTAATCAGCAAGCAGTGCGAGTGGGGAGCTGTGCTTTCCCCTGGCTGGGACTGGGCTGTGCTTGGGCGTTTGGAATCCGGAGAGTTTGGAATCCGGGGAGTTTGGAATCCGGGGAGTTTGGAATCCAGCGGGGAAGTTCAGGGTCTGTGTGACAGGGCTGCGGGAGGAGAATCGCTGATTGTTTGGGTTAGAAGGCGCCCGTGAAGGTCATCTCATCCACCCCCTGCAATGAGCAGGAACATCTTCCCTTAGACAGGGTGGAAGCACCTTTTGAGAGGTTGTTGTGTCAGTTAACACCGTGGCTTTTCACCCTGGCTCAGGAATTGCACCAGCTGGCATTTCTACAATGCTGACATAATGCACAAAGCTGCTCAGATGCCTTTGTGCATCGGGCAGTGAGGAACCTGCCCTGGGATACAAAAGTTATCCTGAAAAAGAACCATCCTAATAATAGGTTGTTATTTCTGCTGATAGCACTAGCAGGAACATAAGGCATGTGGATAACGAGCAAGATGAGGTTGGTCATGAGTGGCTGCTGCTTATCAAGGCATGAGTCATGTTTACAGAGAGCTGCTCTGGTTTTAGTGCTGCTCCTTTCTATTTCTGGGCAGACAGGAGAGCTCTGAGTAATTGAGGGGCTGGGCTGTGTCGTGGGATCTCTGTGAAAGACAATCTAACTGGATCTGAAGTGTCAGTGTCTGAAATGCACTTGTCACAATGTTCAGTGATTTGATCTCTTTCTCTTTCCAGCAAAGAATTGAAATACATAAGCTTCGTCAAGGTGACAATTTGATTCTGGGATTCAGCATTGGGGGTGGCATTGATCAGGACCCTTCTCAGAATCCTTTCTCTGAAGACAAGACTGACAAGGTCAGACAATCTTTTTCTGTAGCAATTCCCTTTCCCAAAGGCTGAGACACCCAAATCATCATCAGCCCTCTGCCCCAGCTACTCTCTTGCCCCATTATCACTTGCAGCCCAAGTTATTCAAGTGACTTCTCCACCTTTTCTATTGTCCAGCATTGCACAAGCCTGTCTTTAACTAAAATCTCATAATACACTATGGAGTTTTTTTGTGTTATCAGTCAAATGGCCTTGGATCCCCCACATTTAATAAATGAACACTCCATTTTTTTTTCCCCAGGGTATCTATGTAACAAGGGTGACAGCAGGAGGCCCAGCAGAAGTTGCAGGACTCCAGATTGGAGATAAGATCATGCAGGTAAGCACCAAAATAAGACAGTACTGATGTAGTACAGAGCAAGGAGCATCTGCTGGGGAAAATAATCTTCTGGGTACTTCCCAGGAGAGTTTGTGGGGTTTATAAATAAACTGAGCTGTGGCATAACCATACCCACTACGTGGTTCTGATGCACCTGCCTTATTTTTTTGCTTTTTTTTCCCAGGTGAATGGCTGGGATATGACCATGGTGACCCATGACCAGGCCAGGAAGAGGCTGACCAAAAGGAATGAGGAGGTGGTGCGGCTGCTGGTGACCAGGCAGTCCCTGCAGAAGGCTGTGCAGCAATCCATGATGTCCTAATCCATCATCCAGCTGGGGAAGGGGTGGGGAGGGAGATGTATAGATTGGTATCAAAGAAAGAATCAACTATTAGACTGGAACAGGTTGGCTGGAAGGAGTGCATATTCCTACCCTGGTAAACACTAATTTTTAAATTTTATTTTCTTCTGGTGTAACTGGCAGTAGTGAAACAATACTCCCCTCAGCAGAGTGCTTCTCTAGAGTCTGCCCTGCAGGTACATGGCAAGACTTCTGTGGACATGGCTTTCAGGACAGGACAGACCCAATTTATCTAAGAGCAACTGGAAAAGCCTTAACTTGGATGGTATTCTTCTGTAGCACAAAAGCCTCCTATTTCAGGAGGAAATGTGGTTTCTGCTATGGGAGACCAGAGGGTTTGCTGTGCCTAAGCTTTTAGAAAGGAGCTGTCCTGTCCCCCTACTACCAAATTCAAATGCCAGAGTTAAGAGCTGCACACTGCTGTGGGGAGGAGCACTAATCCTTCACTCTGTGCAAGATAGAGTGGCTGAAGGGTTTGGGCATTACAGTTTCCTGCAAAGATTCCCTGGACAAAGCAGCCTCTTCAGGCAAGGAACAACTGAGGAACACACAAGTGTTAGATCAATGCCTGTGAAATACACTACAACTTCATGGACACTACAGTTCAAACCTGAATTCTCCTTGTTCCCAATTTGTACCATCAGTTGAATTGAGTTTAATTGAAAGGAATATGGAGCAGGAAACAAAACAATGTTCCTGAACTTACCAGAACTGCTGCTTGTAGCTGTAGAGTTTTCAGTCCTTCATTCCATTTCTATCAGACTTGAAATGGGAGGGATTTTGGTTTGTCTTTTAGAAGACTGTGCTTAAATCAGTGACTTATTGGATGGAAGAGATTAATATGCCAGTAATTTTGCAGAAGTGCCTCTTGACCAAATTTAAACTTCTAGCAGGATACTAAGTGGTTTAAATCAACTTGCCACAGGACTGAAGATTCTTGCTGCAACCCTAAGTCCATGATCTAGCATCCTGTGGTTTGTTAGCCAGTTAGCTTTACAATTATCCAAAACCTGGAGTTTTTAATCCTCCTCAGTTGATCTATACATATCTGTAGTTTCCTTAAGCAGCCTCGGGGTAAGCTGTTGTAAATAGAGCACGAGGAGGTGGCAGACTAATTTATTCAGTACCTTACTGCTGTGCCATGTACCTTGTGATTGATGCATCTCAGACTGTTCTGTGCACACCAGCAGATGCCTCCTTACCAATTTTATATCTCTGGAATTACTACAGTCCTGCTTTAGAATTTTGTTACTTAAGAATTGAGTAGTAAATTATAATTCTTTCAAGTTGGAGTTATTTTTGTTACTATAAAGATACACTGCTATTTGTACTGCTTTTTTCACTTGATTTTACAATAAAAGAAAGTTGGTTTTCCTGAGCTGTTTCTCCTTACATTTAATAGTGCTACATCACCTCTAGCTGTGCCCATTTTTGGCTCAAGGGTAGATTTTGGAATGACTGAGGTCAGTGAGGTCTGGTGTCACTGGTGGGGAACTGTCAAACCTCACCTGGGATCTAGTTTTCTTCATGTTGACACCTAGAAAGACACATTAGGTTCTAAGCATTGAAGCATAAATGCACAGATTCCCTTCTAATTACTTGTCTTAGCACCTCTGAAAGAGCTTTGAGTGAAATAAGAATACAGCTTCTGTTTTTTAGGAATTTTTTTAATAAAGAGTTTAAATTGTAATATTTGTGCATTTGTTACCAACTCCATTATTGTGATGTACCACTGTGGCCAGCCTGAGTGGTAGTGGACTGTGAGCTGTCTGGGAAAGGTCAGCAGCAGCACTTGGATCCACAGACAGTCTTCAGTTATTACTTAAAGGTATTGAGTGGTTGCTTAAACGTGATCTCAGATTTTTGGAAGACAGAACTCTGCTCTTTGTGCTTCACCTCCAATCAGAAAGACATCACCTTGGTCTTTCTCTTCCCTGTGGTTGGTGAAAAAAGAGCCATGTGTTGCTTGGACAGCTCCCTCTGAGCTGTGTGTGCAGCTCCAACAGGCACGAGTCCCCCACGTGCAGCTGGGAGCTCGCTGTCCTTAAGGCATCTGGCAGCCAGTGCTTGGCAAGGCAACAGTTTGTGTTCCAGCCCAGAGAGGATCAAGTCACAGACAGAGATCAGAATCAGTACTGCTGGTAACTGGCAGCAAGAATCTTGAAAGCCCTCAGACAGGGTAGGGCCAAGTTCAGTTTAAAGTTTGGGTCTCCACAAGTGAGGCTGGTTATTCACAAGATTCATACCCCTGTCTCCTGTACAGGCAGTAGTGCTGGGCCATGAAAACAATATCAAAGATGATGGAGAAGACACCCAGGCCAAACTTGGTTGGATCTCCAAAGATTAACCTCCACTCATCTGTCAAACACAAAATTAGAGTTAAGTCTGACCCCTTAAGTGTAGTTTTGTCTTAAAACCCTTTAGAGAAGTTAATGTCTATTACCTGGACTGCTCAGACACACCTAAGACTGAGTGCTGTGCACATCTTATGCAAAGCTAATTAATAACTGTTCCTGTGGTTTCTTCAGGATGGCTACTTCATTTTATATCTTGAGGGAATATGAACAGATCCTTCTTCCTTCCTATAAGAACAGCTCCCCACAATGCAGCACAAACATCATTATTCTGAGATAATCTACTGTTATATCTGCTTGGTAGTGGGACTTCCCACCTCATAAAGACAGGCTCCAGCACCTCAGTTCCAGGCTTACCATTGTTGTAGGACTGCAGAAACATCTGGAGAAGGCTGAAGCTTCCCCCAGTGAAGTCCAGTAACACATTTCCAATACTCCATCCCTCGGTGCTCTTCCGACGGAAGTTCATGTAGGCCTGGCAGTGTGACAAGAAGTCAGTCAGAGTGTCATGCACAGGCAGCTTCAGCACAATTTCAAACAGATTTCAGTACAATTCTACTGGTTTGTCACTATTAATAAATAATCATTGGTGGTTTAGTCTCTTCAGGCTCTCAAGAGCACACACTGCAGGCTTAGGGTGGCAGGGATATGGAGTGCAAGCAGAATAATTCAGATTTACCTGTGGGAAGTATTTGATCAGTGTGACTGCTAACTTAATGTAGGAGAAGCAGAACAAGAACTGCAGCCATGTCATCACCTCAGCTGCAGCCAGGAACAGCGTTGTGAAGGTGAAGATCCATGCAAGTGCCAGGAGTCCAACAACAACTTTGGATACTTTCTGACCTGCTCTCTGAAATACAAATACATTTTCTATTTCTCAGATACATTTTGGCCAGGTCACACATCCCCAGACACACAGATACAGTTTGCTCAGGACCCTGCAATGCTACAGTCCAAACCTGTTTTACCAGTCAGGCTGGTTTCACAGGAGAACTGTAAAATTAAGCAAGTGCCACAGCAACCAGATGGAGCTTTGCAAGAGCTGATGAGCAGTATTCATATAAATAATTTAAAACACTGCTGACCCTGAGCAAGGGGGAACAATATTCTTGAGTATTTATGGTGCATACACTATAACAAATCTCCAAATTCAACCTGATGAGATCAAGAGTTCCTGTATGTGCAAAAGGCTGATGATATCATTATGGTAAAAGATTTATGGTTGCTTTCTAATTCTTCACTAGAAAATTCTGTAGTACCTGGCAATGATGGCAGATGGGCTGTTACAGTTTTAGGTTTAGCATGACCAGAGGAAGAACTCCGAGAGAGAAACAGTTACTGTCTAGAGAAAATTGGCCTGTTCAGATGAGAGGCTTTTACAATGAAAATCAAACAAAGAACCCACCTGACTGGAACAATCAGTGGGATTAAGTAAGAATCACTTGACTGTAACAATCAGTCTCACTTGAAAAGGTGTGAATTATGAAAGGGCGTTTGTAACTGTTTTAGGAAAGCAGCTGAAAAAACTGTGTTTGAATTGCAGGGAGTATCTAAAGTCCTATCATAGCTTGAAGAATGCTCCAAAGAAACAGCAAAGCATTTGTGCTGTGGAGAGCTGTAATCTATGTGCTAGAGATCTGTTTGGGAACTTTATGAACTTGGCTGTTTGCCTCAGTTATTTTGAGTTCCAAAGGAGTTTACTTATAAGCTCGGAACATCCCTGAGGCTGAAGTAGATAAGGTTAGCTCAGGAAAGCTGAAGGCAGCTGGACTGTGAAGCCTGGCTGCTGGAAAGGCCGGTGGGAGTGCAGGGAATTTGGGATTTTGGAGCCCAAATGGAGCAGGGATGTGCCCGGCAGAGGGAGCTCTGGCAGAGCCCACAGCTGAGCCCAGCACCCAGACTCACCTCGTAGATGCAGCACTGAATGATGGTGAGGAGGGTCAGGGCTACTGCGTGGAGACTGAAGAAAACATCATTGATGGCCACAGGGTTCACCCCGCTGGGATAACTGACCAGGAATTCCTCCTAAAGGTAAGAGAAAGCAAAAGCAGCCACGTGTCTTAACTCCCTTCTGCACATACCCACCCCCCAGCATGTGCTAGGAGAGAATCATGCTCACCTTAATCAAGGGAATCCAGAAGAGCCCAACATTAAACACACTGTATGCTATAAAGCCAGTAAGGTTTAATGCTATGAAGTCAAAGCTTAGTCCAACAACACTGGAGAAGAGAAAAAAAAAAAAAAGAGAGAGAAACATGCATTAGAGAGTTACAGGTCAATTTGTTGCTGGAATGTATTGATTTATAGCAGTTTCTGGTGTAAGGAAAAGCTTCAGACATTGTGACCACACAACGCTGTGAGTTGATCAGGAAGCTGGGTGAAATAACAGAGCTCTCATGGATCAATTTGTGTCTCTGCTCTTTAACTGCACCCCTCCATGAGCACAGCCTGTCTGACAAAGCCCTTCCAGCCTGAATTCATAAAGCACAAGTGCATCATTGCCAGATCAAATAGTTTAATTCTCATATATGATAATGTTCCTACTTCGAGTCACTTAGCTAATGATGACACTACAAGGAGGTGTCAGAGAAACAGCTCTCAAGGCTGGTAATCTTTGACAGTGATCATCACAGCTGCCTCAGCCAGATGATTTACAACATGACACCAAAAGGAATGGGAAAGTCTCCTCTGTCACAAATTCATACTGGATGCCAAATCTTAGGATCAGGTGTTTGTAGGATGCACTTGGTTTCCCTCTAACCTGCATATATAAAATCCCACTGGGGCTGCAATTATTCAGACCCTACCTTTGCCTTTCCCCCCACCTTTCCACAGATAATTCCCAATAACCGAGACAGATGTAACTGAAGCTATGAACACAATTTGCAGAAGTGCTTTAGTGACTTGCAAACCCATCTCTTTACCTTTTCCTTCGCCAGTTCTCAAAGAGTTGAGGATAAAAGGAGATGGACCAGGCAACAAAATAGATCCAGCCAATCACCTCATCAGCATATCTCACTATGATGCTGTGAATCACTTGAAATTGAATCCTAGGCCTGATGGTTAATGCAAGAAGATTCAGTTAATTCATGCTTTTTTCAGGAGATTTTGTCTTGTTCTGCTCTGAGAGAGGAAATAGAGTCCAGGTGTTGAGACAAGACAATAAAGATTCGGTTGGGTTCAGCTGAGTTGCTCCCCTTTTCATTTGTCACCTTGTTATGTTCGGGACACCTCCCACTCCCTGAGCCTTTCCTTTCCATCCTTCTACCATGGGAATGCTCCCAAAGGTCACTTTGTGCCTTCTACTCTCTCAGCACAGGGTCTGTTAGGCAAGAGCACAGCTCCTCACCCTCGTGACCGTGCTGCCCTGCGAGCGTTCCGCGTGCTCGCCTCGAGTTTCAAAAGCAGAAGCAAAACAAGGAAGTAAAACAGGAGCACCCTGTGGCTCACTAATATCTGAGCCACAAGAAAATACAATCCAGCTTTCTCCATCTGGACAGGCTTTTCCCAGGAGGGAGAACTGGCATCTGTGAGGAGAGGGCTCCCCTCACTGACACACCCCAGGAACTCCAGAACAAATCCTGCACAGTAAGAACAGCACCCCACAGGACACTGACAGCCAAATGCTTCCCAGAGCAGAAAAGCTGACATGTGATCTTCACACTTTTGGGAGGCACTATAAAACCAGACTAAGGAGCCATGAGAACTCAGTCATCTTGTAATTAAATCTAAGACACCACTCTGCTTCTGTGCCCTCTATTTATCTGAGTACTTGGGGATTTGCTGCAGGGTTACCAATCTTCTTAACTGCATCCCACCCATGTCCCATTTAACTCCTAGGAATAGTTTCCCCAACTTTTTAGTAAGCAGAACAAAAAAAAAAAAGTTTCTCACCCAGTTAAATTGGAATTATTGGGATAAAGGTAAACTGTTACTTGTCCCACATCATCTGCTTTCACTTGGAAGTCTGCTTTAGTGTGACCTGCAGGGAAATGTACCTGCAAGGCAGAGCAGAGGGAAGAAAGAGGAGTTGCACCATAATAGCAGGAGCTTTTTGCATAAGGTTACAAGTCTGTGCTCTCACTTACCTCAGCAGGAAGTTCAACAATGGTGCTGTGCTTTGAGGAGTGTGTAATATTAAGAGTTATCACCAGTGTCTCGTTTAGTGGAGCCCTGAGAAGGCAGAAAAAACAAGTTAGGCTGGTACCTGAGCTCAGGGGCTGCTTGGGGGCTGCAGGGGAGCATCTGCTCAATCCTCTCAGCAATGAGCAGCCCACACACAACAGAACCTGCCTCACACCCAGAGGAACCAGCACCAAAGTGTGGGAGTATTGCACTGGTTCTTTCATCTGATCCAGTTATAGCCACATTGTACCTCCCTCTTCTCCATACAAGTGGCAAAGTCACCAAAATATTCTGTCCTGTCCTATCCTATCCTGGTATCCATCACCCTTTGCTGAAACAAGGCACGTGTACTTGGGGTGATGAAGGACAGAAATTACAGCAGAAAGACAAAACAAAACAAATAAAACCTTTCCAAGTGATACAGTCCTGCACAGCTCTCCTAAAGAGCTCCACTGAGCATTTGTCCAGGACGTGATCCTTCTAGGAAATGCAAGTTTCTCTTAAGAATCAGCTTTTAGAAAGGGAGGAAGTGTAAATTCACTTATGGAGGACAGCCCATGTTCCAAAGGGAAAGTAAAGCTGAAATCATGATTTTACCTCAGAGAGATAGTGACATTTGTTGAACTTCCACTTTCTAGAGAAACCACTTCAGGGACTGACAACACAATGGCTCCATCTGTGGGGAGGGGAAAAACACCCACACAAATCTCAATTACTATGAACAGCTCCTTCAGAACAACCTAATTTTTGTGCCATAGATATTTTACCCATTGGTCCCTGCAGTATCAGAACAACCAGATAAGTACACATGATAAAAAGCAAAGGGGGAGTACAGCTTATTTCAAGGCAATCAACTTAAAAAGAGAAGCAAATAACTGTCACTTGAACATGTTTCAAGGAAGTAATTTAAATGCTTGAAGTTTAACAAAAGTTCATCCCAAGGGAAAGTTATAGGGTACTGCAAACCCACCCTGGTTCTTGATGTGATTCTGGTGATCTAGGCGTCATAAAAGCGCCAAATTCAATATAAAATTGTTTCTTGGGCCACAAATTCAACCCAAGTACCCAGACATCCAAGAGAATGTACATTTACAGAAACAGAGAGAGACACAGGTTGCACAGGTTGGCCTGGACACTTTTTTTTTTTCCTATTACCACATATTAAACAGTGTCTGTAAGAAGTTACGAGCAGAGGAGCTGCCCAGTTCATCACTGACTGCAGCCCAGGCACTGTTCAAACTGCAGAAGTGATTTTGGAGCACGAGGTGCACAACCTCAGCACAGTGTAGGAGCACAAGAAGCCGAGGTAAGGCGTGAGGGAAGAGCTGGTCTGAAGCGTGGCACGGGTATCCCTGGAGAGATGTAATGGGATAACTAAAGAGCTGCCCTTTTCCATCTCTGACTGCTCTGGAGCGCTGTGGGCCCGAGCTGGGCTGACCGAACACTCACCGCCAGGCCCCAGCAGCGCCAGCGAGAGGCTCAGCAGAGCGGGGAGCAGGTACCGCGTCCTCATGGTGGAAAAGCTGCAGAAAAAGCAGGGAGAAGCTTCCCTCAGCACCCACACGGCCACACAGCCCATCCCCTCCGCTGGTAGCCGCGGCAAGCAGCTCCCTGCGCAGCTCCACGGCCCCCAGCCCGGCCGAGGCAGCCTCAGCTCCCCTCCGAGGGCACCGATCTCCCCGGCCCGGGCACATCTTTACCTCAGCGCTGCTCCCGTGACGGGCCCGCCCCACCCCGACGCGCGGGACTACAAATCTCGGCAGCCCCCGCGCCCCCGCCAGGCCCTCGCCGCTGGCGGCGCGCCGCGGTGCACGCTGGGATTTGTAGTCCTGCCTCCCTTTCCTCCGGCGCTCTGGCGGAGCGGGGTACCCGGTGCTTTGGAACGCGCCGCTGCCGAGGCGGCGGTACCGGGGAGCGGGCGGCAACCCACCCGCTTCAGTGCCCCGAGCCGTCCCGGTTCTTCCCTTTTCAGCTCTCACGTGAGGCGGTCGGCTGTGGACTCCCCGCCCAGCGCCCACCGCGTCGCTGCGGCCGCCCCCGGGGGCCATCTTGGGTGTGGCGGAGCGGGTCCCTGAGGGGGGCAGCGCTGTGAGCGGGGGGACAGGGCGGGCGCGGCGCCGTGGTGGTTTGGTTTTGGTAAAAAGCGTGGTTTAAAGCAGCGCAGGTCAGCTGGGGAAGGGGTGGTTTATCACTGGCACAGTGAACAGGGGTAGTGGCTGGGGAGCGTTGAGGGCAGGGAAGCACCTTCAGCCTGAGGGCGAAGTCCAGGTCCCGGCACCGGGAGCCGTGTGGGGCTCGGGCGGCACCGGAGCCGTGTGGGGCTCAGCTTGGTGGGTGTTATTCCGCCTGTCTGTGCCGGGCAAGGTGACAGCCATCCCCTCATGGCCGCGGCGGGCGGGCCTGCGCCCACCTGTGTGCTGGGCATTGACCTGGGCACGACGTCGGTGAAGGCAGCGCTGGTGACAGGGACAGAGCGAGGGCTGGCGCTGGCACAGAGCTGCTCCAGGGAGACGCAGGCATACAGCCATAGCCCGGGAGCCGCACCGCAGGTAAGGGCTGCCAGGGAGTGCTGAGGGACATCGCAGGACACACGCCTTGCCTGGCACTGGTTGGGTTGTTCGGTACATTGGGCAGAGTGCGGCAGCTGTCCTGGATTGTTTTGGTGCCTAGGTTGGCAGCATGTGTCTGGGTGTTAAAAAGCAGAATTAAAACACCTCCTGCTCACTGTTCAAGGAAGTCAAGCAGAGCTGCTTGATTTAAGAAGGGCCCAGGTTTTGAAAATTTGCCTGAGACACTGTAAAACTATTCTCCTGTGAGCCACCACCTTATCTTTGACACTCCCAGTAAGGGAACAGCAACCACTTGCCAACTGGAAGGGTATTTCATTTTGCACTTCAATGTGAGGTGGAATCATAACTGGAAACTCCCTGTGGAAATAACCAGGAATAAGTGCTGCTGTTAAAGATCTTTACATCCATTGTGCTGGTCAATCTAAAAAAGAGATTAATCAGAATCATAAAAAATGTGCACTGTTTCTGATACCAAAGATAACAAAGAGGCCAGCCCTCCTCCTGCCAATTCATGCAGCCTAAAGGACCTATGCACAAAGTTCACATCTATTTGTAGACTTTGTTGCAATAGTTTTGTAATCTTCATACTGGTCTGTCACAAGTAACCTGAACCTTTGAAAGTGTGAAACCTCCTGGGGAACAGTTTGGTCAGTTTGCTGGGTAGTTCTAGGAATAGAATATCCAGAAATGGAGTATCAGCATCATAAAAATCATCACTGAGTAAACAGGAAGGAGCTTTAGGAAGAGGCAGGGGAGACTGAACACCTACCAGAACATGTGGATAATTCTCTTTGTGAGGAAAATTAAGAGCAACAGATAAGGTGAATTAATGAAAACTTGTAGTGAGTGGTCATGGATTTTTTTTAAAGTTATGGTTGAGTGTGGTTATTTAGGAAATTTGAAATTATTTGGCCTTCAGTGGTAATATTGATTTGTAGTTTTTGAGGGTTTGTGGGTTTTTTTGCAATTTTTCTTTTCTTGTTACGGCTTAGCAGCGGACATTGCTCTAATAAATGCTATTAAACTAAATGAATTCTGTCCTTCACTTCTGACTAAAGCAGCCTTGTTTAATAAATACACTGAGTGAATCCTAATGGCTTCATGCTCAGGATAATGCCTTGTGATTGCAGGGAAAGGAGCAGGATGTCCAGAAAATCATGAGAGCATTGAATGAATGCCTGGCTGCTCTGCCCCAGCAGCAGCTTCAGCAAGTCACCCACATTGGTATTTCTGGACAAATGCATGGGGTTGTGTTTTGGAAAAGTGATAAAGGTAACATTCATTCTTTAACATTCCTGCTCAGAGTATTAGGATGCAGAAAATCAAATTGTAACAGGGAAGTGATTCTGGGATTAAACTGCATCACTTTGGTCTTCTCTAAAACAGATTAACAAAAGATCTCTTATGGGAATTATGCTTTTTTTACTGAAATGTCAGCTACTTACTATAGTTAATGATAAAGGATTTAGCCTAATGACATCCCTGCAGATTCAGCACAGTTTTTAATATAAAGGAGGAACAGCAGAGTATATTTGTGCCTTGTTAATTGTTTCTCCATCACATGCTGTCTGCTGCCCTTTGAAAAACTTCTGCATCACGTGAATAACTTGCAGGGGGATTTTATTCACCTCATAAACCCCTCACCTAGATTCTGTCCAGCATCTCAAGAACTCTGTTTTTTTCCCAAAATCCCAATACTTTTTATTTCCTAGCAAGTCATACAGAAATGTCATATTGCATTCATTTTGTTGCTTATGCTTCTGTTAGTAGGAGCTGGGAAAGGACTGTGGTCAGGATTGTGGATGCTCAGCTGCTTGCCAAGACCTCAGAGACAAAGTCAGCTGCAGTGAGGTAGTCATGTGGGGCTTGGTTGTGCAAATACCCAGATAATCCCTGTGATAGGGAGGATGTTTGAAGAGTCCAGGCCTTGGATTGCCAATCCTGTGAGATAGGGATGGATCATCTTCTTGGCTAATGCCTCACAGACCTACTGAAGTCTAAGGCATGTCTTCTTTCACTTAACCCTGTAATGTGCTCATCTGGACAATTATACAAGTCTTATTACAACAGGAATTATGCAGATGAAGTAAAGATGTATTGTAAACCACAGAGCAGATTTCCCAAAAGTGCTGGTCACTGCCTGTCAGAAGTTGTCAGGGTCTTAATTGCTTGAAGAGGCACTGTACTATTCATTACTGGCTGTAATTTTACATTAAATACTAAAAATGATTAGAAAGAAAGAAGTCCAAGGGTTGATGGACTGGAGGAGCTGTTGTTGCTTTCCAGCTGTCCCAGGAGCTGCATAACAAAGCCTTGTGTATTCATAGGCACAGATTCTTATGTCATATTGGTAAATATTTTATGTCCTAAAGCCACATGCCACTTTAGTTTCATTTCTATCAAGTGAAAGAGGGTGTTTGCTCTCATTTGTTTTGAGTGGACTAAGTGAATCCAGGACCTTTGGGACACAAATAACATTTTTAATAGCGTCCTTTAGGGTTAGATTTACGACTAATAATATTTCTTAGAATCCATTTAAAATGAGAAAAGCAAGCCAATTGGAAACTCAGTTCAAACAGATTTGATAGAACAGGGAATTGAGGAAAGAAGAAAAAGTATGTGTTTTATTTTGCATGTTTCTCATGGCACCTCCCACCCTTCAGGGCTGCTTTTTACTGTGTGAGTGTGACTTCCAAGCCCTGTATCCAACCCAAGAATTACATTTTTTAGCCAAACTTGTGTGAGTCAGGAAGCTGAGTATTTCCTCTTGACTCTTTGCTCCCTGGCCAAAACCCAAGAGTTTGCCTCAGTTCCAGAGTGAGTGACCTGTCCTGTCCCTGCCCTGTGTCCAGGGATGGCCTGGGAGGGATCAGAGCTGTGCCCTGGAATGTGCAGGCAAACAGTGCTTGAGCCCAGCCTCTCCTCTTCAGTGGAAGAATGTGAAGGTTTCCTCAAAGGTGTGGTGTTCTCTGCTCAAAAGGAATGTGCTGCACTGGGAAACTGAATTAAACCCTGAATTAAACCCTGTCCTACCTTTGTTGTGTAGTATGTGAGGATTTTACTCTGAAGCACTGTTTAACCTCTCAGATGCAGGTTTCTTGTTGCTTGGGCTCCAGAGGTGATGCAGCTTTGTGCTGTGCATCCTGGGCAGTGCATTTCTGAGGCAGCATTCTCCAGGTGGTGATGTGGCACATCCCAGCTGAGGTTTTCATGTCAGAGCTGCCATGCCAGCTCCTGGCCTCCCACAGCAGACTCTGGTTGGGTTTTTTTGAGGCTCACCTGTTATTTAAGTTGTATCTTTAATATCTCCCTTCAAGAGAAGGAAGGCTTTGGATACCATTCTCTGTGTTACAAAGGATAATTTGCATTATGATGTTATTTAGGGCTGGAAACTAAGACTAATTTCATTACAGTCTCTGTTTCTGATATATTTAACAAATTATCAGGTGTGTTCAGAAATGAGGAATGCCAGGCAGGCTGTGCTGCAGGGAGTCACTGGGTTTCTTGGATTCTGTTTTGTTTCCAGGGTGCAGGTGGTCAGAGGGTGGCACAGGCCCTGCCTTTGAGCCAGACAAGGTGAGCCCCCTGGTCACCTGGCAGGACGGGCGCTGCAGCCCCACCTTCCTCGCTTCCCTTCCTCTGCCTCAGTCACACGTGAGCCTGGCTACAGGACTGGGATGTGCCACAGTCTTCTGGTATGCAAAGAACAGGTACATTGCTGCTCCATTGCTGCTTCTCATCTTGAATTGATGTGACAATTAGTATTCCTGTAGCATGTTAATGCTGCTACAGGCTGAGGGCTGTGCTTCTCTGTAATCATAATCTTAATTAAGTAGTCAAAGAATATTTAAAATGGCAGTATTTAATATAAACTATGTGCAGTTAAGCATGCAAGAGTCTCTGACCTCATAAAAATACTACAGATCACTAATAAAAGGATAAGCTTGACCATATAGGAACAGAAGCCTTAAAGTATCAGAATAATTCTGATCTGTACCATGGCTCAGAGGAGCTCTGCTGGTGCAGTTTGAACACTCATTTTGCCTTGTGCTGCTTTGTGGAAAGTACAGACATGTCTAAAACAGTAACAGAGTTACTTGGTCTGGTTGCTGCCAGATGCCAAAACAGAGTTTCTAAATTAATTTCAGTTCCTTCCTTCCTCAGAGACTGTGACAGATCCTCATGGGGTGACACAAATGCTCTGCTTTGTTGTGGTGTGTTTGCAGAAATATAATTTTTCACTTATGATTTGGCATCAGAGAGGTTTGCTCTTCAGTTTCATCTTTCTCAAAGAGCCAGGCTCTTTGTCTGCAATGAGTTCAGGTTCAATAAATGGGGAAAATTTTATTAGATCTTTTTTTTTCCACTACATGTCCAGCAAATATATGGTGAATGGTGTGATCTTTAGAACTGCTTAAGTCATGAGTCCAGCTGCTTTGTTTTGCTTCACATTTGGTACATTTCCATTCATATAATTTGTGGATCCCAGAGCAAGTGGGAATTTACCTATTTTTCAGTAACGCTCCAGGATCAACAAAGTGCTGTTTATTTCACACAAACAATTACTACTTTCCTCATAATTTTTTCAATGCTGTGCTTTTGAGCCTAGACAACCCATTCCTTAAAGCTGCCCTCTCTCCATTTTCCATCTGCAGATAAGTATTGCTGCAGCTTGGAAACAAATCCCATTTTAAAAAACCAAACCAATAAAATTCAGGTTGATCACTGAGGTGTCTCTTTGATATTTTGATGGATCCATGTCTGAAGTTCCTCCTAACAATTTTTGTTTGCTTCTTTGTTTTTGTTTTTCAAACATCTTGTTGAAAAGTCCAGATTTTCTGAAGGCTTGTGATGCAGCTGGCACCATCCAGGACTACGTGGTTGCCATGTTGTGTGACCTGAAGAAGCCACTGATGTCTGTCCAGAATGCTGCCAGCTGGGGATATTTCAACTGCAGAAACAAGAGCTGGAATACTGACATGTAAGTGCCAAGGCCACTCAGTGGGGTTTGTGCACTGCTTGTGTCAGGCAGTGTGAGCACCCCTTTGGGCCCTGACTGTTGATGTGCTACAGATAAAAAGGGATTGAAAGTTATTCCTAATCAGTTGTGGCCTGTACTGAAGAGCTGTGGAGAGTTTGCTCTGTTTAATCTGATAAAATCTGGCCCAATATTTTTAAAATACCTACAAACAGCTGAGCTGAGGGACTTATCAGGGATTCCAAGCTGTTCTCTCCCTTTCTGTGGTGGGGTGGGATGGACAAGTGCAGCCACAGTGTTACCTGTGCCATGGTAAACAGTTACCACTCTCTAGTTCTTTGAGCTGGGCTTCCTAACTTCTAAGACTTACTTGTGATAATACTTCAGAGCTATTAAGCTGCAGGAAATCTTAGAAGGAATCAGTTTATTTATTTACTTATTTATTTTAATGATTTGCTCTTTCAGGGCTGAGTGCTAAGGCCTTATATATTTCAGGGCTTAGGTTAGGCCAGGACCTCAAGGTGAAAGATCTTCTCATCAAGGTATGAAAGAGTGTCAGAAATTTGCATTTTGCTGGCTGAACTATTACTAATATGGTGGTGTTGCTGTAGTACCTGCAGCTGATTGTATAAAGAGTTTGTTGGACTTAACTCTTCATGATTTTGTTGTGAACTACTAATTGCATGACAACTGAAGTTCTTTGACACTTAGCTGCATTTTTTGCTGGTTTTGTGATTGTCCCTTCACCCTGGGCCTGCTGGTCCATATGACATCAATAGATTAAACTTGCTGAACATGCACTGTATAATCTCAGGTGCTCAGATTGCACAGAAAGGAAAACTCTTTATTCTCCAGACTGGTTTACCCAGCCCATTGGACTGGAATGCTGCCCCTGTCCAAGAAAAGCTTTCTAAACTGGTGAAAGCATCCATAAATCCAGCAGCCACAAATGTGTGGCCAGGTTCATCTGTGACTTCAAAGAGTTTTTTGTAGTAATGTCACACATTCCCAAACAGCTTTATTCCAATATTGTTGTTCTACTTCCAGACTGCAAAAATCTGGCTTTCCTGTCCACTTGCTTCCAGAGGTGGGAGACCCTGACAGTATTGCAGGCAGGACAAGCTGTGCATGGCATGGAATACCCAAAGGAGCAAAAGTGGGAATTGCTCTGGGAGATTTCCAGTGCTCTGTTTATTCCTGTCTGACTGAGAGGACTGATGCAGGTATGGTCATTTTGGTATCCAATTTGTTTTTCTCATTGCTCTCCTTCAGGGTAGCTTAGTAAAACACTTGATCTTTTTTTTCTTTTTTTTTTGTGCATGTTTTAGTTCTTAATATCAGCACCTCTGCTCAGCTGACCATCTCAATGCCCCTGGGTTTCCAGCCTCCAGAGGTACCAGATCCTTCCTCAGCTGTCACTTACTTTCCCTACTTCAATGGTGACTACTTGGCAGTGGCAGCATCACTCAACGGAGGGAATGTGCTTGCAACATTTGTGGGAATGCTGGCACAGTGGGCACAAGAGCTGGGTAAGTCATTTCAGGGAGAGTTGAAGCACAAAATTGAGGTTGATCAAGGTAAAAGGAAGCTGAAGCAAAGGGACAAGCCTAGAGCTGTTCCATCATGCCATAAAGGGAACAAGGATGTAATTCCTGGGTCATGCTTCCCAGATCTCTGGAATTTCCTGCTGAAGCTTTTGAACATGCTGGGACTCCACATTCATATTCCCTGTAGGCCTTCTTTTGTTTCAAGCACAGAGTTATTTTGTGCAAGTTGATTTTTCAGAAGGCAAGGTTGGCAGATTTGAGGACAACAGCCTGTAATTTTGTGTGACTGCAGTCCAAAGGAGTCCTTTTGGTGCATATTTTGCAGCACTAATGGATTTTAAGACTCAAACTCATGGAATATCTTCTAAGTGCCTTAAGCATGGTGTTGACAGGTTTTTTAATGTCTTGGGTTTTGCACTACAGAAATCAGCTCTGAAATTGTTCTTTCAGTAAGTACTCAAGGTGAATGTTGCATTCATGTGGAATGCAGCCACTGAAGCTGAACCCTGCTGTTAGTCCCTTTAAAGACATTGTTTTGTGGAACAGTACAGGCAATGAGGAGCAGCTGTTGTTGTCAGGAAAGGCAGTTGCTGTAATCAGAAAAAGGTTTCTGCTATTGCACATTCTGGGTACAGTTGGATGGGAGAATTATAGTTCATAATCTTGGACACACAATTACCTTTGGGGCACAGAAAAGGATATCCAGTATTTTGCTGAACAAGTGCATCAGTGTCTGTTGTTAAGTGTCCATGTGTAAGATACACCAAACCCTTTCAATTAGTAACAAGATATTTCCCATCTGCAGGATTTCAGATTCAGGAATCTGCCATCTACCCAAGGATAATCCAAGCAGCCTTGGCCCAAAAACACAGCAAGCTCTCAGTGCACCCAACCCTGTTTGGAGAGAGACACCTCCCTGAGCTGCTGGCATCAGTGAGCAGCATTGGTGCCTCTGAGCTGTCCCTGGGCCATGTCACCAGAGCCCTGTGCCGTGGCCTGGTGGAGAACCTGTGCTCCATGTTACCTGTGCAGCACCTGGAGGAGCTGGGGGTCAGCAGGGTCCTGGGCAGTGGCAGTGCCCTTGCCAGGAACGAGGTGCTGAGGCAGGAAGTGGAGAGGATTTTTCCATTCCCTGTGGTTTATGGGAAGGATGTGGATGCTGCTGTGGGGGCAGCTATGGTGATGTTCCATAGTAAATAAAGTCATTATTTGAAATGGCCTGAGATGCAGCTTCTGGTTTTTTTCCTGACTCTACAGTGGTTTTTTTCCCTTTATTCCACATGCACTCTCACTCGTTACAGTGGGACAAAACCCTGCATTTAATGTCTGCTTCTCCTGGGTCTGCACATTTTGTTGCTCTGTCATTCCCATTTGTGAAATGAGAAGTAATTATCACATTAAATTTATCTGAGTGACTGGGAAAGATCCATTAACTTTCTTCATAAAAAGACACTTGTGAGGCTCATTTTCCTGGTAGGAAATATGTTGGAAAGGGCTGGGAGAGATGAACTGCTGTCTGTAACTTGGTCTGATGCTTTTGTGCACTCCCTTAAAATTTCTAAGTTTTATCCCCTATCTTATGCTCTTAGAAATGATTTATTCTCCTAGTCTTTATTTTAATGTTAAAACATTTATACTTTTCTGTCTACATGGACATTTCTTTTGCTCAAATGACATTGGGAAACAAGTAAGATGTTTCATGTTATCTGATACAGTTTCATTCCTAGGAAGCACATGTTTCCGTGGAATATGGACATGGAATTCTCTCTTGGTCATTAGCAACCTCTGACACTTTTGTGGTGAGAAAGCTGTGCTGAGTTCTGAGATCTTAATCACAGAGATGGCTTCATTTCCATTCCATGTCATGTTTAGGAAACTGTTGGCATGTTACAGAGAAAATGTAGAGTAAAGATGTTGGAAAAAGTCTGAATTTGTTATATGTTGTTTTCCCTCTTGCATTATTATAAATATATTTTTTATCAGCAGGTCTGCTGTCATTTTTATTGAATAACAGGCAAGAGCTGATGATGCTGTTGCATGCTGAAGCTCTGCCTATTGGTAATCTATATTTATGCATTAATAAAGAGCCTTGTTACTCTGAGTGCCACAGATCCAAGGAGTATAATTAGTTTGCTATTAAATAGGTAAATACATAATTCTTTTATATATTCATGGATAGATGGCAAAGCTAGAGAGACAGCCAATTTTACAAAACAAAAGATAGATAAATGCATTGAATAATTTCATATTTTACTCAAAATCTCAGGAAGTTGGGGCGTTGCTCCCACCCTAACAGCCTCTGGAAAAGATGTTTCTCCAGACTAGTTTCTGTCAAAAAGATCTTATGTCAATTATATATTTAGCAATCTATGACACAGCTCTGAATTTTTGAGGGTGTTAGGTCCATCCAGGATTAGATAAGTTGGAGTATTTTTCCTCATAGCATTAATATTTAGAGGCTGACTCTTACATACATGTATATAAAATTTAAATAAAACTTAGGAGAAACATGAAATAATAAAAAGGGTTTTGAATTTACTGGTTTTTCCTCAACTCTGTTCTGAGCTTATCATTAAAATATTTATCTTTAATTCAGCCAGCCAAGAAAGGTGTCCAGAAAGGTGATTGTGGCATATTTTGCAAAGTTTTGTAAATTGAATTGACATTTAAGAATTGAAACAGTGACCCCCAGAAACAACTGCTGTCTGGTGGTTTGGGTGCTGGTTTTTTTTCTGCAAACTTGAGTGTATTTACGAAGAGGAAATCTGGAGAAGAATATCCATTACTAAATGCAATTAAAGGGGAGGGAAAAACAACAGCAACTTACTGCAATTCTTGTAAAGAGCTTTGCTAAACCTCTGGGAATAGAAGCCACTGATGCTTCTGGTTCCAGAATTGTTCTTAATTATCTTATTGCTCTATTCTCTGTTTTTTCCAGTGAACTTCCCTTGGTTCTAAAAATCATCACATTTTGCAGACAAATGAAGTGGAGAAGCAAACTCTGAGGGCTTTGCAGTCCAGGCACCTTGGAGGAGGAATATCTGGCACCAAATTCCTGTAGGTCAGTGGCTGTCTGCTGAGACTGGACCACATTTCAGAAGAGAGGATTTTTGTCAATATTTGTAAGTTCTGCATGTATATTTGAACAGCGTGGTTGGTTATTTTTAAACTCTATTATTTGTGATGTGGCAAGGCATTCTAGCCAAAATATTTCCTTATTCATTGTATCAAACTTCTGTGTACATGGGTTTCAAGGATGTCAAGTACATTGTGTATTTTTTAAACTAGATAATGCTTATTGTTTTTTTTTTACAATCCTTCCACAGATTTGTGAAGGTTATTTTCCTTGCAAATTTATACTCATGAGGAAATGCAGCTTTGTCTTCATTATCAAATATATTACCAGGGTTTAGAAAGGAAAGCATGTATAATGTAGCCTATTCTGCACATTTATATTTATTTTGTGGAAAATAATTGATTGTGTGTTCTGTAGCCCGTCACTGATGTTTTTGGCTCAATCTGCATCAGTTTAAATATGACAAAAAATTAAAATTATACATGACTATATTCCCTCTGTATTTTTTCTGTATTTTTATAACTGTTATTATTCCTTTTTCACTGTAGTAGTAGTTCTTCTATAATATTAGTATCCTGTTCCAAATATAAATATTTTTATTTCTTATTTATAGGACAATTCAGTTAATAAGATATTATGTTATTTTTCAGAGTGATTCTAAGGAGAAAAAGGACTTGAAAGGTGAGCAATTTAAATCGTAGTCATTAGTATTTTATCTGTGCTATGCTGGTTTGCTTCCAGTAGCCCTAAATGTGCAAGTTTGCAAATTGATGTTTTATGTATATATTGTACAAAATTATAGAAAATGCAAATGACAAAATTTTCTTCCCTGTCCTGCTTTCACGGAAAAATGTAAGTGAGCCTTGATGTAAATATGAATTATGCCCACAGAACTGAAAATCCAGCTTCAATGCAGGTTTGCACACAACCCTCAGAATGTTTCTCTTGTGAAGAGAAACAACCCTGAAGTGTGTTCATGTTGTTTTCACCCTGACTGTACAGAGAAAATTACTGACCACTCTAATGTGATTTATAATTTGAGGCTTTTTAAAGATTTTCTGACATTGCTGTGCTCAGAGCTGTGGGGTTTCAGAGCATGTCTCCAAGCCAGCTGTGCAGCAGTTCAGATAAGATGTGTTCCACTGTCTCCACTGCTGGAATTCCAGGATATTTTGCATTCAGTGGCACAAGGACAATATTTGTCTGATTAAAATGGGTTGATAAGAAACCAAACAAAAAAAAGGCACCCTGTTCTATCTTCAGCAGAGTGTGTTATCTGTGGGGGTGGGCAGGCCCTGGCACAGGCTGCCCAGAGCAGCTGTGGCTGCCCCATCCCTGGAAATGTCCAAGGCCAGGTTGGACAGGGCTTGGAGCAACCTTGGATAGTGGAAGGTGTCCCTGCCCACGGCAGAGGGGTGGAATGAGATGAGCTTTAAGGGCTCTTCCCACCCAAAGCATTCTCTGATTGTGTATTTGTTGCTTGTGTCAGGTTCTGTGTGGTTGTGAACCAGACAAGATCAGCTGTGTGGTTGTTCTTATCTGAGGTAACCTCTCCTCTGTGTTTCCGTGCCTCATGGCTGAGGTGACACTCACCTCTCAAGGATCACACACTCCAGTTTCCATCAGGCACTGCCACAACTCTGGCAAAGCCCTTAAAGGATCATTTTCCTGGCTGCAGGAAGCCCTCTGTGCTCAGCATCCCAGAGATCAGGTTATGCCACAAGCAGGGCTTTTTCACATCCCTGATAGAATCACGAGAATGGTTTGTGGCACAAACCAGTCAGAAAGTAGAGAAGAAAACAGAGACTTTTTGGGGTTTGAGGTTGTTTAGGCTTTAGCAATACTGGAGGATGAGGCAGTGGATTTAGGCAGAGGTACTGAGGCTGAGCTCTGCAGTGAAATGGACAGGAAGCTCTGGGATGCTCTGGTTTGTTTTCTGCATTCTGGAATGTGTAAGGGCAGTGGGAACAGGAACAGATGGAATAGAGGTAAAGACCCTACTAGACTCTTCTGCCTGTGGGCACAGTGAGAATGTGTCCATCTGCCTCATTTCTGGGATGAGAGCAACCAATCCACTCCCTGCTCTTTCGAGAAAACATTCCTGGGCAAAAGGGACTCATGGCCCTGTAAGTGCTGACTTGAGGTGTTTGTGTCCTTCCTCACAGGCTGCTGGCTCATCATGTCCTCCATTCTTGGCAAGATGAAGAAGTTTGGCAGTTTTGACATGGAGGAATCTGAAGTGACAGATGAACACACGGATGGGGAGGACTCTGTCCAGGAAACCTCTGACAACCCCCAGGGCCCACTCAGCTCCAGGGTGCAGCCACCCAAAAGCAACATTTTTGCAAGACGGGGCCGCTTTGTGATGGGGGACAGTGACAAGGACATGGCTCCCATGGACTCCTTCTGCCAGATGGATCACCTGGTGGCACCTTCTGTCATCAAATTCCATGTGAATCCGGAGAGGGGCAAACTTCACAAGTAAGTTTACCTGGTGAGATTTGGTTGTAATGAGTAGTTTGACAGCTGCAGGCCATGGTTCTTAGAGCAGCATTTGTTCTCTGCACTTGAGCATGACCATTTTTTCAGTTTCACTGTTTTCTATGCCAAATTAAGGAATGTTGCAACTGAAAGTGACAATAACTGTTGTCTCTTGGCATCTCTAAAAATCTCTATCTCCATGGATACTATGCCCAAAATTGGCAGTAGGCCTCAGTTCACTTGCTTGAGGCTGCTCAGTGAATGGACATGGTTCAGAGTGAGAACAAGGGATTGCCTGGCTCAAGGCTTGCAGTTACACTGCCAAGCTTCAATGCCTCTTTGATCACTTGTTCTCAGCTTTTCAGCAACAGAATTGTAATTTTATCAGGAGAGTTGCTTGCAGACTTTGTTCTTTTAGTCTTTGCAGAGGTACCTATCTAATCTGCAGTGTTTACTACTTCACCTGAGTAAATGAAGGACAGTGTTCTAGTAGTTGATAAAAATATCATAAATATCTGACTTTAGGTAACTGACATTTCCCCTTGTTAGGCTCCTATCTACAGATTCCATCACAGGCTGCTCAGAAAAAGCTTTCAGATTTTATGACCGCAGAAGGATCTTTGATGCTGTAGCCCAAGGCAACACAAAGGACCTCAGTGACCTGCT